ATATATATATATATATATATATATATATATATATATATATATATATATATATATATATATATATATGTATGTATGTATGTATATATTGTGGTGATATATTTCCCGGGGTGTTGGATAATGGTAAATGTTTTCATAAATGTTTTCTCCTTATATATATATATGTATATATATGTATATATGTATGTATGTATGTATGTATGTATGTATATATTGTGGTGATATATTTCCCGGGGTGTTGGATAATGGTAAATTTGTTTGAGGCAGTCATTAAGGTGTGGTAGAGAGAGTGCTAAGCTAGGGGCTTATGGGGAAAGAAGAAAGGGAAAAATGTCTTATTGGTTCTAATGAGGTGCCACATAAGCTTTGCCTCCTGAAGAGGAGTGTTTAAAAGTTGCTCCTCCAATACTTTCTCATATCACAGTGAACATATAATGTGAGGCCACTGAGGTATAAATAAATTCCACAAATTCTGGTAATGTGGCCTACAAATTTCTTTAGTATTAATATTTAAAACTCCAATACAAGCTACAAACAGCCTGTTGCTGTCTTTTAAGCTCTAGGCAGCAAAGAGTAGTTATCCAATGTGTCCTCATCTATTAGTGATGTTATTAAGTTTGACTTCAGCCACTTATTTTATCAAAGGCAATTATTGATGTACATATGTGAAGTATCATAATATCTTATATTATCCCAACCCTGCAAATAAGGCTAGGCTAACTTTTATCTTATTAAGTTCCATTTGTGTAATCCCCATTTATTGATGGGTAGGACTGTGCTTACTGCTTAGATTATATAAACTCATTAAACAACTAGAACATTCCACCACATCACCAGTTGATGGAAGTTTTTAGGGCAGGGAAATTTCGTAGAACTACAGGGGCATATAGGTTATTTGTGGTTTTGAAGGAATAAATGCTATATGATATAAGATATTATGTCATTTTGAAGGGGTAGTGGGACTCTCAACTATCGACTATGGTGAGCATCAATTTAATCTGCTTTCATCCTGCATCTAAATTTCTTGCACTTTTTTGCTAAATGTCAACAAATTCTCAAATTTTGATGTGCAAAATTTCTTATTATTTTGAAGTATCAATTGACACTACGCATTGGTGTTCTGTATAATTCATCACATGGTTAGGCACGTAATGGCCTACTCCTTAAAGATTCAATTTCTTCCACATGGTTAAGGCTTTAAGCATGTAATGTTTTGTATAAATTATTTACAAATAAAGCTTGCCAAGAAATCATTGTATCATGTTCTCCTTTTAATTTGGTTCTTATGGTCGCATGAAGTTCTATTGCAATTTTTTTCTGCTGCTGCTACTATTGTTACCTTTACTTTATTGGTCTTTTCAATTTGTTGGACATTTGGCTGCTAAGTTCATATATCATTCTCTTATCCTGGCCAAAAATTTCGAAAAAATCTTATAAATATCACCTTTAATTTGTTTCCTGTTATGACTTTGGATTTGTAAAATATTTCTGATATTTTTAGGAAGGCGAAACCATTCGAATAAATGTGAAAAACAAACCTGCTAGTGGAGGTGGCATGCTTTCAGCTGCTGGCTTGTCTGCAGGAGCCTCTAGCAAACATAAGGCAACAACATTTCTTGCACCTCCTCCTGGTGGAGCAAGAAAGTTAAGGTCTCCACTACCACCCCCACCTAATGATCCTGCCACTGCTAGGATGACCTTAGGTCACAATTCTGGACTGAACCCTCCCAAAGACTCTGCAAGGCGTCCTGGAGATTCTTTACAAGATCTTTCTTCTATTGAGGTAAGCTTGCCTTCCTCTGTACTCTTCAATGCTCTGGTACCTTTATTTGTAGAAGCAGAACATGATAGATTTAATCTAATGTGGTAGAATCTGAACACATGGGCACTTGGAACACACTGTGAAATGATGCAGCTATACTTTGTTTTCAAACCTTGTGTTTTGACCCATTAGTATGCTCAGAAAGTTTCACTGGTAATTCAATTTATCGCCCTTTACCTGTTAGTGGAAGTTGAATACCTGCAGTTCATTTTTTATGATTTATGGGCCAAGGGGCATCCTCCTGTTCCTATGCTCGCCGCTTATTAAGTCAAATTTTACATCTCTGGTCATAATAGTTCATGTGAATTATAAAATGTATCTCCTTGAATATGTTATACTACTAGTCTTTTTATTGGTTATTTTTAGATGTATCTAAATTGCCTCCTTTTGGTGCTAGTTATGCTTAGTACCATTTAAATGCTTTTCAACTTACACCTATTCTTCAATAATGTTGGGATAAATAGAGAAGCCTGCCTTCGACGACTGGGTCAGGATCAACAAAGAGCACAGCATCTGGGTGGGCGGCATTTTGAGCTTTTGAGAACATATTGGATATGGTCTTTATCTACAGCAGAGATACGAAATGGATGAAATATGTATGAGTTATAAACTGTCCTTTTTTCTCAAATGTTGGAGGTTTTGCATCGCCCATAGTACTCAAATAATGGTTACAGGAATTTGTTGTCTTTAAGTTTTCAAGTCATGAGTTGAAAGCATTAGATATATCATGTAAATGATCATGTGAACTATTCTTAGCATTTCCATAAATAACTACGACGAGATGATATTATTTCAACATTGGTGTTCTTTTATGTTGCTTTGTATCTTCCTAAATAGGTTTTCTACAATTATTGGTATCAAATATCCTTGTTACATCTCATTATCTGTACTGTACTTGTAGATGAATATCATTCTCAGTAGTAGTTTGATTACACTTTTTCTTATCAAGAAAAGTGAATTAGGTGTCTGGGAACATTGGAACTAAAATTACATAATTATATTCCAATTTTGTGATTGCAAGTGTAAAGCTGGTGCAGTGGCCTCACAGATCGTGGATGGCGGCAACTTTAGCTGCATAGAAATCAATACAGGTTAAATAAAGGGGATGGTTGTTTCTGTTATTCATGGATATCACTGTTTTATTTCCCCCTTATCTGTTATACTTGTGAAACAATAAGCCAAAGAGGGTTTGCATGTATATGTTTGAGGAGTATTCTTGATTAGATGCAATCACATTTACCTATTTAATATCCCATCAGCATCTGAAATTATTTGGTCTGTGGTTTCCTTAGGATGATTTTATGGAGGTGATGATAAGCTGTGTAATAATCTTTTAGGATTTTCTACGTGATTTATAGGTAAGCATATGCAGGATTTTTGTGATTACAACATATCGTTCATGCAACGGTCGTATGCATACGGTTATATTACGAGGGGCGTTTTGTTAAACTGGATGACCACATACATTCTGGATACATACTAAGGATGTTATAATTACCAAATCCATGTAATAAAATCAATTGCGTAATTGGACGAATTTTGTTGCAAGCATCAGCTTTACTGGGTAACATATTATTGTTTTATTTGGAAATAAATATTGAAATGATTTTTTAAATTATTCATCCTATTTTTATTTTTCATCTTTGTCAAGGTTAATTATATATTATTCTTATAATTATATTTTTTAGCATCTCGATCATTCAATTTTAAAAATTTATATTAGAATTCATATAGTTACGAATGTGAAATATCTAATTTCAACGGTTTTCTCGATGAAAGTACGAAAATAATAGGTAAAATGATAATTTCAACATCTCAGTTACATTTCCAATGGTTATGGATGATGATGTCGTTGGGGGAAGAGAGAAATAATGAGAGATGATGCGATAATGCAAATGACAACGTTTTACACATGCGTCGGCATCGCTTAATAATTACGTTGGCGTCATGTAGAGTGGTGAGAAATTGCTCGGTAAAATCAACGAAATTTCTCCTTTTTACCTATCTTTTTCGTTCTTTCGTAACTATAAGAATTTTAATATAAAAATTTTTAAGTCTAGGACTATGGATGCTAAATAAGTAATATGTAATTAGTCGTTAAATTAAAATAAGTCATATATTTTCTTATACTTGACCGATTGAGAAGATAATTTGTAACGACGTCAACATCTCCTTTTTGACATTTTATTCACGATAGGCCCAAATGACCTCCTGTGAACTATTGTCCACTGAGGTCGATAGGATCAATCTAAGATACATCTCATGGATTATTGTCCACAGAGGTTGACAGATCGTAACCACCCTCACGTCATTGTCAAGTGGATAGTAATTCGATCATTTTTCTTCTATGTCAAAATTAATTTTCAAAAATATCAAAATTAATGACTAGTTGATCGATAAGGATTAATTATCATATATATATATATATATATATATATATATATATATATATATATATATATATATATATATATATATATATATGCCGCAACATCCGCTTGTGGTTAAGAATTACTGCTAAGAATACTTGATAATGCTCAGTTAAAAAATTTTAATATGAAAAATAACTTTAATATATATGTTTTATGGATTTTATCAATTAGTATTTCTAAAATATATATTCTATGAGTCAAAGGATGGTCAACTAATGGCAATTAACTAAGGACACACGTGTCATTTTACCAGTTACATTTCTATATAAAGAAAAGGGCAGTGGGGGTACGGTCACCGTGGAGGTAGGAGGGAGTGGCCGTTACTTGACTTCGAATGTATCAGAAGCCGCGGTCTCCGCTCCTCCGCCCTCACCGTTCCTAATTAATTCTGGGGTTCCCATTAAACCATGCCCATTTCATCGGCCGATCTCTCCGGCCGTAATCCCAGTTCCCCACCGCTGATCTTAGAGGAATTCCATTCCCTTCAACCCATCAGCTCCAATCCCTGTCTCCTCCCTCTTCCTCCCTCATCGTTTCCTTCTCTCCACGCGGAATGTAGGGTGTTCTGCTCCTCTTCTTCGAATTTTTTTGGATTGAAGTTCCGGTGCTCCGAGGAATGTCTGTGTATTATGTCCAGTCAATTGGAGTGGTTGCGGACGAGGCTCTTGTTGGATCAGGTGTTGTTTCTGGATTCGTTGGATCAGGGCTTCTTTTTAGTGCTGGTGTTTTTGGTTTCATTTGTAGCTTCGAGATATTGGTTCGTTGAGGAGTAGTGGAGTAGTATATTATATCAAAACTAGACTACTGTTTCTTCTGATGTTGTCATTGTTGTTAGAAGATGCTGAGATTGGATTGTTTGACAGCTTAAGGTCCCTTTTGATTGCAGAATGATATCAGCGTGAGGACTTGAAAGGATTCTTTGGTCTGCCAGTGCTCTATTCCGTAAGGTTTACTTATCTAGCATCTTGTCTAAGAATAGAAGGAGAATCGCATTTCAATTAGACAATTTGTAAGTATTGAGTTTTGTCCAATAACGATGACATATGTAAAAGTATAGCTCTGGTCATTGCTCTTAGATGTAGGGTTGAAAGGGACCTTTATAGAGGTGAATAGTGATCTTGGTTTTGTGGCACCAGAGATATTCTGAGTTGGTTATCTTGCGGGCACTGATGGATTCGGCCAGAAGTTGGTTTCAGAAGTTTCAGCCAAGAGAGAAGGGTGTGACTAAAAAGAGTGAAATGGGATTATTAGATGGACTGGATGATACTGAAGAATCACCATCGGATGCTACGAGGCAAAGGGTGGCTGCTGCCAAGCAATACATAGAAAATCATTACAAGGAACAGATGAAAAATTTGCAGGAACGCAAGGAACGGTATGGCTGTAGAAAAACAATATTTTCTCCTTTGTTTTTTGCTCATTTTTTTTATTGTATTAATAAAATGGAGCTAGACAACATGTATCTCTTTTTCTTTTCTTCTTTGAATATTTAAAATTTGTTGATTGCTTTTTGAGAAAAAAACTAGTCACGAGAAAAAAAAATTCTTGACCATCTTGGCATCAGAGGTGGTGGTCAATAGTTGATATGTAAAACATTGACTTATAAACTATAGAGTCATAAAATTGTTCTTATTTTCCACCCAGCAGTAGGAATCAAACTGTTGAATGTCATCTTCTTTAGTATTACCATAGAATGTCTAACAATCAACTGAATTCAATAACAAATAGAGAAACATACAAAATATGTTCATTGGAAGTTTGGAACACATTTTCTCTTTTGGATGTTAGTTTTATTTTTATGTATCGGTGACCTCAGGGTCTTAAGTTGCAGTTGACTGCTATTACAGCATTTACATTGATCTGAACCTTCCTATTAAGTAATGGTTAGGAGGAATTCCATAGAGCGAATTCTAGATATTGTTCTAAATTATGTTTCCTTCAAGAATCCCATTCATCTTCTTCAGTGATGATTATCATATCATCACTAATTGGATGCTTTAGAGTTTAGACAAAGGACTCAATGGTACTATATGAGTATATGTAGCCGTGGTGTGCTTATATTAGGAAGCATTAGGGCTCTTATAGAACAAAATTGATCCCTGCTGGCACTTATTTTTATAAGATGTTGAAAGTAATACAACAGTCAATTTTGAGTCGAACCGTACATGATGTCATAAGTAACACAACAATCCTTTACTAAAGCCAAAATAAAATTGCCATGTTTGTGCCTATTGGCAATGATGTCTTTGCTTAATTAAGTTCCTCTCTTTCACAAACCCACCACTCGTGGAAGTTTCCTTCTGAACTTTTTATATTAATTGGCAGTATAAAAACTATTGCAATTTAATTGGCTTTAGATGTTCCAGGTTCTTTATATTTTCCATGTGTGCCGTATTTAGATATTTTCGCTTTTATTTTTAGAGGTATTATCAACTAGTTATTTCTAACGGTTTAAAGTTTCTCTATTTTGTTCATTTTCTTTTCATCATATTTTGTTTCACATGTATGTACCCGTTTATTACATGCTGACAAAGATTTTCTTTCTGAGATATGTGGTAACAATTACTCATATTTTTATTACAGACGTTATAATTTGGAGAGGAAACTAGCAGATGCTGATGTTTCTGAAGAAGATCAGCACAATATTTTAAAGTATTTGGAGCAGAAGGAGACAGAATACATGCGCCTTCAAAGGCATAGAATGGGGGTTGATGATTTTGAATTACTTACAATGATAGGAAAAGGTGCTTTTGGGGAGGTATACTTTTCTACAAATTTTACATGCTTTTACGACTGCACTCAAATACTCATGCTTTGAAAAATAACTACTTTCAAAATATGTACATGTCTCTTGATTTCTGACTATTTGAGAATGTCTCATTGCAGTTTAGCTGTAATATTTCATACAAGTATATTTTTTGTATGGTGGAAGCTCTTCAATTCATTGCTTTTTTATTTGGCAAATAGGCCTGTAGTGTATTGTTTGCAACTCCTGATGCAAGCACCTATTCTGTCGAAGCATAGTCGAAGTAGATTTTTTCTTGCTGCACTGATGGATTTGTGAGGCTTGCATCACTTGTGGGACAGTTTTACATTATTAGATTTTTTTTCATGTTTTTTGCCTAGTTCTTCACATTTAATTTATTTTTATAGGTAATGAATTTTCTGAATATTATGTGGATGCCATCTTTGTGCTTTCACGATCATTCATATATGACCATGGTCTTGTGCAGCTATACTTTAAGTGTTAGAGTTTTATGATGTGTGTGATTTCTGGATGAATATGAGTGCTTTTCACTTTTGAAATGTTTTGTTGAAACACGAGGAGAGGTTTTCTCCTCACAGTTGGTATCTTGAGAATGCATCTTGTTTTACTCCTTTTTTTTATAGTTGTAGTTGTGCCAGTAAATCTAGTATTCTTTATTAGTGGTTTTGAGTATCCAACCTATGGGCCACAATTATTTGGTGAACTAATAATATATATGTTTTATAAAGATTGATATTTCATGTTTATCTTCAATAATGAGTTTATGGTAAATACTTGGTTAGACTTAGATCTTTAAAGCTAGACATAAAAAGAATTCACACTGGATTAATGTTAATATGCATGAACTCACAACATTATAGAATCCACAAAATAACACATATTAACTATATTAAGTAATTGTGTAATAGAGACAAACTTTTATATGCCATGAAAATGCTGTAAACTTTTATCGAAATATATTTCAATTAAATTGTGATCTTAAGGAGGACAAAACATAAGAATACAACCTTCATCAACAAAAGATAAGTGAGGAATATGAATTTAAGGTTCAGATTTACATTTTTTGGGAGAAAAATAAGACTTTTTTAAAATGAGCCCTAAATTGCTTAAGATTGACCTTGGGTTTGGTAAAGATCAACCTTGGGGAGGAAGATTTGAGAGTATTTGTTGAAAAATGAGGAAAGAAGGGGCTGAATATTGCTTTAAAAAGGTGGGAGAGGGACTGTTGGATCCACGAATCGAGTTGTATGCTTACCATCTGTTACCCTCGGTTCCAATAGTTAAAACTAGGCCACACACTAATAAGATAACAACAGCCTACCTAGTATGAATTGATGTCAGGCAAAAAGTATTAGTAAGTGACTCAATGTACTAGTTCACAATAGACTAGAAAATACCAGCATGTACCGACCAGTATGCCTGGGTTTTTAATCCATTATCTCATGTTCATAGGTGCAAAATTGCTCAATTATGCTTCCAAAATTATCAATAGTTGTAATATATGTAAATCAATATCCTATTCTGTATGTACTCTAGTTTCTAACATCATATACTCCGAGGTAATGGAGACACGATGGTGGTGGCAATGGAGAGGAGGGGAGGCAACAGAGAAGAAAAGGAGGAAGCAGCTGTGGAGGAGGATGAGGAGGAAGATTTTCTCAAATCCTCCCATTCTTTTTTCTTTCCATTAAGAGCAATCATTAGCCCTAGCTATGAATTATGATGTTTTGGCCTAATGGTACAGATAGATTGAACAAGTGCATTTCTCACTGCCAAAAGACCAATGTAGTTGCAAAAATTGTAGATGTTGGCCAACACCCTAAAGAAATAAACACAAGGAATTCCTAGCTGGAGGCTAGCTAGACACTACCGATTAGGAGAAAAAGAAGGGATTTTCATATTGTTCGTTCTTGAAAAGAAGCCAAACTGGATCAATACTTCATCCGTTTATCAAGGACCTGGGGTTGAGGGATGCAGTAGTGGATGCGAACACAGCAAATAACATGAGAGAGAGTGCACAAGCTGGGATTATGTATTAAGGTTTTTAATTTTCTTACTTTCTTAGGATTTTAATAAAAGGACAGGTGGTAAGCCCAAAATTGGACAATCTATGTGCCGATTCATGCTTGGACCGGTAAGTATGATTTGGTACATACCATACCGAAAGAAATTGGATTCCTTGATGTAATCTACCATAATGAATACAATGGTGCAGTAATTATAGAAAATGAATTAACAATGAGTAATAAATGGCTGTTTATTCTAGTTTTAGTACAAGTCCTTATGACATTGATGTTGCAGCTAAATACTTTGTTTTAGTGTCCTGGTTTAGGGTTCAGACCAAGTTTGATTTAATTCATAGGTCTTTTGGACAAAGTGGATTTAAACTAAGATGTTAGTTGGATGGCTCAACCAACTTTAAGTTAAATTGAATTAACCCAATTTTATTTTTGTTGGTTCAGTAATCTTTCATTCATTCTAATGGATTATCAGGTTCACATTTGACTCAACTGAAAGGGATTGGACAGTGGGTTTATGGTTTTGATCCTGGCTACTGCAAATTAGTATCAGCAGGTTAGTCAGGCTAGGCTAAGACCACATTGGCTGGCTGGTCTGGCAAACTATGTTTTTGTTTCTGTTTCTTACTCATCTCATTTCACAATCATTGCAGTAGTGTCAAGCAACCTATTATTGGTTGTCAACTCCCATCATGATAAAAAAGGAAAGAGATGTAGACCATTATGTTGGATGACATGCAACCTTGGACATCTGCAATTTTTAATGGTATGAGTCTGAAAATGTAATAGAAATGGTGAGAAAGAAAGAGACAGAGAGAATTAAAGATAAGTATTAGCTCTTCATGGGTCATTTGGTTCAAGCTGGGCTATGTTTGCCCAATAATTGGCCCATAGCCCACGTTATACATATATACATATATACATTTATACGTGTGTGTATATATATATATATATATATATATATATCCGTGCAGGCATTAAAAAATTTACTCATCACAAATTGAAAGGCATAATAACTATTAAGATAGCAGCAATCACTAAATACTTATTCTCTTTGTCTAATATCATATGATGTTCATTGTAATTGTGTTGGTTTCAGGCATAAAAAAAATTACTCATCACAAATTGAAAGGCATAAGAATCATCAAGATAACAGCAAGCACTAAATGCTTATATTCTTTGTCTAATATCATATCATACCCATTGTGATTGTGTACATGTATTTTCATGTAAGAATCATCCTGCAGGTCAGAGTCTGTAGGGAGAAAGGAACTGGTAATGTCTATGCAATGAAGAAGCTAAAGAAATCAGAGATGCTACGTCGAGGACAGGTTGAGCATGTTAAAGCTGAAAGGAATCTTCTAGCCGAGGTTGATAGCAATTGTATAGTGAAGCTATATTGTTCCTTCCAAGACGATGACTACCTGTATCTTATCATGGAATACCTACCTGGTGGGGATGTGATGACGTTGCTTATGCGGAAGGATATTCTGAATGAGGACGAGGCTAGATTCTATATTGGTGAAGCAGTTTTGGCTATTGAATCCATCCATATACACAATTATATTCACAGGTTTGTTGAATATGCTTGCAATAAGACTTAGAATTGTCGTCTTTTCTCATAAATCTAAAAGTTGTAACATTTTCTTTTGTTTATCAGGGATATAAAGCCTGATAATCTATTACTCGACAAATTTGGTCACCTAAAGCTTTCAGATTTTGGATTATGTAAGCCATTGCACTGCAGTAATTTTCCAAATTTACAAGAAAAAGATATTACTAATGGAAGGAGCTGCAGTGGGTCTTCCCACTTTGATGAACGGTCATCTTTACCAAAGCGGACACAACAAGAACAACTAGAGCACTGGCAAAGAAACAGGCGGACATTGGTGAGCTACTTATGTTGTGTATTTTTCTATCAGGACAATTTTTCATGAGTTTATATTATGATATATATTTGTGACCTAAGGTTACTAGTACTAGGCTAGAAATAGCTCTACACAGGAGTAAAGCTGCTACTGCAGTAGTACAAACAGTTTCTGCTACAGTATCAGTGCAGTGTTACGTACTAAAAATCTAGCATATTGGAGCAAAGTTGTTGCTATTGCAGTAGTAATACAATACTGCTAGCACCAAGCTATCTATTGGGCCATTGAGGATGAGATGCCACTGACAAAAAAATATCGTATCGATTTTACTTTCATATACAAATTTACTGATTAAATTCTGATAAGTACATTTGTACAAGTTTGTGGTCATCTAGGACCTGACTTTTCTTATGATGCTGCCGGATATGCTCAGGCATACTCTACTGTTGGTACACCTGATTATATTGCTCCAGAAGTCCTACTGAAGAAAGGTTATGGAATGGAATGTGATTGGTATGACTTAGGTTTTTAGCATTTTGTACCCGTCCATAATACATCAGATCGTTGAGTGCTATGTTCTCTAAATGTCATCTTTTCGCAGGTGGTCACTGGGAGCCATCATGTTTGAAATGCTTATAGGTTATCCTCCATTTTATTCTGATGAACCTATGGCAACATGCAGGAAGGTAGATGCTTATTTCCTGGACCTCTGTCACAATACAAATTTCAGTCTTCATGCTGGTTATGGAAAATTACTGTTTTAAAGTCAAATGTGTACATGTTACTTTTTTGTTTTATCAAAATATATAAAGGTAACCTGATTGTTGTAGTAGATTTCAGAATTTATTTAAGAGTTGATGGTTCACATAATCCTAAATTAATTATGGCATGGAAGAATTATCTTTTGTAGCTATGTATCTGATTATTGTTGATTCCTAATTATTTGTCTTTATCATTTATGGATGTTCTCTTACCTAGGCAAGTTCTATTTAGAACTTCCACAAGTGCCATTAGCTAAATTGAGCTAGTCTTGGTCACTAGTTTCTATTTTATCCACAGCTTTTAATGTTCAAAGTCTATATTGCTTTCCGAGTTGCTGTCTTTTTCTGGAAAACAATTTGTAAAGCTTCTTTGCATCTAGGAAATTGTTACTAATATGTCATTGTTATCACATGTTATTTTCATATTAATTTTTTCCCATTTTGATTAATTAATCAGATAGTTAACTGGCGAACACACCTGAAGTTTCCTGATGAGGCAAAGCTATCTGCTGAAGCAAAAGATCTTATTAGTAAGCTATTGTGCAATGTTGAACAACGGCTTGGTACGAAGGGTGCTGATGAAATAAAGGTTGTCTCTATGCTTCTTTTTTTTTTCCAAGTTCTAAACAAGTTTAGATGAATCTGTAGCAAGAAAACATATAGTCACGGTACTTCTACTACATCAGGCTCACCCTTGGTTTAAGGGCATTGAATGGGATAATCTTTATCGAATGGAGGCTGCATTTATACCTGAAGTGAAGGATGAGTTGGATACTCAAAACTTTGAGAAGTTTGAAGAGGTATGATTGATTGTCAAAATTATTTTAATTGTTTATTTTATAAATATACTATGCACACCTTTCCCTGTCAATGTCTTGCAGTCTGGTGATCAAGTTCAGAGTTCATCTAAATCAGGCCCTTGGAGAAAGGTACCCAACCACCCATGACTCCTTGAATCTTTTAGTTTGAAATACTGATTTTTTTTACATGACTATTTAGATTCTCAATAATCTTGAATCTTTGTTGCATCATTAACTTTTTCTCTCTTTATGCTTGTAATACCCGCATTCGGATGCATACTCATTAAATTCTACATATGCATGCATGTTTCGCCTTCAAAACAATTTTGGGCATCTCCATATTGTAGATATCTTTTCTTACATGTATGCTTGTATTTATATATTATATATTTATCCCCCACTAGAGTTTGACATACATTTTCATGTGTATTTCTGTACATGAAAGTTGTTAATCCTTGTATATAATTAAGCAGATAAAGTTCTGATGAATATTGGTATTAATATCAATGCATTTCCTACTTTTTGAGACTTATGGAATGGAATCTTGCATACCAGGATTGGCATCTTTGTATGCTTGTATTGTTGCCATTGGGTATCAGTACAAGCACATGTGTGACCACATTTTATCAGGATCATTCTTGAACTGTTGTGATCAGCATATCACTCTTGTGATAATACTTACCTTGTTGGTATACTCTTCTGACATGTTGATGGCAAGAAACACGGCAACAAATTTATTGCTTATTACATACTGGTCAAACCTATTACCTGGTCTCTGCTGATAGGATCATTGTTGAGTTTTGGTTTTGTACCGGTGGAAAAGATAGGTGCGCTATATTAACATGATATTTTGTTCCCATTTTCCTTTTACTAAAAATTATGACTCTGTTAGTCTCTCATTGACACTCGATGCATGAAGCCTAGGGCCTCTTATAGAAGTTTTAATTTTTTCATGGCAAATCAGATCCTGCCGTCCACCAGATCCTGCCTAGGGCCTCCAAGGACACTGGTTGAAACCCTTGACTAATGGCAATAAAATGCTTTCTAGCTTCTTGCTAGTTAACACATTATCACCATTAGACAAGTTAGTAAGAAAAGATTAATATTGTTTTTTTGGTGCATTTAAGAATATAATGTGTGGGAGTAGGTCTAGAAACCTTTTATCTCATTTTGATTGGCCTGAATCATACATGAAACTAAAGTTTCTCAGCAAGAGGTGAGCCAGGTCAAATATCAGCCAAAGTTATTTCGTATCAGCTTAGTGATCATGACCAATACTAGCTGATCATAGTGTTTCTTGATGGAGTTTATCATTCTTCTATTATTCTTATGGATCCCAGAGTTGATAATGTTTGATCAAATGCTGATTCTGAGGTATGTAGTGTAACAGGGTTCTAGATATGTAGGCTAGGAAACTTTAGCAATGACACAAGCCTGTTGAAGGCTTGGAGAGCAATTATATAGGATAAGTCATGACCTTGTTATATACACAGTTTTAGGTATAGCCCAACTAAAATATGAAAGCATTTCTTCAGTTGTTACATGGTGCTTTCAACAATTTCAAGCCTATATGGAGAAACAGAAAAATTCTTCTTGGGCGATATGCTTTTCATGGCAAAACTCATTGTTATAGATGTTAACTGCCATGGTTAGGAAGAAATCAATTGACTGAGGCATTACTCCAAATCATATGGTGATATACAATCTAGACTTCGTTTATGTTAGCTCTGTAAAGTGTATCAGATATTTCAAATCTGATCTGATATATTAGTTGTACATTTGGGTAAAGCCACTCTAATCTTGTAGGTAGGACATGAGAGTGATGAACGTGAAGAATTTACATAATGATGTGCTTGATTGATACATGCAGAACCTGCTCCCTGTAGCAGTGGAGTGTACACTTGGAAGAGTTCACTGATTATGATATTGTTCTGAGTGCAAATTTTTTCTTTGTAATATTTGCTTTGACAATTTTCAAGCAATTCCTTGATGGCTTTCTTGTTTACCCTTGCAGATGCTTTCATCCAAGGATTTGAATTTCATGGGCTACACATATAAGAACTTTGAAATAGTTAATGATCATGTAGTGCCTGGAATAGGTATAACATTCATCATCTTTTCCTTACTTTTTGGTACAAAGTAACCATTTCCTTTGGTGCCTATTATCACCTATCTTAACCCCTGGGTAGATGCTTTTCTCTGTTCAATTCTCCTTACAATTTTCTAGTGATCTGAATCATGCACTATAAATGTTTTTTAACTATCATTTTGAAACACAAGGGACAAAGTATATGTGCAGTTGGAAATCCTCACAAAAGCAGGGAGGAATATAATTGAAATGTAGAAGTTTATATTACTATTCCTTTAACTGGACATCATGCTTGCTCAACCAAGCATGGTGCCATTCTTGATGAGATACAGCAGATCTTTTTCGGAGACAAGGGCTATTTGGCTTCAGCATGCCTTTTAAATAGGGGGAACAATGTAAGGTAATAGAATCCTATCACATAAACTGGTCAAATGTGGGTGATGGTTTAGGGGTGGACTGAGTCTGTCATTTGATGGATTTTAGAATGAAAAAAAAAGGTAATTATACCTTGAACTGACTCCAAGTTGTTACAGACTTGAACTATGATGCTATGTGAAATGCAGAATTTTGATCAAAATTATTTGAGCCCTTATACCTTGTGGCTTATCTCTCTTATATTATGTTTTTTTTCTTTCTTTGAGGAAGCTTGACAATGTCTTTACTGATTCATGTGTTGGGAAAAATGATGAATCATTTGCATTTTCATTGTCTCATGCCAAACAAGTACATCTGATCCATCCACCATTCAGGTGAGGGCCACTCTTCTCCAAACATGTGGTTAGCAAAATAGTTATTAACTTCTTTTTACCAATTTAATAATGGCATTTTACTATGCAGGAAGTGAATAAGATGATTGTCAGGATCTTAAAAAAATGTAAAGTTCCACTTTAGGCTAAAAGAGAGGGAGATTTCCAATAATTAGAACAGTATGGCATTTCTGCAGTTTGGTGTATCAGGATTACTGAAATTAATTATAGTTGCAAATAATCTGTGTGGTCATTTTTAGCTAAGACATAGTACTTCTTTGTCTTCTCATCATGGAATTGTAGTTCTTAATGATAAAAATCATTAGTGGTTGTCTGATTTAGCCATTTATTGTTTGAGGATCTTTTTTTTTCATATGGAGGTCCATTTATGATGGCCTTTAGCCATAAATATTTATGGTAGATGCTGCTAAAACCAGAGTTGCAATAAAGATGGCTGGGTAAAGATGATTCTCTTGTTTATTGGTTATATGGTGCTTTTCGGCATCACCTCTGGAATTCCTAACTACACTCAGTTTTGAATTATTGAATACTGAAACTTTGAATAATGTACAGTCCTAAACCATCACCTACTAGGATAAGTTGTTATCCTGACATGTTGTACTACTCATAGATCCAAATCATCATTTTACTAAGATACTCTGTTGGGCTGCCATATGTTTTTCTTCTAGCATAGATCAGTGAGTTCCTGTTGTCTTGTATTTAGCTCTACCAGATAGTTCCTTCCTGGAATATATTTTGTTAGCAAAATTCCTTTTAAAGTTAATAAGCAACATATTTGTGTTTATACATATAAATACATTACGAAAGTTTCTGACCAGTCATCTCATTTCCTTATCAGCTGAATTGAAGAAGAAGGACAAATTGAAGAGGCCAAGTATCAAATCACTTTTTGGTAATCCTCTTTTCCCTTTGCTTCCTTCCAGTTGTTTGTTTAGACAAAGAAAGTCACTTCTTATTTGGCTTTTTCAAGAGATGTTATCTGTATTCCAGGAAAGGTTGACGATTATACAAGTGCCTTTATAGTTAGAAGTTAGAACTTCCTCACCACCATCTGCAGCATCATACATGATAATTCATACTTTCATGGTTATATACCTTTTAGGAAACATTTAGATATACAAAACTACATATCTAAAGCTCTTTTTGAAGTACAAGATGATGAGAGAAATATTAGACATAAAGAGAATGGCCCATGTTTGAAACTTTTGGATTTCACCTTCCACGTTTTGATATCATGGGTCAGGTTTTTGCTGTAACAAAGTAACTTCACCTGAGAGAACAAAAAAGATGATGGATACTATATTGCTTTTTAACATGTTTCCTGGCATTTAGAGAAGAAAACCTGGAATTGTTGTTTCTATTAAAGTATGTGCCATAAAGGATATTTTGGACTACATGAATGTGCATAAGGCTTCTCATCTTATAAATGAAACGATTCCAAGCGTTAGAGAAACCTGTCATTTGTTATGATCTATTTGGACAAACTGCAGTAGAGTTAGGTTTTAGAAACTGGAAAATCTGAGGTTCTGATATTAGTGACCGTGCTACTAATCCATAGTTGAAGAAGGTCAAATATCTTTATAGTAAATATAAGGAAGCCTTTATTTTCCTCCTCTCTATTTGGAGGGCTTCATCTCTTTCTTATATGATGAATCTGTGGCTTATGATTTCCATGACATGTATAAACGGGAACAAACAGCTGGTGGTGAATACTCAAAGTCTAAATTCAACTCTAATTTCTACCAGTGTTTCAGGCATATAAACCATTGGAAAATATTCCAGAGAAAAGTGTTATGTTGAAAAATATATGTTGATTGCCATGCACAACTACTACATATAAGCCATAGGCAAATATCACAGAGATAAGTTTTACATTGAAAAATTATTGATTGCCATGCACAATTGCTACATTAAACAATTCCGCTATCAGAATTCTTGAAGTAATAATTTTGGTCCATTTACAGAATCTATCATCAAATCATACTGAATAGTGCAAATATAGGGCTTAATATTTTTTAACTAAAACTTCTTTAATTTGTTAGCAAATATTAGTCACCTTAAAGAGATTTTCTGACTATGTATTGCTTATTAACTCAAAAAAGGAGCTTTATCCACTTATCTGGTACCTCTCAACTTAACGTACATGTTTCATCCTCAGAGGCAGAAGACCAGCTTGATGAATCCATTAGAGGGAGCTTTGAAAATGCTTTACCCAGCCAACTGGAACACTCAAAAAGTCAGGGATCATCTTCTCCGTAAATGTCATTGATTAATATCAGCAATCATGGAAGCTCATCTTTTACACAAATCACATTGATCTCCAAATGCATTGTGATCGAAATCTAGCAATTAAGTGCTTCCAAGCATCATAATTCTCTCAGGTGCAACTGCTGCTTAATCAGAAATTGCTGCATGCAGCAAGTTTTTAGGCTGAAGCAGGAACAAGTGAGAGAGTGAATTCTACTGCTTCGGAGAGATTGTTCATGACTGGTCCAGGCTTTTCGTGATCTCCTTTTTCTTGTAAAGAATTGCTTTTGTTATTTTTCATCAAGTTCGGCTGCTTCTTTTTGTAATTTTTAATGGTCTATATTTTTTTTTCAAATTTTACTCCTTCCATTCAATCACATATATCATGTCACTCAAGCTCACAAGATTCAAACTTATAACCCTTAAACTGCAGATATTGCTTCTTAACCATCGAGATATCTCATCAGAGATTGATGGTCTGTATTTGATTCAGAAAAAAATTGTACAAAACTAGTTATGGTATGCGGAAACTGTTCATCGATCATTTTGTTCTGACAAAGTGGATGGTCTTTTTTTTCTTGTTTTTGACAGTATCACTTGTGGATTGATGGAGGTTGCTGCATGGATGCTGCAAGTCATGTCTGTTTGCAGTCTGAAGAATAAAATTCTGGGAATCTGAAACTCCTAGGTAATTTTAATCTTGGAGATGCTAATGCATTCTTTAATATTCTTGCTTTCATCCACAGATCTATCATCCTTTGCAAATTTTCCTGTTGAACATAGATGAAACCTGAGCATCCAAAATGTAGGTCTATGTGAAATGTACCGTCATATATATTGTTGTTTAACTATGATTGCATGCAATACTATGACTTGATTGTCATTGTAAAATCATATTTATGGGAATATCAGGACATGATTTATATATATTTTTGTATGTTCTTAACTACTTGTGTGCAATAAATCATGCCCTGATATTCCCGTAAATATGATTTTACAAGGACAATCAAGTCATAGTATGGTATGCAATCATAGTTAAACAACAATATATATATTTACACACATACTAATTGCAAAGGACAGACATGTAAAAACCCAGAAACAATGCAAAAATAATTTAAAAGCACTAAATCATGCCAAAAATTATGAGATTGAAGGGATTAGGATTGACCTCAATCACTTTAAACTTGATAAATCAACTGCATTTTAATTTTATTAGATAATATATTAAAGATACTTTCAGATAAACTGACTCCAATAATATGCACATGACCATAGTTAGGATATAAATCAAATTACATTCGAACAAACATAAACTGCAGCAAATCCATATAGTCTTTCAATTCAGAACTCAAATTTTTATTGCATGTTTTCTTGCCTTTCAGCAAAGTTTTTGTTCACTGTCCATTGTACAGTTTTTTTCCTGGTATATTTATGGACACTCACTTGTAATTGGCAAAAGTCTTAAGTTTTTCTGCTACAGCAATCTATTTGAATTATACCTATTATATGGTACACTTTTATGATTCAGGGCATGAACAGAACATAAGCTAAATGGAAACTATTCATCCAACTTAACAATTACAAAAGTAGCAACAACCAGTCAAGCAACAGATTGCATTGGATTAGATGATCCTCCTACCTACCAATGATTAATTAATTATTGCTCACATGATATTATAGCAAGAGATCAGAGAAGGAAGATACCACATTCAGTTCTTTATCATTCCACTTCTTACACCATTCCAAGATTGCCTCATGCAGGCCTCTTCTGGTGCTACTCTAAGCCCCTTCTTTTTAATGAAAACAGAGCAATCAAGCATGTGATGATGACTTCAGTGCATGGTCCATATCTCAATAAGAAATTTAGTGAAATAGGAAACTTTCTCCAATAATAGTTTGGTAGCTCTCTGAAAAGACCTCATAATTTAGTTTTCCTCTTTGAATGTTCTCACTTGTTTGTATTAGGTATTTTACTTGGTTAGCTATATGATACAAAACCCTAATTTGCTTAAAGTTTAAAGTAGATGCTGATGTCAGTTCTTCTGGATGAATTCCACAACTGGTTGGAATTGATAGAAGGGAATCTATACAATTACAATAAAATAATGGCTATCATCATCATGAAGTGAAATAAATTGATTGCACTAAAGTAGTTCTAACTAATATAGGCTTTAAGATAGCCATAGCTCTAATAAGATTTTGGAACTAAACATATTGTCATATTTATTAATCAATAATATTAGGTCCTATGTAAAATATTTATTAACCAATGTAAAATATCAATGTAAGATGACCCTATGTTTTAAGTGTTTTGAAAAAAGTTTTTGGTTGGACTAAGTTGAGTCTCTTTATGTTAAAGCAATTAGCTTGTCAACTATCTATTATATCCAAAAGGATGATTTTTTTGTAGTTTATAACTACTTTTTGACCAACAACAATACTCTAATTAGGCTATGAAAATGAAAAGAATGTTTTTTTTATAATTTTATAACCACTTTTTTCAGATGAGATAAAATTTTTAATTGATTGTGATTTCCTTCTCTTTTTTTTTTCCCATTCATTTTCGAGCATGATTGTAAATAAAAATCCTCATGGATTGAGACTATTTCTCTTGCATTTAAATCCAATTTTTCTTAAGTTTATTATATTGGTCCAAAATTGACAATAAGATTGATGTTATATTTGTTACTAGTACATCTTATACTTCTTTAGGTACTTCCCCTTAAGAAATATAAAAAAAATGAAAAATTATTTATCTCCAATTAAATTTAAGTATAGCATAAACATCGTTACAAATATTAAAAACTTATAGATCGAATATTGTGGTTAATTTTTGTCAATTGTTTACAAGTATAATATAGTTGAAATTCAAATTGACTCATCAGTACCTTTTGTTTAAATAATATTGAGTTCAAATAATTGGTGATAGTAATAAAAGGTATTTTAGATATATTTAAAAGTATGATTATCTTATATATTCAATTACAACTAAAAAGCATTATTAGATTACTTATCAATGATTGAAAGCATGTTATTTTATTCAAATTTTTTAAAGATATCAATTAACATCTTTGCATACAGAAAAAAGGAAAAAGAACTTACTGAAGCAAAACCTTAGTTTGACATTGAAAGGAGGCAATTAATATAAATGTCATGAACATATGCCAACATACATTGCATGTGATCCAACGTTGAAATGTGGCTTCAACTTGCATTCACAATTACAGTGTTCTCCATGTGCATCCAACCTACCAATCCTTTCATCGAACTGTAACATTATATTTTATTATGATCTTAGTCATGTTCATCTTCATCTTCAATTCATAAACTCATTGCGTGAAAAGAGAGGACATGGCATCAAGATCAGGTAGGAATTAGGTCATATCTATGACATGCTCATACGCACATGAAACATCTTTAAAGATGTTATGACAATAATCAATTGTCATTACTTGACATGAGAGAAGAATTGGGAGGTGGGTCTATTCGACTCACCATAGTTGATTTCTAGTAGATACTCTAGTTGGATTTGGGTTCGGATCAAATGAGACAATCTATCAGTATAATTCTTTTACCATTATTTTTTTATATCCATAAATATCATTCTCACTGACTGAATCTAAGATAGATTCAAGTATGTGAATATTCACGTATCGAATCCAAGATGGATTTATGTAAGTACCCAATTTAGTTTGACTATTTGGATAGTCATTTGAGTTTGGATTTAAATATGATAAAATTTTCATCATGAAGTCTTAAGATATAATGATAAATTTATAATAATATCAATGAAAAAATACATAGATTATAATCCTAACCTTTTTATGAGAGAGAGAAAATTTTAATTTTGAATAAATTAAGGGGTCACTCAACCTTAACTTCCTTAAAACAGTGAATTAAGTTAGAAGAACCCTTAATCATCACACACAATTGCTGTCCTCCCCATTAATAATATTGGGCTTAACACACACAAAAAAAATCATCCATAGCTATTAAATAATTCAAATTAAAGCTATTAAAAATCTGAAGTAGTCTTAATATTCTTATCATTAATAATTATTTCAAAGGGCAGGGCATTTTATAAATTCAACTTTATGCCTCTATTTTAATGCTCAGTCGATAGAGAGAAACTAAGAACGTCTCAAAGCTTTTTATATAATATATAAGTTGAATTTGACTTTAGAGAACACACACACAGAGAGAGAGAGAGAGAGACAGAGAGAGAGAGATTTACCGGTGATGGATAGGAGTAGTAGGAGAAGCCATGTTGTGAAGCCACCACCTGCATCTGTTCCCTCCATTTCCCATCTCTCTTTCTTCCCGTCTTTCCTCGCGTGCTCTGTCAAAAAGGGAAGAGGAAGAAGGTAAAAGCAGAGAATCCCGCCTACTGCTGCTGAGAAGACCTCCATCCATCCATTCTGAAGCTGCAGAAAAAGGAAGACCGACCAAGTGAAGTGAAAGGGAGTAGGAACGCATGCAGGCCGCCTTCTGCTGCCATCTTTTTTTGGAATGGTGGAGTCCGGTTTGGTCGTTACCACCGCACCCCCTTGCCGCTGTTTAGCTCGCAACAGTTGCGCGACACCTCCCCCTCTCATGTCATATATAAGGACTTGTCCTTGTCCCCAACAACAATGACGAGCATGAAGCAAGAAGAATAGAGAAGGCCCAAGGAATATGGGGAGAGAAGGGGGAGAGGAGGTGCCCGCTGCCGACGAGATGATGGTCACAATGCGCCTGGTGAAGAAGAAGAAGAAGAAGAAGATGGGCGGTGGCGTCGAGAACAAGGAAGGCAAAGGGGAGGAGGAAGAGGAGGAGCCGAGCATCCACACCGACAAGCTTAGCTACGAGATGTTCTCCGTCATGGAGGACAAGTTCCTCTTTGGCTGCGACGACCACGAGCTCTGGGTCCCAAAGGCGCCTCCTTTGCCTTCCCCCGTCAAGAGCCAGAGGGGCAAGGTCTGCGTGCTCTGCATCGACGGTGGCGGCGGCGGTGGGATGCGCGGCATCCTGTCAGGGAAGGCCCTTGCGTACCTTGAGCAGGCCATCAGGTCCAGGTCCGGCAACACCGACGCTCGGATTTCCGATTACTTCGACGTCGCAGCCGGTACCGGCATCGGAGGCGTCTTCGCTGCCATGCTCTTCGCTACCCGCGACGGCGCCCGCCCGATCTTCCACGCCGACGATACCTGGCGTTTGCTAGCCGACCATGGCAAAATCCTCTTCCCAAAGGATTCGCCTTATGCCTGCTCGTCCTCCCGTAGCTTCTTCCGCCGCATCTTCCGAGGCGGGGAAGAAGGGAGAACCGCGGCGGCGGCGACAGCAGCGATGGAGAAGGTCATGAAGCAGGCGTTCGGGGAGAGATTGACGCTGCGCGACACGGTGAAACCGGTGCTTATCCCATGCTACGACCTGCGCAGCTCCGCGCCGCTCGTGTTTTCGCGCGCAGACGCATTGGAGAGCGAGAGCTTCGACTTCCGGCTGTGGGAAGCGTGCCGGGCGACGTGTGCGGAGCCGGGCCGGTTCGAGCCAGCGGAGATACGGTCGGTGGACCGCGCCACCGCCTGCGTCGGCATCGACGGCGGTCTAGCGATGAGCAACCCGGCGGCAGCGGCCATCACCCACGTCCTCCACAACAAGAAGGAGTTCCCCTTCGTCCGAGGCGTCGAGGACATCATGGTCCTGTCCCTCGGCTGCGGTGCCTCCACCGTGCCGGAACTGGAGCGGTTGCGGCGGTGGAGCGCCAAGGAGTGGGCCCGGCCAGTCGCCCGGATCGCTGCCGACAGCGCCGCCGACCTGGTGGACCAAGCCGTGGCGCTCGCCTTCGGCCAGTGCAGGAGCTCCAACTACGTGCGCATTCAGGTACTCTATTCCGACACCCCAGATGCCAACGTCCCGTGCGCCATACAACGGCTGTGGGGATGCCCTGTTCTGCCTTGATCTCTTAATGGTAGAACACAAGCGTTCTCTCTCCTCTACATCGATGTGTGTTTGCTTGGGTGGGGAAGGGACACGAGGAGGCAGTGGTGGTGGTGGACTTGTTTTCGTCTGTCAAAAGTACAAGCGGCTGTCGGCGGACGCACTGCCACCTTTTCTGCTTTTCTAACAGGGTCAGGGTGGTGGCGGTGGCAGTGGCGGTGGGCAGAGCACAGCCTGCTGCGTTATTGCTGTGGCATCGGCTTTAAGTGGATGTTTCCCAACATCACCAACAGGGCTCGTCCCCGTCTCAGTCCCCTCCTCAGCCTTTCCACCGCTCTTTGTTTCTTTCTTTAGCTTCTTCTTCTCAAATTGGAAAGTGGGTTTCCTTCGTTCATGCTTTGAGGTAAACATGGCAGGCGAACCCTTCAAGCATGGGGAGAGGTGGTGTGGACGTGGACTGCGATCCGAGCCCTGCAAATGCGAAGGTATTGTTGGAGGCAGCTGAAGAGATGCTGAAGCAGCAGAACGTGGAGTCGGTGCTGTTTAGTGGCAGGAGGATCGGAGAGCAAACCAACATGGAAAGGCTGGATTGGTTTGCAGGGGAGCTCGAGCTGGAGCACCGCCGGCGGAGCTGCAGAGTAGTAGCTCCCACCATCGCATTCAAGCAAGCAGCTTCCACGTCCACCTAGACTTGGATTAAGCTACGAGTAAGAACTAATCATCATCATCTTCTTCTTCTGCCATTGTTGTGTTGCTATGCAGTGTTCACCTGACGATTGATAGAGTGGCTCCTCCTTGCTAAAAATATTTTGAATTGATACTCGAAGAAAATATTTTGAATGTAAGAGAAACTGCCTGCACTTCAAGAAAAATAATACTTCAAGAAAGTATTTTGAATCGATAGCAATCTTCCTTGTACCTTTAGGATGATTCTTTCTTCACTCTGTCGCTCACAGATGAATGAATCTCTTCACTGACACATACAAGAAAGAAAATAATAATAATTCATGGGTTGCTTTCTTCAAAAAGTCTTTGTGTCGAGAGCCATGTTAAACATGAGTGATCTACGATTTCATGGGCTCTGAATGAAGAACATGAAGAACAGAGATGCAATCATGGTCTCTTTGTGGCCATCCCAAGCTCCTCATGTGGGACAAGGAATTATGAATCCTTGTGTGTTCATGAATGGTGCTCAGCTGTAGTGTGTGCCTATAAACCTTCTGAACAATCACAACTTTGGATCATCTGCTGTTTCAATTTGGTTGTGTTGGTGAATTTTTTGTGAGATAGAACTAATTCACAATTTCATCAAATTTAGATCAGTAGGCATGGTGGAGCTATTCATCACACAAAGTTGTTGCTGCTAAGAACTCATAAAAGCATTGGTTGTAAGGTTGAAGTCACTCATTTATATCTAAGGCTGCAATCATGGAGAGTGTGGCACCTCTATAGTTAATCTTGGGGAATTTATATAAGAATTATAGTGCTATTTTCTGAATGACTTTCTTCTCCTTAACATAAATTCTATAAAGGGATCAAAAGTTTGTTGATCTAACAAGCAAATAATCAAATGTCCAAATATACTTATTAATGTCCCTACTGATCGAAAGTTTGGTGTCATCTAATAAGTCAGCATTTCTTTGAAAAGAATTATCTATTTTGAATGGGCCCACAAGGTAAGGTAGAGCATGACTCTTGATACTTATAAAACCTTAATTTTACTATTTCTCATATAGTAAGATTGAATTTGATTATCAACATGATTACTATAAATATATTAAAATATTTATAGGTTGCTAAGCATGATATATCAATGTTTGAGGCAGTGTCTGCCGTACCGAAGCGTACCGGTCGTACCGGGCGGTACGTACCGATTCGCCAGGTACTCGGTACGCGGATCGTCCTATACTAGTGCTACAATAGATATACAAATTATTGCTGCAATGCTACAGTATGTGGTTTTGTTCAAGATGCAAATGACTTTATACTTACTCTTGTTGCTCGTGTGTATTTGTCTTGCCTTAAGATTTCATGATGAAATGTTAGAAAATCATATTCTTATCTTTTTCTTACCTTCGTATCGTCCTTTATACAATATCTAACCAACTAAGTCTAGTAAAAATACCCAACCCATTTTGTTCCGATAAAAAATATTTATCTCACTCTTATCAAAGGAAGTATGCTTAATCCTTTTTAGACAATAAATAATCGATCCATTCTCGTCAAAAGAAAATTGAAAATTGAAAATTGAAAATTGTATGACCTATTCTCTTTGGGAAAACATATATCCACTCTTAGGTAAAAGATATTTAACCCACTCTCGTAGAGCAAATGAATATCCAAATTATTTTGATTGAGAAAAAAAAAAATTGACCCACCCTGTTCGGGTCAAAATACTTGACTTACTCTTACATAAAAAAATATCGTCTTAAACAAAAATGTTTAACCTACTTTGATCAGAAAAAGATGCTCAATCCCTAACATATTATGATCGAACATATTGCTCGATCTACTAGATCAAGTCAATCAATCTATCGTAACGAAGTAAAAAGGTTAACATGGTTGATACGTCATAATTAGACAAAGTATCTCCCCATAACTTATATATTTATCGAGAATATAAGAATCTAAAGTGTTCGCTAATTGGACAACGCATCTATTTGAATATGACGTGTTCGTCCAAAATAAAATATCTAAAATGCCCCTACACTTATACATATACGAAATACAGAAGTATCCATAGCATTTGATTTGTTTTAAGTAGATAAAACATCTTCTTGTATACGGTATATTTGTTCAAGATATCAATATGTCCTAATTAGATAAAATATCACTCATGATTATGTTATAGTTATCAAAGCATTCAATGCAGTATAATAGTATAAATTATCCTTATGCTTAATATATCTATTTGGATGAAAGTATCATAAGTATATTTTATTTATAAAAATTTATATAGACAATAATTATCAAATTCTCACGATAAATATTATATTTCGATACGAAGGAATATTGATTCTGAAACACAATGAGATATAACTAATATAATACTTACCCATAGTAATCGAAACAATATACCAAGTCCAATTAGGAGTGTCATATTATTATGACATCTAAATGGAATTTTCTTCATTAAAATACTTAGTCTTTCACAAACTTTTTGCCCTCTTTTAACTTAAATTTCCTTCTCTCGCTCTCTCTCTCTCTCTTACGTTTCTTTCTTTTATTATCACGTGCATTACACGTGGGTCAGTTCTATGGTGTCCACCTCCCTAGCCATTAAAATGGTCGACTCGAGCCTCGGTGAAGAAGCTGCAAGAGATCGATGCCTTTCTTCAACCTCTCGATCCGCTATCCCGCTCTTTCTCTGTTTCCACTCTGCGATTCCTCTTCTGGCCATCTCGAGAAGTTCCACCAGCTCCACTCCCGATCGCTTAGCACGCGAGGTCGAGGAGGGTCCAGACTTCTCTAACCGTGCCCTAACTTTGAAGTCTAGGCGGAGGTCTTTGGAGGTGTCATCGCGGAGATGGACATGGAGCTGGAGCCGCGAACGAAAGCGTTGGCGTACAAGATTAAGGCGACGTCCCGCGAATCCCCAGCCCAGAAGGCGGCCAACGTCTTTGACCCGGACCTCCGCACTCACTGGTCCACCGGCACCAACACGAAGGAGTGGATCCTACTCGAGCTTGACGTACTCCTCTCTTCTTATCCTTTCTTGCTCGCATAGAAGAGAAACAATACCTTGAACTTGATGTGGCATTTTTTTTGGGTCTAATTTGTCTTGATATTTTGAGTCCTACGACGAGATATGCACTTTCGTTCAATAATGAAACGGAGGAAGTGGCTACAGATGTAGGTTCCAGGAGCATCACTGTTTGTGCAAATTAATCGCTGATTATCTTGCTTTGCCGACTTCCTCAATGTCCATTCTCTTCATTACTATCTGCAGATGGGGCAATATTGGTGCTATTTATAGTGGTTGAATGAATTAGAGTTTCCTTATTCCCATATTCTGGATGAGGCCTACATCTGTAAGAGAGATTTCTAGAGCGTGTCTGATATTTAGCCAATGATGTGGTTTCATTGGATGCGTATGTGGTACATCTGGTGCGAGAACAAGTGCTCTAAGTATGATCCGTAGGAACCGTAGTGAGTGAGTTTCTCATTTCTCCTTTCTCTTCCACTATTTTCATAGAAAAGAGAAAAACCTTTACCCATGTGCTTGTCTTGCGTCACTTTTTGCACAGGACTTATGATTGTTTTTCTTCAGTATATAGTCTTTTTTTTTTCCCTCAAATTCTGTGCTTGGATCCCTGTTTGAACAAGAGTCTGATGTCACTATCCTGCAATGATTGCTGCATCTCTTAGCCATTTGAGGTTGGATGAGTGGATCTTTTTCTGTATTTGATTTTGTTAAGAACCATTTCTTGACTTGAAAATTGTGATCATGTTTTTTCTTCCTTGTGATTTTTATCGAAGCCTTGTTTAGTCTTTCCCCTTATGGTAATTCAAACTCATTTCTTCTTGTTAGTGCACTTTATGATATGAGTGTATCTTACCAAAAATTTGGTCACATTGTATTTCTTGCTATTCGATAACACCATCTCAACATCCTCATCTTATTTATTCATTTATTTGTTTTGCTCTGCCATTTAACTTGGTATTTGTCTCACTCCTTCCACTGGCACAATTCCAAAGCATAATCAGTTACAAAAATATATGACTGTCATTTTGCTAGATAGATGCCAACTTTTCAAAATGTCTGCAGCATGCACTTAAATCTGCTATTGTCTCCTATCTTTTGTCTATACCTTGAAATCCACTTCAATATATTAATCAGATCCATTGTTTTTACAACTGATCCTCTCAGGAGCTCTTTGTGTTCTTGTTTTTCCATTATAATCCATGTTAGATGTTAATTTTCCCATGAATCCTTTTCTTAGGCATTCACACAATTTTTTCGTAAAGTTGCATTTAATATAGCAATCAGATCCATTGTCTTTACAACTGAACCTCTCAAGAGCTCTTTGTATCCCTGTTTTTCCATTAAAATCCATGTTAGATGATAACTTTCCCATTGAAAAGATCTGTTTCGCATTCACACAATTTTATCATAAAATTGGATATTTGACATAGATGAAATATTGAAGTGTCTTAGCATTTCTTTTTATGCCATTTTAAAGATTTTTTTGGGACTCATAAAAGAAAATTTTGTGGCATTTCTTGTCTGAACTATAAATTTGGTTGACCTATCGATGTCTGTGTTACATTTTCCAAGCTTTATTTATTTTACAACTTGAAATCACTAGAAACATACGAAGAACTTGACAACCATGGTTTTCAATTTCGATGTGTACCGGGCGGTACATACCGGCCTGAGAGGATATTAGTACACAGACCATCCTCTACCCGGCGGCACCAGTGTTTTGACCGGTACCGTCTTGGATTTCGATCGTTATCGAGGCGTATTGATCGGTATGCCCTAGCATGGTAGGTGGAGGTATTTTTAAGGTTTTAGGGTATACCGTCGGTATGCATTGGCATATCGACAGTACATATCGGTATGTATCGTACTGAGCATATGTTGGTACGTCAGTACGGACCAGTATTCAAAACCCTGTTGACAACCATATGTTTTAAGTCAAACTAGAAAAAGCACAATATATAAAGATGCTCGAGTTTGAATGTCAATCTTTCTAATCTACAAGATTATGTCTTTTTCTACATCTTGCAACTCTATCTGGTTCTTCTTGTCAAGCACTACTTGAAATTGTTTCAAGCTAGATTGAGTAATTGCTTCGGATATTTTGGAGCACATTAGAACAAGCCATTATTATCATGTGGTTGTAATTGTTATGGTTACTTAATCATCTTAACCTTCTCAAACTGGTTGTTTTTTATTGACTTAAATTTTCTTGTCAAATGTTTTCATGATTCCTATGGTGTAAGGTCATGTTCGCATGCTATAAAAAGCTAGAAGTGAAATTTGAATAGATATATGTTTCCTTAAATGAAGATGTTTTAGGAGATAAGAAATGAGTGCCGATTAAATATATTGCTAATGAGAAAGGTTATCTCGTAGCAAAAATGAGAGTTAAGATTTCTTAGAAATAGTGATGGTATTACTGACACGGTTAGTTTTTATATAAGAAATTGAAATTTATTTGTTTGCATTTTTCTTCTTTCTTGTACCTGGGAGGCTTTAAGAAAAGGAAAGGTTTTACTAAGTACATGGCTGAATGAATGAAATTTTTGTGGTGTGAGGTCATATTTTTAATGGTGTGATCCATTGTACATACATGAGATGTTTGGAGGTATCGCCTTTATTCTTACAAGTGAATCCCAAATTTAGAATGATCCAAGGATTTATCTCTTCTGATTCTTTTGTCTCAATCACCTAATCTGTTCCATTTTCTATTTCACAATTATCAAATTCTATAAAAAGGGAAAAATGTTTTTCTTTGCCCCAAGAGGTCTCCAAATTTCTATCCTATGCCATATTTGGTATGGTAGCATTCTTATCCTACATCAGATTTGGTATTAAATAAATTCTCCTATTGCCTTTATTGAGCATTGACTATTGATAGTAGCATTAGCTTGAGGGCATACTTATCACAGTCTTATATTCTCCATGTGTTTTGACAGGTTTGTAAGTAGTTCCAATCTTTCAGATTTGATAAGCTCAACCTAGTCTTTGAACTTTTTATGACTTGGTAAAAACAAGCAACATATTGTTTCTAAATTGGACAAATTTCTTTCTTCTTTTCTTGTCCCGTGGGATTCTCATAGATTTTTCCTTTTCTTTTATCTAGTATCAGTTTGCTCTCTTATTCATATTATTAGGATTTTTACCTGCAGGAACCTTGCCTACTGTCACATATAAGAATCTATAATAAATCTGTTCTTGAATGGGAAATTAGTGTTGGATTGCGTTTTAAGGTATGATACTATACTTATTTCAGTTTTGAAGCTTCTTTTTAATTCATTGCGAATTGTTCTTTAGATATATGTAAAATGTTAGCCTGCTTGTTGTTCCTTTATGATAAAATGATGATATTATAAAGTTTTTTCCATATCACTTTATTCATATCACTTTAAAGTTATTAGTAAAATCAATTAATGTTTGTGTTTTTTTTGCAAGGATTGAAATATCGTATCGTACCGAAGTTTCGACATTCTCTCGGTATGGTACGGTACTTATACCGAGTGATATACTGCTTGATGTATGTATATATATATATATATATATATACCGTCTTGTCACGGACTTAGCTGGAATTGCCTAAGTCGTGAGGCACCCTTACAGCTAAGACGCAAACTTAGCTTGAGTTGCCTAAGTCGCGACGCACCCTTGCGCCAACTTCTTGGACTTAGTTGAGATTGTCTAAGTCTTGAGGCGTATTTGCGACATATGCGTCCGCAAAGGTTCAGCCTAAGTGCAACCTCGTACAGGTCCCGAAGGACCTGTAAAACAGAAAGTTGATTAGATTGAAAACGAGCGACAGACAAGTCCCGATGTCTCGCAAAGAGGGAAGCTTTACAAGCAATTCAGCAAGCACCTTGTGTGCACAGGAGAAAAGAGAGAAAAGAGGAAAACAAGGACTTTAGAAGGTAGAACGAACAGTTGCAAGTCCACAAACAACTACTCACCGGGTGTCGGGCGCGAAGGCAAGTTCCCGTCAAGAAAACGTGTGAACTTGTGAAGATTGTTCAACGCCCGACTATATACCGAAGCCCCATCCAGCCCTGTGCCACCCAGGGGGTTCCAGGGTGTTGAGATGGCTGACATTTCGTGCGCTGTAGCGGGCTGCAGAAAACAGCCTGTGGCACGTGAAAACGAAGCCATTTTGGGGCTTTTTGGCCCAGCGTGGTGAGCGGTCGCACTGTGCGCTGCAACCTGTTCGAACATATATTTTTACAAGCAAAAACACATAAAACCAAGGCAAAACAGGTTGCCATGTCTCTGTTCAAGCATGAAAAAACGACGAACGGTTCGTTGAACGAAGTTGTTGCGAGTGCGCAACGACCATTCGTGACAGTCCGGTAGCGAGCGGTTCGCGTATCGGTTTACTGTCGGACTGGTACGTAACGCCCGTATCGGGCAGTATCATTCGAAACTGTATACCTTGGTTTTTTGCAAGGTTTGCAATACCGAATGATACCGCCTGTACCGGGCGATATGTTTTAGTCCGTCAGCAGACCGGTACACGGATCGGCCGTTACCGAGCGGGTAGTGTCGATTGAGGCTGTTATTGTTGACGGTGACCAAGGGAGAAGAAAGAAGGAGAAGGTGAAAGAAGAGGCAGAAGGGGAAGAAAGAAATAGTAAAAAGAAAAAGAAAAAGGAGAACCTGAGATCGGCGCCGCTCTCCTCGTTTGCGGCAACTTCTTATCCGCACGCGGGGAGAAGAGTATCGGCGTCGTAGGGCGAAGAGAGGCGACGTTGTTTGAGAAGAGACGCGATGTCGCCTTGGGCGACGTTGCAAATTTTTCTTTTTTTCTTTTTCTGTGATGTCTCAAAAATTTTTTTTTTTCTGCGGCGACGTCGCAAACTTTTTTTTTTTCTGCCCGAGAAGAGAGGCGGCGTCGACTCGGCAACGTCGGCCTGCGTGGGGAGAAGAGAGGTATACCGAGTAGTTTACCTCTTATATATATATATATACCGAGCGGTATACCGAAATATACCGCTCGGTATACAGTATCGTACCATATCGAACAAATCTCGAAATTTTGGTATGGTACGAAATTTCAATCCTTGATTTTTTTATCACTTTATTCATATTATATGAATTACTTCTGTGACATAGTCTTAAAGGTGGTATTTGCTGCTCTTTCCCTTATGCAGATTTCATTTAGCTAAGATCAAAATCTGGTCTAAAAAAAAGTCAGCTGGTACAATTGAATACCTATTTTGTGAGAATTTCCAGTTATTAATCCTTAGAATAGGATTAACTTATCGCAGTTGACATGCCGGCTGCCTTTTCAAGCTTGTGCTCATGATATTCTACTTAAGTTTATATAAATTATCATGGGGGTTTCATTACAAACAAGGTTTGTCGTACCACAGCATACTGTTCGGTATGGGCAGTGTGTATTAGTTCGATAGGGGACCAATATGAGCAGTACATACCGATACATTAGCATGCCCCACCGTATCATGTGTCGGTATATCAGTATGGCTTGGTATGTACCATATCGATAGTCGGTCAATACACCAGTATAGACCGACAAGGTGAACCATGATTACAAATGTAAATATAAATAATATATAATATAATATAATATAACCTTTATTGTTGTGTTGGTCCTTTGTGTTGAATCTGGTGCATGATATTAGGTATCTACCAGTCCAGCTACCTGTGACTTGCTCCACTGTCTTAAATGTGAACTTCTACCACAATATGATTTCAAATATTTCATGCACTAATATAGCCACTTGTTTATATGTTCAATTCATATTATATTTGTTATTGCCAAACAATTTTGTGTTGAAATATATAGTTGCCCTCTTGTTCCTTGGTAACAGTTTCTCTAGATGTTTGCCAAACTATAATTTAGTTGACACGGGATTAAGGAAACATCGACCAAGATTACAATCCAAGCCAAATGAGCTATATACATGTTCCCTTGACACTATAAGAAGCCCTGTGTAATTTTGACTAATTAGCTTTTGAAAGATATATCAGAGTAAATTGTATGACATATATGAACCAGATTAAAATGAGCTTAAAGCGCAAGACTGTCTTAAAGCTAGACGTACTAATGGAGAATAGAAAATGCACAATAAAAGAGACTGGGTCATGATAGTATATTCTTTATCGATGATCAAGTTCATCCAACAGTAGATATCTTGACTATTTGGTAGAAGGTGGCAAGATGCTTTTTAACCAATTGTCCTAGAAAAATGATGGGTGTTCCACTTCCATCAACCAAAGAAAAGGACAGGTTCTCCTTTACATCAGATTTTGTACCAGAGGTTGAGGTCACTATGCTTTATCTTACTTGAATTCTCATCCTGTAAACCTATTATCATGAAAATTTGAATAATATCTATTATTCAAGCATACAGTTTTCAGTAATATATATGCCAATCCAGAGGTTACAGTGATGCCGAATTAAATCTTGCACGAGTCACTATATTTTTACCTTGCTAGAGTGCAATTATGGTATTGCTTTTTATTTATGCATGTAAACAATTTTCTGACTTGTTATATATGCTTTGCTAAACATGTTAATGTAAACTATAAAGTTGATTTTGGTTCTTACTTTTCAGCCTGAGGCATTTCTAAAAGTTCGTCCACGTTGTGAAGCTCCAAGAAGAGAGATGGTTTATCCTATGAATTACACACCATGCCGTTATGTAAGGATATCTTGCTTGCGTGGAAACCCAATAGCTATATTTTTTATTCAGGTATCCCCAAATTATTATCTTCATCAATTCAATTATCTCGTCTAATTTGATGGTACTCGCTAGGCCAGAATTGGTTCCTCGGGATCAGAAAAATGAATATCTAGTTAGCTTTTTAACTCTTTATACCTAATACCAAATACTCTGAAATGATTCAGTTGTGTTATGCATGATGTTTATGTCTGGAACCAAGGGCATAGCCTTCATTAACCTATATAGAGAATGCTGGAATAATTTTAGTTCCTTGCACCTTTATCACCTGTATAAGTTCAGTATGTTCAACAAGTGTCAGCATAGATTTCTACTGTCATTTTATTGTTTATTCTAGTTATTGTTTTACGCCTTTGAAGAAAATGAATCTTCTAGGTTGTGTACATGAATTGCTGGCATCTGATTGTTTATTCTAGTCAATGTTTTATACCTTTGAAGAAATAGAATCTTCTTAATATTCTCTTTTTAAATTCATTGCATTTTATTAAATTCATTGCATTTTACTGCTTTCATGTTGTTACGTATTTTTTCTGGATATTCTGTTAGTTACATATTGTACTTGAATCATTGAATCATTAATGCCAGCTTATGGGGGTTACTGTTACTGGATTGGAACCTGAGCTTCAACCTATTGCTAATTACTTGATACCACATATTATATCACACAAGCAAGATGCTCATGATATGCATCTTCAGGTAAATTGCTATGTTTTTATGATATTTATTTTCAATTTTATCATTATATTTCTGCCCTTATTTTAAGCCAAATTCTAATTCCAAATTGTTGATAGCTGCTTCAAGATGTGGCGAAGAACCTGCTGGTTTTTCTTCCGGAGCTGGAGGTGCAATAATGGCTATTTTCTTCTTAGTTTGTCCCACTGCATTTGTTCGTCTTCTTCTGTTTGGCATTGTCTTTTTTGTGATGGTTAGACAGTTTTCATTTCACCCATTGCAGACAGATCTTACCAATTTTCCCGATGCTGCTGAGACTAACATTCGTTTTTTTGCAATGCTTGCTGGTCCATTCTATCCAATTCTGCGTCTTTCTAATGAAAGGTGAAAATTCAACTATTATTTGCAAATTGTGTTGTGAGTACTAATGGAGGCCTTTTGCTAATTATACTTTGAGACACTACTTCACATGAAACTTTGAGGCAATTTTTTTAAATTGCTTCACATGAAGCTTGATGGTCCCAAATTCCAATTGCAAAACAATTTTTATAGATCCATAAATGGTTAGTTTCTACTTTCTAGATTTCTAGATACTAGAACCTGATCAACTTTGCAACTGCATCTATTTAAGTTTTACCCATGATGTGTTCTGTCATAGTGTTCTGGCAGTTGCCAAAGCATGGGGTGTTCATTTTGTTGCATTGTTGGAGAACTGTATAGAGAGTATAGCAAATGTGAACAATTTCAGAGATTAACTTAAGATTTAAGATTTCCATGCTGCTTTGTGCTTGTGTGTACTGACAAAGAGCCAGCATTGTGCATGACCAATCCTAATTATAGGATCCATAGATCCCAAGAGAGCCTGCAATAGTGCAGGCATAATATCGTATATGCACACTGTTATGATGCAAGTCAGGATTGAGAATGTGGCTTGAATATATTTGTCTGCCAAGCATGTTTCTTATCCAAGGGCTCAATAGATTTAGAGTGATAATGAGACAACACATCTTGGTAAATTAATCAGTGAATTGATGTGAATTTGTTAGGCTGTTAGGTGATATGATATGTTCTTGTTTTCTCTTTTTCTGCTGCCTTGGTAGCTTTCCATAATTGTTTATCAGTTATTCATTGACCAGCAGTCATTGGCCAATAGATTACTGCTGCTCAGTGGATATCATCTGATCATTTGCGACATATTACTTATTGGTGGATAACTGTGCATTGGTGTTAATGTATTTGGGAGGCTACCAGGAGAGGGTTGTGAGCCTTGTCATGGGAGAATGACACAAAAAAGAAGTATGTTATTAATTATGCATGTGATGTAGGACAATATGCATGGAAGACTCTTGAAACAAAATTCTTTTCTAGGATTTGATAGTTGTTGAATGGAGAAAATATATTAGTTGAGAGGAAAGAAGAAAACAAAATATAGAAAAAAATAATTAGCGGACTTGTTGTGGCCCAAGAAGAAACTCCCAAGAATGAAAGTCGCATCTCAACACCATGTTTTGCATGTGAATGATTTATACTGTCGAAAAAGAAATGTGGCCTCACACCACACATACATAATGTGGGAAAATAGCTCATTTATTCATTCATTGATTTATTCATATCTCACTTACAATTCCTTTCCTTTTTTGTAGAACACACGCAAAAGAAAATAAAAATGAAAATTAGAATAAAGCAAAATTTCAAAATTCAATTTATCATTAATCTTCTTTCTTAGAAGAAAATAACTTTCCTTATTTGATATGGAGAATAACCTCTCCTTTTGATGATAAATCCGATTGATAAATATTGATATATTTACATCTTTGTACTAATTTTCAATCAAGAAGATTCTTTCTTATGGAGATGAAATTTTCAATTAAACTTAATGCTTATTTTTTTTAATTTTCTTTAGAATCTTCAAGCCTATGGTTGCCCTTTTCTTTTGGTTGACTTTGTTTTTTTCTTCTTAGACATCTTAGTAACTAATATTATGATTGTCATAGATGTTGCGATATGACAACTTATAAAAATTTGTGAGAGACACTCTAAACTAGTTAAAATAATTAAAGAGAAAAATAAAGTCAAATTTTCTCGCATTAGCTTGTGAGGTCAGATGTGGATTGTGTCCACTCCTAAAGTGAGTTCAGTCCTCGTACCCTCATAATTGTCAGACCCAAAAGGGACACTTAACTTGACCAAACCTTTTGGGTCAGTAGTTCATTGGTTGAACGTATGGATCAAGTGATTGGACTGCAGGTTTGATATAAAAATATATTTATATTGCGTAACTGATAAAAAAAAATATGTATAAAAGAGAGATATATAATATTTAAAATATATAACAAAAATATAGTTACAAATTTCATTTTGTTATAGAATAAAAATCATGAAATTGGATGAGCAAAAGGTTAAAATTTAAAGTCCAATAAGTTGCCTGATAGGAAAAAACAGGTCATTATGTGATTTGTTATGATAAAAGAAGAAAAATAAAAGATTGTAAAAGAAAGCAAAGAGGACTTTGACGTAAAAGGGACACGAGTGATGAGAAAGAAATTAAGGATGAAAGAAAGAGAATAAGAATGGGCAACAAGAGAAAGAACAAGAGATAGAAAGAAAAGATAGAACAGAGAATAATGAGGTGGCAAGTGAGATAGGGGTTGGATAATAATGTGCTTTGAGAAAGCATCTAATTTTTTACTTTTTACGAATACCTCAAAAAAGTAAGTATGAGTATCTATATTCAAGAATAATGTGGTCAACATTAATAAGAAATGGTCCAATCAACAAACCATACTAGTGAAGGGTCCAATTCTCGATCTTTCCAGTCCGGTTTTAGTAACTATGTTTGAACTCTTGTTCTTCATGGTTTCAATTGTTGTGATATATTCATCATGCGGTATTGGTCCAAAATCATACATATATTCTGACACAATGCCCATATTGGTCAAAGTTAAAATGTTGTATTTGTAATGTTTTGAAAGTTAGGGGTTTTTCCTTGCAATTATAATAAGTTTCCACATGGAAACATCCTTCATTTTTGGCATGGATATTCATGTACACCATCTGCTAAGATTGTCAAGATAAAGAAAAAAAAAAGAAAGAAGGCTAAGCTAATATAACTGATGGCATGAAAAATTTGGTTGATCGAAGATGCCACTAAAACTGATACCAAACAAGCATCTTGCAGAATAAGAAAGAATAAAGATAATTAAGGATCAACTGATCACGTTTGTTATAGCATGAGCCTTGACTCTAAATGCAGTTGGGATACCCAAAGATTACGTTCTCTTTTAGTAATAATTGTTTCATCTATGTTATAGTAGATACTGACCATCTGTATAATGTGAACATCGCACAGGAAATTGTTATGCAACTTTGTTCACTGGTTCTCATCTAAAGTTCCTTTTTCCATTGATATGTAGGAAAGCTTCAAGTGTGTTGCCTTTTTCTTCTGATTTAGATGCATCCAAGAGCAACCCATCCTCTACTTTAACTGTTTCGTCCAACTTTGAGGCAGGTGCATTTATGTTTGATTTTTTATATTTATTGAAATAAAATTACTCACTGCTTACCTTTGCTCATATGGTTAGTTGACACTTGTAGATATCTATTGTTTCTAACTGTTGCTGCTTCGAAATCTTGCTGCTTGATTGAACCCTACTTGCCAAAAATATTCCAATACTATGCTATGGACTATTCGAATGCAAAAATAATTTTTTTCAGAAATAAGATTCCCAATATCATTAGATGCATTCAAGAGCAACCCATCTTGTACTTTAACTGTTTCGTCAAACTTTGAGGTAGGTGCATTTATATTTGATTTTTTTTTATCTTTATTGAAATAAAATTAGTCAGTGCTTACCTTTGCTCATATGGTTAGTTGACACTTGCAGATATCTATTGTTTCTAACTGTTGCTGCTTCGAAATCTTGCTGCTTGATTGAACCCTAATTGCTAAAAATATCGCAATACTATGCTATGGACTTTGTTTTCAGAAATAATAGTCCCAATATCATAGGCAATAGTCTGTGAATATTCATGGTGGTGCATGGTTGACATTGTGATAACTCATCAGGCTTATGTTGTGTCGAGACCATTAAGTCTAAAAGCCATCAGCTTTGGCAGACGACTACTATTGCAATCAGAAGTTGACTTGCCTAACAGTGGCCTCAATAAAAGAACTGAGCGGTGATGATTGCTTTAGTTTCTTACCCTGAAAAGGCAAACAATATTTGAGGGAGGAAAATTCACCACAGGATCCCATAACATTGTGAAGGGTCCATAAAGTTATTCAAAGAAGACATGTCTAAAAGGCCTTTGTAGTTAGAATCGTGGTTTTAAATTTTGGTCCAGTACTGGTTTTATTAATATACCAGATTAGTATGGTGCCAGTGTAGCAGGGCAGTACACCAACCTGTATCAACTGGAGCAAAAATAACAAAGTCTAAAAGTTTAAATACCGACCATGATCCACCATTGATTTCAGTAATCTACCAGATTGGTATGGTAACAGTATGGCAGGCAGTATACCAAGTTGTACCACCTGCTATATGAGACTTGTGACAACTAGCACTGCAAGAGTTGAGTGGCTTGAATGAACAAATGAACTTCTGGGTTCTGTCCTGATTTATCTTTCCAGGGCAAGTACTTCATGAAGCTTTTTGAACTCTAAAATTGATTCTTTTTTCCCCTCTAATAGTTCTACGCTATGTTAGAGCATCTTCCTTCTAGGCTTCTAATCCTTTAGTTAGGATTTAAAGAGACAAGCACTTTTTACTCAATTTGAGTTACAGTAAGACTATGGTCAGGACTCAGGATATCAAGATTGGAACATGGCAGGTAAGGATGAGCTGAAAATACATGCAAATAACATGCACAAAAAATTTCCTGGTCATATTTGAGTCGTGTTTACCTGCGCTTTTTATTCAATGCTTGTATCTTTAGTGATCTACCCTGACCACATCTTGTTGTAAAAAAATCTCTGCATTTGAAGTAGTTCTTCATCATGCATCAGAAGTGTCTTTTTTCTGAGAGATCTTTCATAGGTGATTTGACTTTGCAATGAGATACAGAATGATACACTCCGAGATGGTTGTGGTGCATGCATAAGATTCTTCCTATAAATATTAAACTATTGGAGATAACATATTCTTGAGTTAAATTTTCCATTGTTGCTGATCTCTTGAAGATGCTTCAGCATCAATGATTACTTGAAGAGAACCCAGCCCTGGTGCCACTTGACCTCTCAGATCCCCTTGAAGATCAATGGGTGTGCTTGACTTTGTCATCAGCATTGTTCTGGTTAAAGGACAATCATCATCAGGATTTGCTGGAAGTTTGTGACATTGTGGTGTTGGTGCACAGAATTGGTGCATTTTTACAGACATTGAAGCCAATAATTCTTAGCTTGTTTTGTGTGTTCAGGAACAAAAATGTGATTATGAGCTACTCTCGGAAAAGTTGTTGCCTATGTGAAGATGTAGGGTGGACTTATTGTAAAATGTAGACTCTATTGCAAATATGATACTATATCACAAGAGTTCATTGTGATGTATGTTTGAACCTGGAAGTGGGGTTGACAGCAACAATTTGCTCCACAAAACCTCTTTAGTGTTTTTTTTCTAATGGAAGTTGGCTGCCAGATGTTGCTTTCCTGTAATGGAAACTGATAAAGCCCGACATTATAGGATTTACCCAACATCAGTATCTCAGAACTGTAGATAACTACTACATGGACAAGGATTACACCTACTGTCTTGTAGGGATATCATGATTTGAGTCTTGTAGTTTTGAAGCAATAAACTACCATCTCTTTTAAGTCTTCATCCCTTTTTAGCTGAATGAGATGAAGAATGTTGTGTCGCTACACCAGACTCTTTGTAAAGATATTAGGCTTTGGGTTTTTCTCCTTAAGGTTTAGTGGCAGAGGTTCTTGATGTTTTTGTTAATCATTTGAGATATGATTTGAGCCAAGCCAAGATAAACCTTTATGGAATCAAATTGTAGTCTTGAGATGATAATTAAATGATCTATTTTTATTATATAGATTATCTACAATGTTGGAATTAAGGTTTTAATTGTTGTGATTTTCATATTGGCTTAAAAATTTCATGCTAATATGGTTTTAAAAAACCCAGTAAAAAGGATGTTGGACATTATGTGTATAAACACATTTTGACAATGTATTTCTTGGCTGTGCCAGTTAGATAGTGCTTTCTAGGACAGACCAGTTTGAACTCATGAGAACCTGATCAATTTTGGTCCAAGGCAACATGAAATCAATGGTTTAACACCTCGGTTGGTTTAGGGTTTCAAGCTTTTTTGAAGTGGAGGATGTCACTTCTTTTCAGAGGGGAGATAAGGGGAGAAAGACAGGAGAGCTGATGTGATTCTTGTAGGAGGTAAGCATTTTATATTTTTATAATCTCACACCTTTTTTTCTTTTTTCTTTAGTAATGCTGGTAGTTTGCCTTGGCACTGTGGTGATTTTTTCATGCGGATGATATGTATCATACCAGATTGCTAGCTGAAACAGGGATCACTAGGTGGACTTAGATCATATACTGCAAATGCTAATGGTTTTTTCCTTTTTACCAAAAATTACATACTTTATATGTATGTTCTGAAAAGATAAATACTATTGTCACTAAAGGTATAGTCACGTCCTTGCAATATTTGCAGGCACAACCAAGAAGATCACGCAGTCCACCCTTCCCTGAACTTGCTTGCAGTTCTGTAGCATTTCGATCTGATGCTGTCATCATTCTGTTAAGGAAGGCATATAAAGAGTCTCATTTGGGAATTGTTTGTCGGAGAGTATGTATTTGTTGTCTTTAATCTTTTCTATGGTAATAGCTAGTCCTGAGTTCTCTAAGACTCGAGTTAATATTTATGTGTTGACCCTTTTGCTTCTTAGGCTTCAATAGCACTACACAGACTTGTAGAAGCAAATAATTTACTAGGGGAGTCAGCATGTACTGATGACTTGGGTCTGTCTTCTATATCTGATGAAATTGTTAAAACTGAAGTAACCAGTCATATGCAACCTGCTGATTACTCGAGCTTGTTTGGGGAAGAATTCAAATTACCTGAAGATTATTGGGATGCTTCTTATTTGAATGTGTTGGATATATCTGCAGTGGAAGAAGGCATTCTCCATGTCTTATTTGGATGTGCTTCACAAGTATGTTCAAAGTGGTCACCAACTATATTCTGTTTTTTAAACTAATGATCCTGTTTTTTTCCTATTGGAATAACTTTTAGCCACCAGGAGTCTGCTTCTGTATTAAAATTGTTGAGTGCTTACATTCTTTTATAATGAATATACAGCCTCTCCTGTGCTGCAAATTGGCTGACAGTAATTCAAATTTTTGGTCCCTATTACCACTTATACAAGCACTGCTTCCAGGTGAAAGGTCTTCTGTTTTAGCACCTTCGAGTGGTTTATTTATTAATTAATTTGGATGGATTCTGATTCCCTTTCATTTGATAGCACTTCGTCCTCCGATTAGCCTCCCAGATCAAGTTGATGATAGTTTTTCACAGTGGAATCATCCTTCTGTCCAGCATGCTCTCTCTCAGGTTCAGCAGTGATGCATCTGAGTGATATATGTTACATGCATTTGTATTTTTATCAAAAGTCTCAACAATTCACATTAATCTGTTGTTGCAGATAATAACAATGTCATCATCATCAGTATATCATCCTCTTCTTCATGCTTGTGCGGGCTATCTGTCTTCATTCTTATCATCTCATGTCTGTTGGTTTCATATCAAGTTTAATTATGAATAGGCAACTTACTTTTTGGCTTTCGATTTAAGCAAGCATTTATTTTTCAATCATCAGGCAAAGGCAGCATGTGTATTGATTGATTTATGCTCTGGACCATTATCACCATGGATATCTACAATTACTGCAAAGGTTTCATCTTTTCCCATTATAAGTCTACATATGAAGTCAACGACTTATATTTTGTAACTGCGTCGACCCTTTTTCAGGTTGATCTTGCAATTGAACTTCTAGAGGACCTCTTGGGTGTTATTCAAGTAATTCCATCAGTCTTCTTGCTTCTATTACTGTTCCGAAGGTCTAATTCTTTATTATAATGAATGCTTGTTTGGTTGGTTGGTTATAAAGTCATGGATACAAGTGCAGAATACTGATGCGATGGATATGGGCATGCATCAATGTATAATGTTAACTATTTAATGTGACAAAATTTGGTATTTATTTAATGTTAGAATAGGTAGATGTATATATATCATGATTCATGGTAAGTAACTTATTCATCACGAAAATATATAAACAGTGTTTGGTCAATTATCTGACATAAGCAATTAAAACTATCCATGTTTGACGAAAATTTGGTCATTGCTTGGTGCAGATCTGACCAATTCTGTGGTCAATACATTGTGATTTGTTGTGGATGGTCAAATTATCAATCACTAATTTTTTCTTGAAATAATCTTCTCATTTTGAGAAAAATGTTATTTGATTTGAATACTATAGTCCTGGCATACCAAAGTCTTTGAAGGTCAGAGGCAATTTGTTCTACTATGGCATGGTTCACATTACCGGTTCGTACCATTATTTCGATCAGCTATCGATACTGTACGTACCGAGTTATACTGAACGTACCAACACATGGTACATTGAGGTGTACCGATATACCACCCGTACCGATCCTTGTGCTGTGGTATAATTGAACATTCATTAAAAATATATATATAAATGTTTTGTTTGGGATCATATCTTCTTTGTATTATGTATAATTCTTGTTTGGTATGGCATTTCCGCTTTTTGTTCTTTTAAATTACTGACACTTTTTCTATTGTGTTAAGGAATGAAAAGGTTTTTTACTTCTATTGATTTTGAAAACCACTTTTCAATCGGTTTTGTTACTATCTGATGCCCCCCTCTAGAGTATCCCTTAATGGTCCTGTAATTGTTCCTTTAATTGGTCCTGTAATTGTTCCCACTCTCACTTCTCTTCTATAATTTTCCAATTGTTAAAGTTGTGATTGTTAATGTCCTTCTATAAAACCAAGAAAAGCTAAAAGTGAAATAAACATTTTTCTAAGCTAAAAAATAGAATTAACACCAAATTGGCAGTTGAATCGGATCATAGAGTTAAAAAGAAAAGGAGTTGGCATCATTATGTAGTCTCACCATTTGATGATGTATGGTAATATTTCAAGTTTGCCGGCAGTGGTTGATGACTGTCGAACTATGTCATGCCAGTATACTAGTAGCATGGAGTTTGGTTTTATGCCAAGGATCTCCCTGAACACATAATCAAGCACAAGGCTTGTTCCGACCATATGCTTGAACCGTGCTGATCGGCATGTATTGTACTGACATGTCCATCCCGATGAACTAAAAAAAAACTTTCTATGACCTATCATAGATGTTATTTTTTGATCCATCTATTATCTTCATGTGAAGATTCCAATAGTATCAGCCATTTATACACTTGAATAAAACCTTGATCTCTTGAATTTGATCCTGATCATGATAGCATTTATTGTAAAGCTGAAATACTTGTCCATTGGATTGGAGTTTTCCATTTTTTTTAGATTGCAAATAAAGAACCTACTGTTTGAGTGTTCTGATGATACAACTATGACACAGCTTTGTACAGAGTTCTTTGGAGTGCTGCGCTCAACTCTTATGGGACTTTTATGGACCAATATAACTACTGTGGTGGCTTTGATAGCTATATATTTCTTTAAGGGTAGCAGATTATATTTTATGACATGTTTCTTAGATGCCAATATACATTTAAAATGTTTTTCTATATTTTCGTGAAGTTTGGTCATATTAATTTTTCACCTCCTTTCGTACACCCTACTCTGTTTTGCTGTTCACCTCCTCCTTTTCTTGAACATGGGAACTTGGTTCACTAACTGTAATGTCCAGGATACACCTTGACTCTGTGCTTTCGCAGAACTTATTTTACCAAGGTCACAAAATACTTGTATAACTTATTATAATAAGTTGTATCACATATTATAATTTATAGACTGGCCAAGGACCTTGCATTTGATTAGGTACTGAGATCTTACTGATACTTATTGCATTATGATCTTAATTTTTTACTGATTTCATCAGGCTTTTTTTGGACATGCACAATTGGTCATAAAAAAAAAATCAGTTGGGTTCTGATGCAGTACCTTGTTTCTGTGGCAGTCTATGATGGATCTAGCAACAGGTTTTAGTATGAAAATGTCTCTTTGTGAGTTCCACACATTGCAGCTAGCAACATGCATGTGACAGCTCTCTTGCACACTTTCACTATGTTGTTTCTAAGACTAATGAAGTTTTAGCTCTTGATTTTCTTAAGGTACCATAAAACATTTTCTTTATGGAACCATATATTTTACCTTCTAAGAACCTACAATTGAATGTTTTTAGTGACTCACTTTCTGCAAGCATATTTGAGGAAAAGAGCATTTCCTGCTGTTTACCTATGGTGGATCATGTTTCTTATGCAGGATAAGATTTTTTTCATGCAGCTTTTATGCATGAAACAATAATGGTCCTACCTTTGAATTTGGATTAGCTACAATTGGTTTATTCAAATCCTGTGAATGCAAGTCCTTTAGTTCTAGTTACTGTCATTTAGTCTTATTCGGGCTATACTTTTTCCTTTCTAGTTCATGAACCCTGCATCTGGCGTCCATCTTTCATCTGCCTGTGCTCAAGAAACTATGAATTGCATCAGAGTCCCCTAGTTATTATCTAAATTCTACCTACTTCCTCTTGAATAACAATTCAAGACAAGGAAAAAAAATCTTGATATATTTTCGTATGACAGATTATGCACTTATTTTCATTTTTCATGTTTGGTTGACTCTGTTCATAATGCCGCTACCAGGGTGTTCCACAATCTGCTGGTCGTGCTCGTGCTGTTTTAAAGTATATCTTGCTGGCCTTGTCTGGCCATATGGATGATGTACTATCAAAATATAAGGTTTGGCCTTCTGTTGAAGTATCAAGCATAAATTTTTAGCATACTGTTTCCAGTCAGATAGATGATGCTTTTACCATCTGTGTAGGAATTTAAACATAGGCTTCTATTTCTTTTGGAGATGCTAGAACCCTTTCTTGATCCTGTGATTACTGGAACAAAGAATACAACTTTTGAAGATGCTTCTGATATACACTTGGAGAAACAGAAGAACTGTTCTATTGCACTCAATGTTATACGTACTGCATTACGAAGGCCTGCCATTCTTCCTTCTGTGGAATCTGAATGGAGACGTGGATCTGTTGCACCAAGGTCTACTGTAACAGCATATGATAATATCATAGGGAAAATAAAAAAAGTTAAACATCTTTATGGTTTATACTTTATAGTGCTTATTTTTGGAAGATACAAAAAGAGAGAATGAAGTGATCGGTGTAGACTGCAGTTTAAAAAGATGTGAGAGTAAAAAAAAAAAAAGAATGTGTTTTTTGCAACAAAAGGAATCTTATCAATGCACCTTGTTGGTTGTTACATTACTTGGTTTTCATTTAGCTGACAATATACTGTCTTTCTATATTGCAGTGTACTTCTTTCTGTTCTGGGGCCACACATGCCATTACCTTCAGATATTGACCTTTGCAAATGTTCATTTCCTAAAGTGGCTGATCAAGAGTCTTTAGCTGTTTCTTCCGACTCTGTGATCTGTTCTCATGGGGCTTCTAGCATATCCAGTAGTCCGGATGAAGCAAAGGGAAAGATTGATGCATCTGAAGCTGCTACAAGAAAAGATGTACTCCAAGATGCTAACCTGCAGTTTGCTCGTAGAGATCTGTCAAAAATTGTTCTGACAAGTGTTCCCAACTATTTTACTGGGGACTGTATCAGCTTGAATTCTGGTTGTGGTGTTTCAGAGGTGAATAAGATTTCAAATAACAACTTTCAGTTGAATACTGGTTTCTTTGCTGATTACTTCTATTCACAAGCAGATTATCTACAACTTGTAAACCATCAAGATTCGGTATTTAGGGCTTCCGAATTTGAACGTTTAGCAGCTGATTTGTGTTCCCAGCATGACATAACCCCAGAAAGCCATGAAGCTGCAATAGATGCCTTACTCTTGGCCGCAGAATGTTATGTCAACCCATTCTTTATGATTTCATATGGATGCAATTCAGAGCTTATGAATCAGATGAAAATTATTGGATCCAAATTCAAGAATAAAACTGGATTAGTGGAGTTTAATAAAGACCTTAAGAGATGTAATGTCAATCTGGAGACAATAGCTTATCTTGAAAGTAAAAGAGATATAACAGTTCTGCAAATTCTGCTTCGTGCCACTAAACTGGACCTCGAATCTGAGAGAATTTTGGCTCTTGGTAAACCTTATACATATAATTTTGAAGGTAATCAACAGGCTTTGGAAATATCACAAGTGGACATTGAATCAGCTGATGTGGTAACATTGGTTAGGCAGAATCAATCATTGCTTTGTCACTTTGTAATTCAGCAATTAAGAAGGGAACAACAATCATCACATGAAATCCTCCTACAGAGTCTCCTCTTTCTACTGCATTCTGCAACTGAGTTATCCTGTTCTGCAGAGGATGTTATTGATATTATACTGCAGTCAGCTGAAAATCTTAGTGGACAACTTACAACTTTGTACACCCAACTGAAAGCAGGAAACATACAGCTTGAAATGGAAAAGTTACATGGGCTGCGAAGGCGCTGGGCACTTCTTGAAAGATTGGTAATAGCATCTTCTGGAAATGATGAAGGGACAAATCCCATTGGCATCAAAAGTGCTGGTTTCATCTACAGAACTTTAGTTCCACCTTCATCGTGGATGCAGAAAATATCCAGATTTTCGAGTTGCACATGTCCACTTTCTAGATTTTTAGGATGGATGGGAGTATCTCGATATGCAAAGCAATACTTGAAGGAACACTTGTTTATTGCCTCTGATCTTTCACAAATTTCATCATTGTTATCAATTTTTGTGGATGAGTTAGCACTTACAGATAATTTAGTAAAAAAGAAAATTGAATCTGCATATTCAGATCCATCGGGTACCAAAACACACTCCCAAGTTGATAAAGAATTTGAGTCTTCTAATCAGTCAGATGCTAAACTATCATTTCAAATACTTTTTCCTCACCTGCATATGTTCTTCCCAAACATGAGAAAGCAGTTTGGTGAGTCTGGAGAGATAATTTTGGAAGCTGTTGGTATGCAACTAAAATCTCTTCCATGCAGTGCTGTTCCAGATATCCTCTGCTGGTTTGCTGACCTTTGTTTGTGGCCATATCTAGAAACAATAAGGAACCATCTTCATGTTACAAAAAATGCTAATCCTTTGAGAGGTCATATCGCTAGAAATGCTAAGGCAGTTATTTTTTACGTGCTTGAATCGATTACTGTTGAGCACATGGAAGCATTGGTTAATGAAATGCCGAGGGTAGCTCACATCTTGATATCTCTTTGTAGAGCCTCCTTTTGTGATGTTGCTTTCCTGAATTCTATTCTATCTCTGTTAGGACCAATAATTTCTTACTCTTTGCGGAAGGCAAGTGATGATGAGAAGCACTTGTCTGATGCATCACTTCATCAGGACTTTCATTTGTCAAATTTTGAAGAACTATTTGACAGTATAAGGTGTGAAAAGGAGCTGAATGAGGTTACTGAAGAGAAGAAATTCCAGGGATCATTGATGATTTGCATTTTAGGTCATCTGTTTCCTGATCTGTCCTTCAGGAGGAAGAAAGAAGTTTTAGAATCCTTGTTGTTGTGGGTTGATTTTACCACTTCAGCACCCATATCTTCTATCTATGATTACCTCAGTGCATTCCAGAAACTCATTAACAGCTGTCTCATTGTAGTAGTGCAGGGTCTAAAGTCATTTGGTGTCAATCTGCCACTTGAGAGAAAACAGTCAACTGCAGGTGGTCCCAACTTAAGCATTAATGATGGCTTAACTTATCAGTTTGATTCACCAGATCTTGCAGATGGATATGTGAACGGGTTGTCTAAAACATGTGAAAGTGATGACACCTGCACTGATCTTTTGGGTGAAGGGATTCATATTCTGTCTGCTGGTGAAATTGAAGAACTCGTGGATCGACTTGGAAAGTTAATTTCTGGTCTTCTTCCAGCTATTGAAGCCAGCTGGAACATGCATTATAAGTTGGGAATGAGGCTCACTTGTACATTAGCAAACTGCTTATTTTTCTCAAGATGCTTAAGTGTTGTCATTCAAGCAAGTACCAGAGATGGGGATGGCCAAGACACACACCAATCTGATTCAAGTGACCTTCCATCAAGATACTGGGTGAATGCTCTTGAAGGACTTGTGGGAGCTATATCATCAAGTCAAAAAAATCATTGTTGGCAAGTAGCATCTGCTATGCTTGATTTTCTGTTCAAGTTGCCTGAGAACATTCCTTTCTCCTCTGTGGTTTCTTCTCTATGTTCTATGATCTTGATCTTCTGTTGTAATGCACCAAAAATTTCATGGCGTTTGCAGACTGATAAATGGTTATCATCATTATTTGAAAGGGGCATTGATAACCTTAGTGGTAATGAGGCTTCATTGGTGGACTTATTCTGCACAATGTTGGGTCATTCAGAACCAGAACAACGATCTGTTGCATTGCGTCATCTTGGGAGAATTGTTGACCTAGGAAGCTACAATGGTGTGAATGAACTGCCTTACTCGGTTAAACAAAATTTGGTTTGCTCTCGATCTGTAGGGATTGTTCCTGAATCAGTAGTTACCATTTTAGTTACAAAGACATGGGATAGAGTGATAGTAGTAGCATCCTCTGACCCTTCAATGCTGTTGCGAACACATGCAATGGTGCTGTTACTAGCCTTTGTCCCATATGCAGAGAGAGCTCAACTGCAATCCTTCCTGGTATCCACTCATACCATCCTTCGAGGAATGGGCAAAGTTACCAATTCAATGGAAGTGGGTCATTTAACAAGACTCTCATTGCACATTCTGGCAAGTGCATGTCTTTATTCTCCTGCTGAGGATATTACTTTGATACCTGAAAGTGTTTGGAGGAACTTGGAGCAGATGGGAATGTCAAAGATAGGTACTTGCATATTTTTTTACATATTTTGCTGATGTTCGTTTCCAATTATATGTTGTAGTGTAACAACACAAGGGCATCATTGTTATTATGTATTCAAAATATTGTCTTGAACAATCACTTATATAATTTACATTTCCTGTGTTAGAAATTTGTTAGATGAAAAAATTTTAAACCATTAGGCTATTTGAAATTTTTTATTTAATTTCAGGCGTGCTTAATGACTTGGAGAAAAATTTGTGCCTATCTTTGTGCAAACTTAGAAATGAATTTGATGGCGCAAAACCGGTATGTTTGCCCTGTCTGTTTAATGGTTGGTTTTGGCATTTTATTATGTGAAACAATTTATTTTGATTTTTAATCTGTTTTCTCATGGCTTTATGGTCTGTTTGTTACATATCTTCTTAGTTTTTTATTTTTTTATGGAAGGTTCTGAAAGAAGTGCTATCATCCAGCTCGATGGGGAAGCCAAGTGATCCTAACTTTCAAAGCATTCGGGAGACAATTCTTCAGGTCGGATACTATGACAGATTATTTCTTTTTTCTTATCTGTTTTGGTGAGGGCAGGGTATTACCACCTATGGAGATGATTTACTCGGTTTGAGCACTTAATGGTAAGGCCATGTTTAGATTTGGGGTCCAATTAGTTTTTCCACTGGTTCATTCCACTATCTTACATGAGTCAGTCGTAGCACACACTGATTCAGCGACACCTAGCAGGCCCACAAGTTAGATTTTCTGAAAGAGCCACATATGATGAGTTAGTTTTGGGCAGGAATTCGGAGCCAAAGCATTGTTTGTTTTATTGTTTTATATGGGTTCCTATCTTTGCCTATATTATTTTGTCGCACCCCAAGTCTACCTAAATACATGGTTCTAAACATGGTCCGATATTGGTTTATATTATTTATATATGATATTTTTTGGATGATACCTGGTGGTACAGGTATGTGTGCTGCTCAGTATATGATCATATCAGTCCAGTAGATTATTGATACTGGTATTGGATCAAGAATTAAATTCTGAGTTTCAAATACCATAGCATATGGACCATACTGTGGTGGTATACATTTGAATTGATTGTACAAGCATACCAAGCAACTTTTAGTACTGCAGTCCAATAAGACATAAGCAGGGGTATTGAAATAATATTCTGAATTTTATGGCTAGCGGTAACCGAGAAATACAATTTCGGGTACAGGATTCGCACAGGTCCAGCCATTGCCAAGTAGTGTCTGGTACATATTGCCATATCAACACATGATATGTTGTTATGTACCATTCTATGAGGAAGAAGAAGCCCATCACAGTTTATTGTTTGCATATATGCTTCTTGCCATACTTAATACTTTTGATACCATAATCCTCATAATACATATCTTTTGGATTTGGACTAAAAAAATTACTTCACATGGTTTTTCTTTTAGAATTATCTTCTTAAATCACTGTTAATTGCCTATTAGTTTGTCTTCCTTGAATTTTTTATATCTTTTGTTGTTAAAATTAGTGTTATTAGCATCTAAGTCTCTTAATCCTGGTTGTTTGCTGATGGTTTCCTTCGAGTTATGTTTTCCTTTTGAGTTCTTTCGGAGTTATAGTTTTGAAAGTGTATGTGACATCTAAATTTGATATTCCTCAACCATGCATATGATTTCACATAATTAATTTAACTATCCAACAAAATATAATGATAATTTTCTTTTCTGAAAACGCATTTTGTATCTCTGAGAATACTGGTGCAAAAATTAATGCTAAAGAGGTATATACATAAAATATATGTATCTTAAAGGGTACATATGCAAAACACTGAATGACAATATACAAAATTCTTACTGGGAATGATTTGTTCATAGGAAAAAGAAAGGTCATAAGCCTTTTGGAACTTTTTTAATTAAATTACAAGTTCTGATACTAGTTACGAATATTATGGAAGGCAAACACACAATAAAATCCCATTTTTATTATATTATTGGGCTTCATTCTCAATGCCCTGCATTTTCAATATATAGTGGACTTATTGTTATTTAATTCCTAGATGAACTGTATATTTATGTATGAAAAGTAATTTTTAATTGTGTCAATGTTTTATCCAATATAAACCAAAATTAAAGAGAAATTCAAGCTTTTCAGGAATTACTCAACAACGACACTAGTAAAATGTCAAATTTCATTTGAATTGGCAGTGAAAATTCTTGAGATGAACTCCTCTGGTCTAAGATTTCAAGAATCGATCTCAAAGTAAAGCATTGCCTCATCTGATTCCCTACATTAACAAACCCGACACCCATGAATATCATATATCTTATCTTATAATAAACTGCCACAATGTTAAAAGACTTTGATTTGAACATACTGGATTAAACCTATAAATCTAGGAACCAACTAATTAATATGACCACTTGGGTACAGGAATCCATATCAGTTCACAACATAACTATTTAGCAAGTCCAGTCAGATTCATGTTTAGGGGTCAATATCACACACCCTCTAGTTTAATATATAGTTGCTTTGAAGATTCTTTTGCCAACAAAAGGTTCTATTTAGATTCAAAAGTATAACTTCTACAATTTGATAAATATTGTGGACCAAAGATAAAGAATGTCCTTAAACCACAGGAAATAGTATATTCTTTTTAGTTTTCGAAGTTAATTAGGATAATTTGAGCTTAATGCTCATAAATACTTTTCACATTTTTTAAAGTTTCATCTTTTGATTTTTAAAGCTACAATAAATGAATTAATGTTTTATAATTATATATAATTCATTATCTATTGTATATATAACTGGAGAGGGGGTGGTATGTGACCCATAATGTGCATGTGACCAATTAGAATAAAATCACTATTTTCCTTTTGAAATGTGCAATTTTTTTGCTTGGGAAATCTACATCACTTAGACTTGAGACGCAAAACACATGGAGTTCTAGTAAAGGCTTGCAATTTTGTGTGTTAGTAGTCTATCAGTCAGGGCTAGGGCCGGTACCATATGATCTATAGTGTCTGGACACTTGGTGTCATTAGTATGTATGATTTTGAAAAACATACAAAAGGCTGAAAAAATAAAAGAAACTGCTTGAGACTTCATGCTCCCACAGAGCCTATATAAAAGATACTTGCAGGATCTAGTTTCCATGATAAGTGCAATTAAACAGAAAATTACTGAAGCCTTCCACTCCTTTCTTATGGTTTAGAGCTTAAAATTAAAGTACTGGTCATTCTTTTGGTATGGTTATCCATGTCCTTGTGGAATTTATTCCATATATTCCAATATCCATTCTCAGAATTAATTTGACTTCGTCTAGTCTCAAATACAGTATCCTTTCAGGAGGTTCTAAATTGATTTCTGTAGACATCCACATAGGAAACTAAGAGCTTATTCAAGTAGCTGAAACAAGATGGCATCAACAGGCATATTGTTTACTGAAGAAGACGTTTATAGCATGTTCAAGGATGACTTTTAGCAGTGAATTTAGGAAATTGATTGGTGATGGTATACGTGAATTCCATTCCACCCAAACTTTACCAACTACCTAGGAACATAAACTCATCTCGGATACGGACTTCCATAATCAGCACACATGCCAAACCCAATTAAAGGGTGCTCAAACCCAGGTTAAGCAAATCGGCAGGCATGACAAAGGAATCAAATTTTAATTGTACCAGTCCAGTATGGACCGGTATTCTATCACCGACCAAGGATTGGTAACCGGCCATATAAGTCATGACTAGTTAGTAGTTGTTTTATTATTATTTCTTTGGTAGTGCCTAGCAGTAATGTTTAGTAGACCACCTGATATATGGGTACCATACCAGTTCAATTAGTCATGGAAACAGGTAATAGACCAAGATTTAAATTCATTCCATACGAATACCCAAAATGATTTGACTCGCGATTATCATTCAACAACAGGTACTGTAATTATAAATTTTTACCTCACCAAAACTAACTATCTGGGGATCCAAATTGAACTGTAACTCCGACTTTTTACCTAAGCTCATTCTAAACCAATCAAAGGATGCCCAAACTCAATTAAGCAGGTTAAATTATAACAATATGACAAATGAATCCAAACCCACTGTACATTTATTTTCTGTTTGGTCCGTTACACCAATTTTGTTATCTCATACAATTTATTCTTTGTCTTATAACCTATAGATGATCATTGTAATTCAAAAGGGAGACTTTGATGCATAATGTCGTAATCAGTATTCAGTCATTCATTAATATCTTGCGGGAAATTAGAAGTAGCTACTATTTGACTTTGTTAACCATGTGCATTTCTCTGTATGTCATTTCGATAAATGACATTGCTTCTTTCCTTTTTAATTTATATTTTCTTATAAATTGTTCCATTTAATAGGTCTTGTCTTCTCTGACTTCCATTCAATCCTACTTCGAGTTTTTCTCAGAGAGAATTGATCAGCAGTCTCAGGTAAAAAAAGTTAGGATTAACTCATTGCTTTTCTGATATTCATCTAGCTTAATTTTACAATGGGAAAAATTTTAGGAACTTGAAGAAGCTGAGATCGAAATGGAGCTTCTTAGGGAAGAGGCAGTATTTGAAGAAGCATCTGGGTTTCTGCTAGAAGAAGCAGTTCCATCTCTAACTATATCAAGTAAAGTTGCGATGTTTATCTTCTCTTCTTTCTGCTGTTGCCTTAAATTAATTAGTTAGCCTTGTGATTTTTTAGGATTTTCTCCTATCTGGCAGGTGATAAGGAGATTAACCGGCTTCATCAAATTAAGGATGAAATTAGATCCTTGTAAGTTTAAATGCCCAATAAAGTATTGTTTCTTTTTATCTGAAAATGCATGACATGGATTTGTATGCAACAACCAATTCATTCTTTCTTTTATATTCTACTGAATCTAGCTGACATGTCAAAATGCAAAGGACAACCCTATGCACTTGGTTTTCCCTTTTCTTTTGGGGTTCATAATGCAAAATGTTAGAATGGTCTATCATGCTGCTGTAATTTATGTCCCTTTAGGATCAAACTGCCTTTTACCTTGCATAGATACAAGCCATTTTATTCATTAGCTCGATTCATGATTCAGTGGGCACATGCAATTTTCTTAGATTTGAATATCTTTACATCAAATTCGGGTTCCAGCTGATTGTACAAGATATCCAAACTTAATGTGGAGCCTTCTCAACATTGACTTGTGTGCGTAACTATTCATGTTGAGTATGAAGAGGCTTTTATGAAGTTCTCTATTTCAGATGATTGATATCACCAACATTTAGGTTGATTCATCTCTACCTTTGTTTTACATGATTTTACAATTGGCTAAATAGGTCTGGTTTTTCTAGCTTCCTCTCAGTCTTATGCCATGTGTACTGTTCCTAATTGGATGATGAGATGATCCTTTTCTTACTGTTGATGTTGAAAAATTAGAGACAAAACAGGGTTATTCAGAATTTTGCCAAAGATTGTCAAATAGTTTCATATAAACTAAAAGCCAAGGCAAGAGAAGGAGAAAAGAAGGGTCTACCAAGATTAGTTGGACGCTCAAGGGTCTTAGATGCATTCAGATGCATGATGTTATGAAATCATTGAGCATCATATTGTACTTTAGTGAGGGTCGAGGGGTTGGGCTTAGATCAGGCTTGATTTGTTTTAATTAGAGACCAGCTTATAGTTAGATTGGGTCGGGTTCAGGCGCACACCTAAGCTGCGCAATGCTTGGGCTCAGGCCTGTGCCTTGACTTCACCCGTCTGAACCCCAATCGAGGTGCTCGGGCCCTTGCTGGACAACTGCAAGGAGACGTAAAAGAAGATCCAAAAAGATCTCATTAGAAACAATATTTTACAACGACCTTGTTAAAGTACAATATTGCAATCAATCATCATGAAGCGTTTCATTAATGTTTAACTATTGAATATAAACTAGCAGAATAAAGATCAAATTACTTTGTTTACATATAAAAAGTGATGTATAAGGCATGATCAAAGCAAAATTGTACATTGTCGTTACCCTAATTTGTCTAACCATTAGGGAAAGATCAAGAAACTATAGGTTCTGGAAGTTAATGCAAACAAATATTGGATATAAGGGTCAGCAATTGTACCGTTGTAGCCCAGTGATTTAAAAAGCGCTAGGCGCCAAAAGACGCCAAGGTCCAAAAACGCCCGAGGCGCTAGGCGCTCACCCGAACGAAGCGAGGTGCTAAAATATTAAAATATATAATATAATTAATAAATATAATTATTTAATAGTATTAAAATCAAAATAATATATCATTAATCTAATAAATACAAATACATTACTGTTACTAGTATATTGTTAACCAAGGTATGCAATACCATATCGTATCGATGTTTCGAGATTGGCTCGGTATGATACGGTACCGGTGTACCGAACAATTTTATATATTTTCTTCATTACTGTAGCACTGTAGCACTGCTACAGTGTAATACTGTAGCACTATGGCGGTACCGAGCGGTCCGTGTATCGGTATGTCGTCGGATCGGTACATACTGCCCGTACCGGGCGGTACCATTCGGTACTACATACCATACTGTTAATAGTATACTTTCAAAAGAGAAGGAAGAGGAGTGTAAAGGAAGACCGAGGGTGCAACGACAACAGTAAAAGTGAGCAGCAGTAGTGAGAGCGGTGACAGTGGCAACGGCAGCGGCAACGGGAGTGGGAGCGGCGAGCGGTGGCACCGGCAACGAGCATTGGCAACGGCGACAGCGGCAGGGCAACGAGTTGTACTAAGGGGAAGACCAGTCTGATAGAAGAAGCGAGCAATGTGTTGAATTGTTCTTCCTCTTATTTTTTTATCACAAGCATCACTTATATTTGTTTGTCTAAATTTTGAGCCTCCTGCTTGCACTTGTTGTTTCTGGGATCCTTGAAACATATATAGATCCATCGGTCCTTTTTTACCATTCTTAGTACTCATAACGTTTTTTCCTTTTTTGTCGTATACTTTTTTCCCACTTAGGTTAATACTCATAGAATAATCTTCTTTATCCCTGAGATGTTCAACATTGTCTTCTGGTAAATTCCCGTAAGATTCATTCTTTTGTGTATTATTTTCATTCATATAACTCAGCAACTCTTCTTTTACCTCAGGTGAACACTTTTTGCAAGCTGCTGCATTCTTGAAATTTCTTACTAGATGTTGTTTTGCACGAAAAATACCACCTCTAGTAGTCTTATCGTAGAATATGCAAGTCACTGCATTTGGATCTTTCGGATCCTTCAAATAATTATACTTCCATGCAGGATCTTGTTTTGATGCCATTGGAGACTCTATTGAGTTGCTCTGTACATTTGTCATTTATCTTCAAACCTAACAATAATTTCAAATAAATAAAAATTAACATTATTAAAATCAAAATAATATATTATTAATCTATTAACAGTATTGAAAATTAATAATTTCAAATAAACCTAACAATATTAATAATATACAGTATACTGTTAACAGAAGGAGAAGAAGGAAGTGTAAGTGGGTGCTAACTGAGAAAAGAGGAAGTAGCAGCGGCAACAGAGTGTAAGGAGGTAGCGGCAGCAGAGTGTAAGGAGGCAGAGGCAACGGGAGCAGGAGTGTAAGGAGGCAGCAGCAGCGGGGGCGAGAGTGTAAGGAGGTAGCGGCAGCGGGAGTGGGAGCGGCGACAGCGACGAGCAGCGGGAGCAGGAGCGGCGACTGTGGCAGCGTTTGCGAGCAGCGATAGCGGCGAGCAACGGGATCGGGATTGGGAGCGGTAGCGACAACGAAGGTTAGGGTTGGGTTGTCGCTGATATCAGTTTTAGTTGGTTCGATTGAACCAACTAACCACCGGAGACCAAACCAGGACCGAACCAGACCTAAAATCCTAGTTCGGTCGTATGGTTTAACCCAGGCACTCGCCCGAAGCGCCCAACGCCTGGGCTCGGGCGTGCGCCCAGGCGGCCTCTCTTTGAAGCGCGTTGCCTGAAAGTTTAGTGAGGCTCTCGGGCCTCACCCGAGCGCCTTTTTAAATCGTTGTTGTAGCCATTGTCAATGCATATGTGGCCAATTAACAGAAACCCATATGGTTTGACTTAATAATGAGGTAGCTTTCTGAGATATATGTGATACATGTGCTGTTCTTAGTCCAGACTGTTTAGCATGGTTTAGCAGGTGGATGCGCTTCATGACAGGTAATTTCTGCTCCTTTGTAAATTTTTGCTCGTTTTTACACAAAATGTGCATCAAGGTGCAGATATAAATGAATTCTGTAACTATTGCATGTAAAGCATTAAGTAGTCATAAGGCAAGATTCATATTATGCTTCACAGAAAGAGTAGTCATAGGGCAAGATTCATATTATGCTTCAAAGAAACAGTGCAACATTTCATACTTTAGTGATTTTTATGTTTTCAGTTGTCTGGTCTCTCTTAAGTGAGTTTCCCATGTTTTGTAGGTTTTGGATAACTATGAAGAGTTTGATCTTTTCTTTTCTTTCTTTTTAAATGCCTAACTTGTTTGGTTCATAACAGATCTTGGCCTCGAGTTTTATGATTTAGTCACTGCTTTAAGTTGTTGATTGAGCTTTGGACATCTGTTGTAAATATAACTTTAAATCATAAACAATTTTTGACTAAGTTGTCCTGTTTTGCTAGAGAGAGGTCTAAACTTCGAGAAGAAATAGTAGCACGCAGGCAAAAGAAGCTTTTAATGAGGCATGCTCGTAAAAAATGCTTAGAAGAGGCAGCTTTGAGGGAAATGGAACTTCTTCAGGAGCTTGACGGGTTTCTGTTAGATGTTTTTCTTGCTTCGTTAGGTTTTATCATGAGCTTTGGTCTCGTTGTGATTGCTCTAGTGTCATGCAGGGAAAGGACCAGTGAACTAGAGCGTGATATTGAGAGACAACGGGAGTTGGAAAATGAACGTGCAAGAACTAGGGAACTACAATTCAACCTTGATATGGAAAAGGAAAGACAGATACAGGTATCTTTATAATAAGTTTGAGTCCATTTGTCATTTAATCCTCTGTAGCAAGAAACACTGTTTCACATACAAGGATAAGTAAAGAAGTAAGAAATATGAATAGTCCTTTTCTTTCCTGTCATTTAAAATGATTTATTTTTTTCTGGGGAAAAATTTATTGTGCTTGACCAATTGCTAATCATATTGTTGTGGTTGGGTTCTTCTTCTGATGAAAACATCAGGGCTTAAAACTTTGGATATTTAGGAATCAAGTTTGGTGTGTAACAGTTGCATGGGCAAGATCTTAGATTGTTTGGCAGGCATCAGTCCACGCAACAGGCATGCTTGGATGGCCACTTGCATTTAATGTGATGATACGTTTGAAGTCATGTATCCCTAAAAATGGTGATTAGGCAAGTGGACATAGTTCATTACCTGTATCAATTTTTTCCCTAAACTTTTCTGTATTGAAACTTTAATTCACGTATAGAGTTTCAGAATAGGCTTTTACCCTAGATTAAGATGAAGAAAAGTGGGGCCAGTATTTGACACTATGAGTGAGGGAGAGATGGGCAAAACGAGATCTCAAAGTTTAGGGAATACATAGATGGAGAAAACTGGAATGGTAATGTTTAGAAATCAAATGTTGGAGCACCAAGTGCATTAGTAAACAATGTGGAAGGCTGATCCCATGATGGGCATGGTGGATGGGAGAGGGAAAATGATGTCATAAAGGGAGGGGAGATACAGATATTTCATTTGCTCTACTCATATGAGACTCGATGTCTAATGGGCTTGATTACGTCTATTTGCCTGATCTCAACTAAGGCTAGATCAGAATCAAAGTCAGGTCTAGTTTTCAAACGAAGAATCAGCTTGAAAGCCTAACTATTCAGCCAACTTCAGGTAGTGCATGGCAACATACCCAATTGGTACAGTCTAGTTGCTAGTATGTGTATCATATGAGACTCGATTTCTAGTGGGTTGGATTAGGTCTGTTTGCCTGATCTCAACGGAGGCTAGATCAGAATTGAAGTCAGGTCTAGCAATTGGTACAGTCTAGTTGCAAATATGTGTATCATATGAGACTAGATTTCTGGTGGGTTGAATTAGGTCTGTCTGCCAGATCTCAACCAGGGCTGTATCAGAATTGAAGCCTGGTCTAGTTTTCAAGCCCAGGAACACCTTCAGGACCTAAATATTTGGGTACAGCATGGCAACATACCCAATTGGTACAGTCTAGTTTCAAATGTGTCTTTGAATACCAGATGTTTGCTTTTTTATCCATCTGTGGTCAAGTAAGAATTCCAATCACATGTATCTTATCATAGTATCTAATGGTGAATTTTTAACATCCGATCAATATTCTTGAAATATCTTGTTTCTTTACAAAGAAAATGGGAAATTTATAAAATCATAAAGAAAATTTTGTATTGCAAGCAGTCTATATGGCTAACAGATATACTTGCATCTTATCTTAGCATCTTGTTATGCTATTGGATTTTTACCACGAGATGGAATGGAGTAAACTGCACTGTTCATATAAAGTTTTTAACTTGTTACTTGTGTTCAAGACAGTATGTAATCCTTGGCTTCTTTGTGACTTACCCTAAATGCTATAAAGAGAGCTTGATATATTCTACCCATTGACAGAAAGAACTTCAAAGGGAATTGGAGCAGGTTGAATCTGGAACTCGATCTTTTCGTAGAGAGTTTTCATCTAATCCCAGCAGGTAAGCTTTTTAAAGTGCTTACACTTTGTGCAGTTAATTTTGTTAAAATTTTGACATGGATAGTAGGATTTTATCTTGAACATAAATTTTGGGAATTATATGGATTTTCTATTTTATGCTGGTGATTGACATGCTTCACTTATTTATTACCTTTGTCAGGCTTATAAAAAACAGCAGCCTAATGCACAAGATTCCTACTAATGTAAGTGTTAAGGAGGATCAACATAGGGCCATTCTATGCTCCTAATATGTTTTACCAAGAAATGGTATTCTACAAGAAGAGTTGGTTACCAGTTATCTATTTTCAGTCATGGCTTTGACCAAAATCCAAATAGCTATTGATGTTCCTTAAGTACTCAAAGGTTCTTGGTCCATTGTTTATATATTCATAGGTAAAATTCAGTCAGCCTAGGACTGACTTAGTAAATCTCAGTCTGGTGCTGATACCCACAGCAATTGGATTGGAATGATACCGATATGGATGGACGTATTGACGCTTGGTACAGGTTGTATTAGTCATACCAGAGAGATTGTGTGAGAGAGAGCTAAGGGAAAGCTTAGAGGACGGAAAGAAAACAAAAAATATAATTTAATAGACAACTGTCAGAAGTTGTCAAAAAAATGAAAATGGTTTAAAAAATTTAATTCAAGAGATACACTCAACACCACAACGGTCTGGGTACTGATTCTTGATTGGACCAGTACTAGAAAATACCAGTTGGTTCGAAGTTTCGAACCATGTGCGACCATATTTGAAGACTTTTTTATCACAAGGGGAATTAGACTTTTCCAAGAAAGGGAATTCATGTCTTATTCAAGCATTTTGGAAGAATGGAATTACTCTTATCAGTTTTTGTTTGTTTGCTAATCAGCAGCAATAAATGTTCTCAATAATTCATGTCACATGCATCATCATCATCGCACGCACATAATATGCTTTGACACACTAAAATTAAAATGCAAAAACTTATATATAAACAAGAAATGCAATTACAGTATTCAAGAAGACAAAATGAGGTGTTCAAGAATGATGAAATCTTAGAAGTTTAGAAACTTTAATCTTGATCGAAACAAGAGCCTGATCTAGGATATTGTCATCGTGGAAAATTGATTTAATTAGGAAGCACTCAAACCCAATCTGTTATTTATTGATTAAATTTTATTAATATAACATTCAAGATAAATTTGGAAACGATCTAAGTCCAATGATTACTTGTACTATTGCCCCTTAATAAAACATTATTTTATTTATTAACTACAAAGTTCAATTACAACCTAAGTCAATCTGATTATTAATATTCTAGACCCAAATGAAAAGTTCTCTGTTCTTCTGTCAAAATCAATCCTAGCTGCTGCTGTGCCAGTGATGATAATTGCTTCAACTACAGCAACAAATCTGTCAAGCCTTTTGTAACGCACATGCTCTTTTATTAAATTCTATATATAATTATATTTGCAATGATTAAATTCAGTTTATTAAAGAACAGGGGATGATATACAAGGACATTAGCACAATCATATATGTTACTTTGAAGGACCTTTTGTGAGCATCAGTTTTGACATACTAAATAAAAATGGACTTGTATATCAACATATATAAATCAAAATGGAGTCCAATGGAGTAAATTAATTTAATCAGTTTGTTATTTTTAATAGTAAATTAGTTATTTTTTGTTATTTTCAATTATGAGTTATATACTAATATTCAAAGCATCAAAATCATTCGAAGAACTTTAGTGAAACTGGTTTAAGTTCACAATGAGCTAAGGAAACACCGGAATATCCACATGGTCAGCACATTATGATTATAGAAAGAAATTCTCGACCTCATTGATCCGCCCAATTCTCATGTTTACAAACTTTAGGTTTTTTTGGATTGTATTAAATTGGACATGATATAGAGTAGAATATCTTATCTATGTGGACTTAATTCTTTTTCATATTAATGAGGGAAGATTTTGATCGTCTGTCAGAGGTGGAGGATCAAAGCAGAATTGGTTTGTCTGAAGTGCATGGCAATTTCTCGAATGGGCTGAGGTGGCCCAAGCTAGGTGCAATCTAGCTGGCAAGATCCGAGGTGATGTCCAAGGTGAGCGCACCAAGCTAGTTGCCCTGCAAACAAAGTGAGGGTCGGGAATGTGCCCGCAAACTCTCCTGGCTTCTAAAACATATCTAAGTTAGCAATCTAGATGAGCTAGAGAGTACTAAGGCTTAAGAGAGAGAGAGAGAGAGAGAGAGAGAGAGTTCAAACCCTTTGTGCCATGTGAGGCCCCATTCACAATGTCGTAGTTGTAATAGCCAAGCCATTGGTGAAAATTTTTCAAATTCTTAAGGTCATAGAGAATATTCTGTGTTTTGATACTAATCTTATCACGAATTGGTGATGGCGTATCAGTTAGCTGGTTTCTGTGGCATGGCAACTGACCTATATCAGGCTATGACCATTGAGCTGACTTGATGATGGGTCAACCTAGTCGAGTCAGACTGCAACGCGTCCGTCGAGCTGACATGACGGCTAAACCATGCTACGATGATTTTCGCTTTGCTGACATGGTAATGTGTTGATTTAGGTAAGCTGAGCTATGGACCGGGTAATATACCAACCAAGTTGAGCTACAACAGTGTCCACCAAGCTACTTCTATTGTGGCTCTTATCTTATGTGTCAGCTTTCGGTTGGGGTAGGCTCATTTTTCCCACATCACATGGAGTATAATCTATGCCTACGAAAAGTCTGACCATCCCTATAGGATTAACACGTTTGAAACAGTCTGACCTTCCCTTCTTTTCCTTCATCTCTCCATCTGTTCCTTCTGTTCTCTTTTTTTGTCCCTTCCTTTCCACTGCTGCCTCACCATTTCTTCCCTTATGTCACTGGTATATTTCATATTCTGCTATAGTTTGATAGTATGCCTTGTTGTCATTATTGAACATTTAAGTTGAGGTTAAGCTTCGGTGTCACAGTAGGGCTGCTATTGTAACGTAGACATCCAGTATTTAAGTAGTGGCCAAATCTCGTTGCATACAGCGTAAAATTGTATACATTTACTTTTCCGAAACCCTTGCTTGGTGGACCATTGTGTGAATGATCCTTTTACTGCTTTTTTTTAATATTATTTGGATAATTATCTGACAGACTGTTGATTCACTTGGTTATCATGTGTCTCCTTTCCAAGCACCAGCTATTAATGGACGACTTGTCATTAAAAAAAGGATTTTCTTGGAACTCTTCTCATTAATTCATCTGCAGTCTGCTATTATCACAAGCATCTTTATTTCTGCTTTATGCTATTTTCTCATTCATGGTGGTCATAGTCGCTCTAGGGAAAGATACCGTGACAGAGATAATGGGAGGTCGGGACAAGAGGCGAACTTAAGGTCAAGCAGCAGAGGCCATGATGGTGGTGCTCCACAGATGACGACCACTATTTCCACTGGATCATCTGCGGGGCCAACTGTAGTGCTTGCTGGGTCAAGATCATTCTCAGGTCAGCTTCCAACAATTTTGCAATCAAGGGACCGTGCAGATGAACGTACCTCCAACTATGAAGATGCTATCGAGGGGAGCAGGGATTCGGGTGATACAAGTAGCATCGGTGACTCAGAATCGGGTTCAGCATTTGATGGTTTACCTGGTACCTTTGGGACAGCTCCCAGACATGGATCCCGGGGCAGCAAGTCAAGGCAAATCGTTGAGCGGAGAGAAAGAGATGGTAGACGAGAAGGTAAATGGGAAAGAAAGCATTCTTGAAGAATTATCGTACAAAATAATCACCTAGGGATATCCTAGAGAAGAAAAATGGCCTACAAGTATTGAGAATTCAACATCAGAGAACACTTCCTGATATTCTATCGAAGGTAAGTTGAGCCTAATTTGGTTTGTGGATATTCTTTTCCTGTCGGCACGAGCATGTTTTCCTCATTGAAGCTTTTGATGAGAAATATGTGTGATCATGGAAGAACAGAAACAGCCGTAATCCTAGTGCTTTCTTTCTCACTCTAGTAAATTGATTCAAGTAACCTCATTTCTGTTTTCCTCATTGAAGCTTTTGATGAGAAATGTGTGTGATCATGGAAGAACAGAAACAGCCGTATTCCTAGTGTGTTCATTCTCACTCTCGTAATTGATTCAAGTAACCTCATTTCCAATATTAACTGACGCTTCTTCTCATGATGCATTGGAATTTGGCTGATATGATTCATGAAGTTCGCAGGTGATCAGGCATACTAGTCAATAGTCACGGGAAAAGTCAATAGAGGTGTGGAGATTCTCCGCCGCCTCCGCTGCTCTCTGCCTCTTCTGATGGTTCGTCTGAGCATCATCTCCATCAACTCTCACCTTCCCCTCCCGATCCTGTATGACTCTTTTTATCTTTTTCTCTTTAGTAGCCAAAAAAATCGGTTAGTGATGGCTCTTATCTAAAACTAGCAAACACAAAGAACCGCACAAGATAGCAATGAAACTGCTGTGATTCAAGTTTTTGTTGAGACGTTCCATGGTTAGTGCATTGTTACAGTTTGAGTTCATGTGTCAGCATCTTATACATCTTTTAATATAATATTTTTATTTGGATGATTTTGCCAAAGCATTCTATTTTTTTTTTTTCAGAGCCTCTCATTTTTATATTTTCAAAGAGTAAATATCATTTTTTAAAAATGGTATTTTTTTGGGGCCAAAAGTCGGTTTGGACTAAGGCAGGAGTAACAGTATTTTTAAATAAATAAAATAGAGTTATAAACGGAACAAAAATAAGTTTCATTGAAAAATATTGTAGTTGAATGTGTTTAAGATTTTAGTAATTTATCATAATCTTTGTCACTTATTTAAAAAAGAAAAAAGTAGATCGATCCATGCTTGAGCTAAACTACTTTTTTGACATAGCTGTATAAAGATGCCGAATAATCATTTAGATCTCGCTCAAAGATGCCACACCTCTTTCAAACAAATCTGTAAATATTTTTGTGGGCGTCAATGCCAGTAGAGGATATGATAGAGTTCAAAGGAAGCGTGTAGCAATATGTTAATCCTATATTAATAAATTCAAGCATTTGTGACATGCATGAGTCATGAACATCAACCAAAAAGATTTATAAATTAATAAGAATATATCACAGATATATTTACAATAATTGATTCGTAATTTACATGTATTGATGATATATTAATGCCATAAAAAAAAAAAATCATGTCAATTATATATATAATATATATGCATATTCAAATATTTATTCTTATTCTAGTAAAGAACACATCACGATGTTATATCACATAACAATAACAATAACAATGATCAAATCTCGACACAAGTATGAATCCATGCATCATGAAAAATCATTCTAGAAAGCTTCATGAATTGATACTATAGTGAGAGAGATCAATAAAATAAAGTACGAAACAATAGAACTTTGTGGAAGAGATAAGAAAGTTTCCTTCATCATGAAATCATATTTTATGAAAAAATAAGACATACAAAACGAATTAAATCCCTACCTTGATCATTGCCCTATCGGCTGCTTTTCTCTTTCTTTGATGGTTATGCTCTTCTTTTATGATAGGCCTTAAAATTGATTTAATTGAGTTTCGATAAAATAAAAAATAAAAAATTACAGCTGCCAACCATTATTATCATTTTTAAAAGTAAAGACTCCTTAAGTATTTTTGAAAATGAGGAACACTATTCCAGAAAAAAAAAAAACTCAAAACTTATGACTTCCCTCATGAAATCACCCATGAAAATTTCTTAAATTTTTTTGAAAAAAAAAAAAAACTAGGTGATGCGAAAAAGACTAGTAAAGCTTCCCAGAAATGACATAAACCAGATCTAAAGACAAAGGTTCCTTTGTTAGTCCTATTAGTGACAACCAATTCTTCTAGCATTGGTTGAAACTACATCACTAATGAATCAGAGAAGTCAATTCTTGAAAGTACATTACTAACGAAAAAGAGAAAAAGTTATTTGTAGGTTTATGGCAATTGCTGTCCTTAAGAGCAGCATTTGAGTTCAGGGAGGAGTTGAATAATCTTCTAGCATCCGACACAATATAAGAGACACTGAAGATGGAAGACAACAGCAAGGGTATGAATTCATCATTCTTGCTAGTATTGGGACAAGAAGATTTCCTTTTCTTTCTTTTCCTTTTAAATGTAAGTTTAGATCTCAGGGTTCCTACAGGCAAAATGCGGAAGGTGAAACATTGTCGATAAAGACTTCACTGATTCCCCCAAGTAGCAAATAAATACTTCACTGAATCAATGACTAACATAATGTGAGTGATTGCATAGTTAAAATGGAAGGTGGAGGCAATTGATAAAACTGATAAAATCACAAGTGATCTCAATGCACTAGCCGATGGAATTAGTAAATGGATGAGCGTTGGAACATAGTATGAAAACATAGTCATACAACTCAGTTTGTACTGAAAAATAGCTTCAGTGAAACACAGAATGTCATCCATGTTTCAAAATCATGGTTTCATATTTGAAGTTGCAAACATTTCAGAGAAAATGACAAAATGAACCACAGAACTAGACCTATAAAAAAGGGAAACTATTTGAAGAAGTATATTGATAAATAAATGCAGGTTATATATAGTGATACAGAGAATGAAAAACAACTGGAGTTAGAAAGGTTCACAAAAATACTGAGAGAAGAATACAGGCATACAGTGTGGCCTAAGTACTCATTAACGACAGAATTGGATTAGTGAACCAATAAAATGACATAAGCAGAGAAGGCACATTCACTAAAACCAAGTGCAGAACATTTTAAAAGACGTAGATTTGGGTAGGTAAACGTAGCAAAGTGCAAATCTCCTAAAATGGATGCATATGGTGAATATATCAGTACAGAAAGCAGTTTTAATTCAATAAAATGCAGTAGAGGACTAGAATGCACATCTATTCTTGGGAGTCTAATATGCAAATCCAAACACATTCTTCTTTATTTTCCCCTTCTGCAGAGGAAAATGATTATTTTATTGCTTATATCCAAGTAGTTAGATAGTTTGAGCATCCAGATTGCTCCCAACTGATTAGAAAAAGGATTACCTAACTATCTTAATCCACATCTCTAAAAGAGTGCTATTTCAATGCATATTGTCTAAATCAAACAACTTTTCATCACCTTGTTAGAGCTTGGCACTTCATAGGTCAATCAAATTCCCCATCTACATGTTAAAATTATGATTTTATACTTCTAGTAGATCACAGAGGAATGCAATCAAACCACCTGTTCAACATTTCATAAAGGAACTCCATGAAAAATCTTGGCAAGTTAACGAGCATAAAAGGTCACTAGAGGCTTTACACAAAATTTTATTCTCTTATTATTGCTGCTTGTAAGTAAACTCAAATAATAATATTGCAGATAATAATCACAATGATATGTACAAAGTTACAAAATCTTTGATGCAAGTACCATTAAGACAAAGTGAAGAACTTTGTGTTGTAGGAGAGTACCTTTCATGAGTGCTTGCTTGATTGCCCGCATATGTAATCTCAATCCCCTCACTTTAGATGCGACCAACATTAACTTGGTTTCAAAACTCTTTCTCTAGTGTAAACTTCAGAGGAAAGATCTCATTCTTTGGTGGGTACAGATAAAAGGTAAACCACAGTTGCATGCTTCCTTCTGAACAAAACAACAAAAATATGCAATACTTACTTTTCTAAAGCATATTATTTGACTGACCAGCAACTACCGTACAATCATGTGTTTTCAAACATTGCAAAATTTTATTATACAAGTAACTGTCTGGTTTGACACCATCTTCAATCATTCTCTCATAAAACATATTGGCTTCAGCTAATCTTCCAACCACACAGAATTTACAGATCAAAATGCTGTATGCCACAACATCAGGCAACAAGCCCCTGCTAATAGCACAGTGAAAAGCCAGTGAAGCTTCCTCCAGCCGTTCTTGCTTGCAAAATCCATCGATCAGGACACTGTAACCAACAATGTTAGGGTGGATTCTATGTTGTAACATCAATTCATGTAGTTCCATGGCATTTTCCATCCTTTCAGCTTTAAAGTACCCATCTACCAAGCAACTATAGGTCACCACATTAGGCCAGGTACCATGATCAAGCATCTTATCGAACAATAACTTTGCCTCATTCATTCTGCCTTCTTTACAAAATGCATGAATTAGAATTGTATAACTTACAGTGTTCGGTTGAAAAGCTTTACAAATCAATTTTTCAAAAACTTCAGTAGCTTCATTCAATCTTCCCAGATAACACAAGCCAGTGACGATTGTATTACAAGTCACGATGTCAGGCTTCAATCCAAGTTTTGTTAGCTGGGTAATCAATTTCAACGCCCCTTCCACTTGACCCTCCTTGAAAAGAGAATTGATGAGAACATTATAAATAAATATATCAGGCTCAACACCATTGCTTAGCATCATCTCATAAATTTTGAAACCAACAATCAAATTACCATGTTTACACAAACAGTCAATTAAGCTACAATACGTTAAAGCATCTGGGATTATGCCCCTTTTCAGGATTTGAAAGAATAAGTTGGTTGCATCATGCAATCTCCCTTCATTTGCCATTCCCTTGATAAGCACAGTAAAAGTAACTATATCTGCTTTAATATTATTTGCTCCCAATAGTCTGTATATTCTGACTGCATCTCCGAGTCTCTTCATGCTACAGCATCCATCCAATAGCACATTATAAGGAACAATGCTAGCTTCCAAGCCCAACTTGAAAAACAACCTAAGTGCATCACGAATCCTGCCCCACCTGCAGAGACCCTTTACAAGCAAAACATGAACTACTACATCAGCATGGTTGCCCATCCTTATCGCATGTTTATATAGATCAAATGCTTCTATCAGGTTCCCATCACTACAGAGGCCATCAATTAGGCTACTATATGTTAAAATGTTTGGCTCAAGCAGCTTCTTCACCATCAAAGATAAAACTCCATAAGCCTCGGCAACTCGACCATCCTGACACAGCCCGTGGATCAGAATGCTGTAGGTCACGGAACTGGGTGCCACACCATCATCCACCATTCTCTTATAAAACACAAAGGCCTTCTTTACATCCCTGAGTCTAACATACCCATCCATGAGCGAACTGAAGACCACCACATCTGGCTTGAGTCCATCGCCTACTGCCCTATGAAAAAGACCATTCCCCTCCTCCATTCTGCCTTTCTTGCAGAATGCATCTATGAGGATAGCATAAACTATCAAATCAGGATTTGTTCCCTTCTCCACCATCAGCTCAAAAATCTTAACTGCAGCATCCAATCTGCCCTCTTTACAGCAAGAGCGGATCAAAGTACTATATGTGACCACGCTTGGCTCAGGACCAATTTCTAAAGCCAAGTAGAAAATATCAAATGCTACACTGATCCGATTCTGCTTGCACAGAGTATTCAGAAGCCTGTTTAGTTCAAGAATTTGGAGCACAGAACCTCTCTCCATTAATCTCCTGTGAAATTTTAAAGCAACTCCAGCATATCCCTTCTCCAAAAGTTTACTCATTACAGCGCTGTAAAGATCTGGACATTGTTCATGCATTTCCAATACTGCATCCATTTTACCCATATCGACTAAAGAATCCAAAAGTTGTGAGATAACGGTGCGAGAAGCCGAGACACACATCCTGCGTGCCCGCAGAAAGACCTGCAAGGACTGGCCGGTCATCCCGGAGCCAGAGTGGCATTTCAACAAACAGTTGTAGGTCATAGGGGCATCGAGATGACACGCACCCGGGAACAGGGAGAGGATGTCTGAGAAGTTGAAGTCCCGACCCATCAGATCCACGATGCGGCGCGGCACGCGGAACATGTGGCTCCGGAAGGAGACGAGGGCGGCGGCAACGGAGAGGGAGGGAGGCGACGCGGAGTTCGAACCATCAGAAGAAACAGAGAGCGGAGGGTGCGAAAAACGGAATCAGCGTGGTCGGGGAGGAAGCCAGAGGCGGAGGAGACGACGGTGGTGGGGTGGTAGGGAGAGGGAGTGGAGGAGGAAAGAGGAAGCACGGGGGAGTTGGACCGGCAGAGGACTACCATGGCAGCACAATAACTAACTATTTATATGTCTTGCTGGCTTTCGTTCCTGCAAACTCGGGATAAGAGTACGATTCCTAAAGTAAACGTGGAGAGAGCTGCACGGTCCGGATCATCATCATCATCATCATCAAAAAAAGGCTGGTCGGGTAGGATCGTGCCACGTTTAACTACTTCTTTCTCGTCGTTTAATTCTCTGGGAAGAAATCAATACACAAAACACATCCATCGACGACGGTGTTAAAAATATTTATATACGTGACATCAAAAATCAAAGCACATCGATCTATAATTTAAATTTTTTTTTACTATCTTGTAATCTACTCGTAAATACAATAACAAAATCTCTCATCGGTCAGTGTTAGAAGAGATCAGTTGTTTTGAATCAAAGTAACGTACAAATGACAGTAGTCCGAAAGAGAAAGCATCCAACACCTCACAAATTGTCGAGAATCTATTAATATCTTCAACATCTACAGACTACGGAGTCTAACATCTCTTTCTATTTGCAGGCCACACGAACACAATCTCTATTAGTCTCTATATAATCACTCATAATTTTTTCTCCCTTAATATAAATTAATTATAATAATAATATATTTATTTAAATTAGTATTTTTTTATTTGTGTATTATTATTAAGAAAATGATTAAAATTAATTTTATTAATTATCTGAATAAGTTAAAAAATTTATATATTATTTAAATTATTAACTAATTTGTTTTCTAATGAGTGGTGTGATTTTTATAAAGTAAATAGTTCAAATTTTATTTTTATCTGTGAACCAACAAAAACAAATATTATTTTTTTTTATATATGTAAAAATAAAATTAAAATTAAAATAAAATAATTGTTTACCTTTATGGAAGAGTTAATTCATATTTTCATATAGGAGTCCTCTTTCTCTTTTTTCTTATTGAAGGATCGAAGAATTTTGATCCTTTATTTTTTTAATCAATTTTAATTCATATTTTGAAATATTTAATATTATAATTATTAAAATTTTATGATGTATAATAATATTTTAATTTTTTTAAAATATTATAATTAATAAATAATGATATTTAATTTATGATATTAGAATGATTATTTGACTTATAATGATCTCTTAAATTTAAATAAATTTTAAGATTGATTTTTATTTTAAGATTAATAGAATAATTATAATTCATTTAATTAAATATATCTATGTTTTAAGGATTATGTGTGAATATATGTGATTTAATTAGTTTTAAATTTAAGATGATGAGTCTAAATTATTTAATTAATATATTTAAGTTATTTTTAATAATTAAAAATATTAAAATCTAATTTAATAAATCAGCTCATGCAATCAAGTACAACCTAACACATGGTAAAGTATAACCTAACCCATGTGGTCAAATACGGTTTAACTCATGTGGTTAGGCATGACCCAGCCCATGTGACTTGGTATGGTCTAACCCATGTGGTTAAATATAACTCAACATAAGTGGATAGGTATAACTCAAGCCATGTGTCTAAATAGTTTTGTGACTAAGCATGACTTAGCTCATGTCACCAAATATAGTCCAACTCATGTGATTATACATGATCCAACCCATGTGACCAGGTACAATCCAACCCAATTCATATGACCAAGTATAACATATGGTTAAATAGTTTTGTTAGATATGGTACATCTCATATGCTCAAGTATAACACAATTCATATGACCAAGCATGGTCCATCTTATGTGGCCATGCACGATTCAACTTGTATGGTCAAATATGACTTAACTCATGTAACTAAGGCACGACCAAACCCACAAGTCAAGCATATCCTAGTTTAATGATAAGACTTAACGAAACTCATGAGCAAGACTTAGCTTAGCCTATAAAGTTAAGCTTACCCAATTATGCGACTAGCATAAAACAAATTGTAGTCTCTCTATCTAACCCATTATACCTTAACTCAACCAGTTACTTGGGACAAGCATGTGTGGTACACGTGATCCATAAAGACTCAAGTAGGACGATTCAGTTTAGATTAGCACTATGCGACATAGTCCTTTTTTTTCCTCTTTTTATTGGTTTGAGCTTGTTAATTAATTAAATCAAATATGTTTGATTGGTTTAAGTCGGTCTAGGGTGATTCCAAATGAACATGACTAGTTCAAACCTATTTGACCTAATTAAAATTAATCAAATTTAAATTAGACGATGATTTCAGATTGACTTTATATGAATTTGAGATTTGTTCCATTGATCCTAATTAAATTGAGTTTAGTTTAAGTCAATTGAGCCATTCCAATTAAGGTTATAGTTGATTAAGAAATTTTTAAGATTAAGGTTTTAAAAATGATTATTAGTTTTTTAAGTTTATTTTAGATTAAGTTTATAATATTGATGTGATTATTTCCATGTAGCATATGAAACTGTGCTGATAATTCATATTGAAAGTGTAAATTATGAAAGGACCAAGCGTGTGGAGTCATTAGTCATTAATGGATATAGTCTAGTAGATCATACATTAAGCATGACCATTTATAATATTTTGTCATACTATCTTTTGAACGAATATAAATGAATAATCATGGTTATTTTTTATCTTTGTCAATTGAGCTATTCCAATTAAGGTTATAGTTAATTGAGAAATTTTTAAGATTAAGATTTTAAAAATAATTATTAGTTTTTTAAATTTATTTTAGATTAAGTTTATAATATTGATGTGATTATTTCCATGTAGCATATGAAACTATGCTGATAATTCATATTGAAAATGTAACTTATGAAAGGACCAAACGGGAGTCATTAGTCATCATGGATATAGTCTAGTAGGATGATTTATTTTGGGGATTAGGGGATCATCAACATGATGGTTAAACGATTCCTATGAACATGTTCTCACTTGGATAGGTGAGGGATATCACTTTCTCCGTTGTTGAAAGTATAATAGGATTCTCTTTATTCATTGTCAAGAAGGAATTTAAGTATGTTTCTTCATCCAAAAAGAGTATATCATTAATATATATTTTTGTTTTATGATATTTTATTTACTATGTAAGAATTATTATTAGTTTTTATATAAAAAATTTATAATAAATCGATATATTTTATATTAAATTATTAATATTATATATTTTTTATGAATATTAAAGATTATTTTTATGATTTTTAAAAATTATCTACCAATATACGTGGTTACTGATATATTTGTATTTGGAATAATATATTACTTTGTAATAGATTTGAGGTATGGGTAGAATAATTTTTTTATTATTTATGATCAAGATATAATTTTGTAGTAAAAAAATTTTGTATGGTAATAAATTTAAAGATTAAAAAAAAAAGTCTTCTTGGATGTGGCACTCTAACTGCTCTCTTGCGGTTTGGGACGCTAATTGTAGCAAGCTAGGATATAATCCGGTGAACTGGAGATCTAAGCTACCACCACTAAATACTAATTTCTACTCATTAATAATTTATTCGATCATTAAAGAGTTAGGCGATAGGCAACTCATGACTAATCACACTTTGTAATTCTCCTCATTAATTTATTCTCCAAATCGAATCCAGACTGGGATGAGAAACCTCGTGCGTGGTGGTGGTGGTGGTGGTGTGTGTATTCAACTGGAAATGATGATTCGAGTTGACCCCGAATCTAATTGAAACAGTGCCGTCAAAATCTGATATCAGCTCATTTCACAGTCACCGGTGTGTGTGGCTCACGTGAGCCTCCACGAAACTCGTGCGTTTGACCGATGGAATCCAAGAAAAACGCCGGTCTCCGTTCTCTCGCTGTCTCCCTCTGCGGGAAAAGTCATACATTTGACTTTCTCATGTGGTTGGGACCCGCAGTGGGAACGTTTTTCCTGAAGACTACTGTTCTGGCTGGTGAAAGGACATCTCGTGTTCCTTCTTGCATTCACGAGTGTAGCGGTCATTCACCGTTCACTGATTTATTCCATTTGAGGATCACATAATTCATATAGGAAATATGAAATTAACCGCTTAGATCAAAATTAAGACCAAAATTAGTGACAAATCATACTTCTAATCATTTGTCATGCCATCAATTTCAGCTTGGATTTGGTTTTTACTATTATATTAGTACTCATTAATAAAATAAGATACATCGCCGCGGTGTCGCCATACTATAAATAGCTCTCACGCCTACCCTTCCACCGTTGTGGCCCGACTAGTTCTTCCTCGCTCGTTGCTTCCCGACATGATGATGAGTTCTCGGAACTCAGGATCGACGGTTCTCCGTCACCTCGGCTTCCGCCTCTTCTCCTCCGCGGTCGCCACCAGAGTCACCGCTTCGGAGCCGGCTCACTCGTTGGTCCTCTCTAGGCCCTTCGTTCCCTCGGCGCCCGCGCGACCCCCGGCCTCCGTGCTGATGCGTCTCTTCCCCGTTCGGATGGCCAGCACTTCGGCGGCTCCGGCCCTCGGCGGAGAGCAGGAGGAACGCGAGGCGAAGTCGTCCGCTCCTGCCGCTCCGACGAGCGGGAGCAAGGCCGTCGCCAGCTACTGGGGCATCAGGGGCTCCCAGATCACCAAGGACGACGGCACCCCGTGGAGGTGGTCGTGCTTCATGGTAAGCGGTCCGTTCATGGATTAGTATTCGGCTTCTAGGAACCAACGGCAGACTCACTGTACGTGTCGAAACCATTTTGGTAGCCATGGGAGACGTACGAGGCCGACTTGTCTATTGATCTGAAGAAACACCACGTTCCGAGGACGCTTCTTGACAAGATTGCATACTGGACGGTGAAAAGCCTCCGATTCCCCACCGACATCTTCTTCCAGGTTCGTATCGTAGCGCCTCGTTGCCCTGTCGTTGATTACATCCAACACGCTACTGCTGTGGACAGAGGAGGTACGGCTGCCGCGCGATGATGCTGGAGACGGTGGCGGCGGTGCCTGGGATGGTGGGCGGGATGCTGCTCCACCTCCGATCTCTCCGCCGTTTCGAGCCAAGCGGTGGCTGGATCCGCGTGCTCCTGGAAGAGGCGGAGAACGAGCGGATGCACCTGATGACGTTCATGGAGGTGGCGCAGCCTCGGTGGTACGAGCGCGCCCTGGTGTTCGCGGTGCAGGGCGTCTTCTTCAACGCCTACTTCGTGGCCTACCTCCTCTCCCCGAAGCTGGCCCACCGCATGGTGGGCTACCTGGAGGAGGAGGCCATCCACTCCTACACCGAGTACCTCAAGGACCTGGAGGCCGGCAAGATCGAGAACGTCCCCGCCCCTGCCATCGCCATGGACTACTGGCGCCTCCCCGCCGACGCCACCTTGAAGGACGTGGTCATGGTGGTCCGCGCCGACGAGGCCCACCACCGCGACGTCAACCACTTCGCTTCGGTACGATCTCCTCCTCCTCCTCCTCCTCCGCCTTCCCTGAGCGGTGTTGTTAGGTTAATCGTTGTCGTGACATGTACTTGGTGGTTGGCGATTGCAGGACATCCATTACCAGGGGATGCAGCTGAAAGATACACCTGCACCGCTCGGTTATCACTGAATTGCTGTTTGTCCTTATCGATGGTTTATAAATAGACTGGTGGATGTGGTGGTGAGCTATTTGTACCGTCTCATCTTCTTGGATGAGATTTGTGAATCTATCTTCATGTTTGATAGATGCCAGAATATACATACGGTGACCATCGTGCGTTACTGCGATGTGCTATGGCTATGGCTGCGGCTTGTTTGGTGTTTCTGTGGGAGTTAGCTACTGTTAGTGGTCATGGTCTTCTTCTTTGGGGTCTCATGTGGCAGATTCGGGCCACATAAAACCAGCATTGGGTACGTTCCTATGAAATGTGGACATGATGGGCTAATGACATCCTGAGGCCGCTAGTGAAGCTTGTGTTTGTGGACCCACCCCCGGGTTGTCTTGGTGTGAGTTGCACTATGGATCTGTGAGTGCGCCGTCGCTAGTGAAGCAAAGAGGCAACAAGTGTTTGTTATATTGCCCCTCTATATCTATAGTCTATTGACCGAATTCCTTTACGTTTGCGACTCTCTTCACCCTTCGGATCTCCTGTAGTGTATCTATTTATCTCGTCGTCGGAGCCGTATGAATACATTATGACTGGGTTAGTCTTCAGCCACGCACACAGGCTGCCACACGAGCCACCAACGAACCTAAAACAAAGCCAGCTGAAGTAGGAATTCTTACTTTGTTGCCGACAACAACAAAACAAAACAAAATCAATGCAAGAAAAAAAAGAAGCAATCCTGTTTTGAATCTGGTCGGGCTTGAACTTATCATAGAAGTTGTAATTTGCACACATCAGGGCCCGTGACAGGCAACATAATCCTGCAAGTAAAAGGGTATGCTTCAAAGGCATCAAATATAATCCATCATCTCTTCACTAGCTTTTTCCGTCCTGAGGAGAAGCAAGAATGGAACATGCTGCTTTCTGAAGAATAAAGAAAAGAGCAAGTCGTTAGCACAGCATCAAATTATAGTCACTCTACAACAAATAATTGAGCGAGTAAGATATATTAGCTTGTGACATTTGCATCTGAGCATCTTATCGAAGCATTTAGCAGCAGCGAGTAGCTAAGTAGGCAAACCTTGGCTCGAATTGATTTGATGGCACAAAGCAATATCTTGTCCCCTGCTATATGTCTGATCCGACGAACGACCTGTTGCCTTGTGGTTTTCCTTTCCTGAACCAAACATAATGGTACGTAAACAAGTAAATCTATTGCAGTGACTCCTGTGACGAGGAATACAATGATGAATATTTTGGAAGGAGACAGCCCAGCATACCATGAGTTCATTATGCAACCTTCTAATTTGGCACATCGTCGACCGAGGCAAAATCCTGGATAACATTGATATCAGATCTTTGATAGAAGTCCATGGCGAAGTAGGTCTAGATCCTGGCTCCTTCGAGAGTCCTGTAGTCAGCGCACACTAGTGTTCATCCTTCATATTTCCCAGTAACACTATGGGAGAAATTGCATACCTCTGGTACGAAAATCCACTTTGATGCTCATCACATACAGCGGCAGCACACGAGTTTGGGCATCAGAGTACCATATAATGTATCTGGTGGGAGTGTTTTGGTTGTCAACAGCAGAATCAAAGCTGTGGGAGCTGGGCTGAGATTGACGAGAGCCATGGACGACCTCTTCCACCGCGCCCAAGATCAACCGACACAGCAGAACATGTCTCAGCCCCCTTTCATCAGCGGTTGCGGACATCACGCTGCAAAATTAACAGAGTCGAAATCTCTGAGACGTATGCGCGTGGAGACGTATTGATTCAGGCTTTAATTGCAGCCCACCTGTTGATGGCGAATGGCTCCGGAGTAAAGTACAGGCCAAGGCCGAAATAGCCACCGTCGTCGGGCGCCCCAGAAACATCGAAGCCATCCCTGATGGTCCGGATCACTTTCTCCTTGGGAGCTTCATAGAACGCGACCTTGTCGTTCGGATGCTCGCCACGTTTTTGTTGCGTGGCTTTCAGCTGATCGTGGAAGGCCTCCAACATGATCTTCTGGTGGGCGTGGAGTGCAGCACACGGTGGAGCTCCACCAAGGAACAGTGCGGCACGAGTGTAGCGATATTTGTGTAGAACCTGTGCTGCACGATGACGAATTCGTCGCTCTCCTCTCTTACCTTGATCATTCCGTTGGCCCCAAATCCACCCGTCGCGGCGTCGGATTGGGACCGACCGTTTCCCACATTGCTCTTCTTCTCCATACAATCCTTCCTTTACTTCACAAAATCGCACAGAAATAAATCATCATCAGATCTCTCGAGGCAACAAATAGAAGATGGTAGAGAAATCAACATACATACAAAAAATCACATGAAAAATCAGCTAATTTCCTTTCCATGAGAATTAACGCGACGTCAAGCGTGGATCAAAACGAAGAGGAAACGAAGAGATGCGACATCTGGAGATCGGAATTACCTTTAAGACAGATGAGTGAGCGTCCTTCTCGATGGTGCGAGAGTGTGTGAGGAGAAACGGGAGGGCGGTTATAAATAGCACGGAACCGACCGCCTCTCTATGTCACCGTGGCTGGCGAGAGTGGGATACATCTACTTGGTACCAGACGCGGAATGGGGGGAGGCATTTGTGTCCTTGGTAGCATTTAATGCATTTTATGGTTTTATATGCGTCCCACGTGCAACAGTGTGGATGGCAATTAATGCAATAATAGTGCATCGGCCTGGGTATCAATGTCATTCTGAAGAAGTCGGATCGTATGCTTGGTCTCACTCCGCCTCGATCGATCTCGCTCCCTCCCTGACACCCACAGCCACACCACCCGATTCACCTAATATGGAGAATCCGAATCGTTGCCATGTTTCCAGCCCTAATCCGCCAATCTATCTCGCCCTTCCTACCATCCTCCGCCCCGCGGCCGCACGGCCGACTGCTGCATACCTCCGTGATTCCAACGGCGTCCATTACCTCTGCTTGCAGGCTGAGACAGGTATCCATCTCAGTTTGCGACGGTTTACTTTCTTTAGCTTTTTACATCCCGTTTGTGACTATCCTTAGGGCTTTTAGAATTTTGATCGGTTTATCATGAGATAGAATTCGGATTGATGAATACAACTTTACGTTCTCCATCAATAAGGTGCAAACTTCATGGTTGTGAATATTACTGGTCTGATGTAAATGAAACCCTTACTCTGATGCACATATATTTAGTAGGTAGCTTGAAATAATAGTTTCTTGTTTATGAATTAGCATTGAGTTTTATGTTTATCATAAGGTTTTACATGTACCCACTGCGACCCTTTATTACGTTTTGGTTGTCCTGTTGGGTGGATTGGAAGTAATGGCTGCATCATATAGAATGCAATTTTTGATATATCCTACAACATGAAAATTCACATGAAAAGAATTGAATTTTCTGCATGCACAAATAGTCTTCAGTCATATCTCAGAACTGAGTTCTCTTTATAAGCATAATTCTCTTGGTCAGTTGCTAATTGGTTTTCATATCATAGGCAATTGACACAGCGCAAAGTCGTTAACATCCATCGACTTATCATGCATGCTGCTCTGGAAGAGGAAGTTATGAACCTGCAGAAGTCCAAAGTAACATTTGCTGATGATGTTATCAATGCAGAGAATGCAGTCCTGAAAACCATGAACACCGACCAATTGCTCAATCTTTTTTGCTTCTTCACCAACCGTTCGAATGGTAAGTTACATTGCTTGTTGTGCATGTTCAATTTCTTTCTAGAATTGCTTTTTTATGTTGCCAAATCACAGTTCATCCGATATAATTAATTTCCTTGGTCTTGGTATTTTGACATGAAAACAATTGTGTAATGATATGTCTGAAAGAACATGGAGAAGGGAACTCCAGCTTCAAGCGGCTACAGTAGATCCAAAGCCAGTTTGTTGATGGGAAAGGTTTGGAGGCCATTCTCAGTGGACTTGGGTAGGTATGGGATCCAATAATGACGTGAACAAAACTTAAGCCAGCCCTCGGAAAAGCTTAATGGCTGAGTCTTGAAGGATATTGCAGTTTAATGTCGATTCCATTTTTCGAGGTGTAGCCCATGATTTTTTTTTCTTTGTTCATTGCATAGGTTCAAGATGGACATTCCAAATGTGTAAAGCTCAGTTGTACGGCCTATCTAGTTGAGTAGCAGTTCCCAATTGTCTGCTGCCCATTACATTTGTTATAAGCTTTCAACTAATCTAAGTGTACTCTCCATGGCGATTTGCTCTTAGAAATCAGATTGTTGTAGTTATGAACAAATGGTTTGTTTGGTTTTTGTTATTTTTTCTGGATTACTTTCAACTGATAACAAACATGTATCTTCTTTTCTCTTCTTTCAGAATTTGCCTATGTTACTACTTGGAGTTGTCAACAAGGAGATACGCTCTATTCAAGTTAAGCGAACTCAACCCGAGGTCTAAACCAAGCTCATTTCTGATGGAGCATTTGACGCAACATCGATCCTAGCGGAGACGGATGCTGATGCAAGGACTGCTGGATGTTTGTTTGTCGAATGCAAGTTCATACAAGATGGTAGCTGTTGGACCAACGAACATCTGGCCGTCAAGGAAGGAATCTCCACTGCAATCCAACTAGGTGTACCTGAGCTTATTATTGAGATGATGATGAGTGGATTGTAATGCTTGTTTAAGGAGGAACCTCCTCTTGGTTCCTCCTAAACTGTGTTCGGAAAATTTTTGCATCCCTTCTTATTTTTGTTAATCAAAAGATGGTTTATATTTCTAAAGAGTGCAATCAATGTGTCCTGGACTCAGAAGTTTTGTCTTCCCTTTGGATTTGTCGTGTATTATCTATCATCTTTGATGCTAATGGGAAACTTTGTACTCGTTTTGTTGAGGTTTAATTAGAGCTTATTCTCTCTCTTTTTTAAGTAGAATGTTGCATTTTGATTAATGGTGCAATAGTTCTTACGATCCAACGGATTGGAAGAAAGGCTACACAATAGTGCAGCTAGAGACTAAATAAGGATGTCAGAGACTTGTCTAAAGTTCAATTAATCAATTATTTTTTGGAAAGAAAAATAGTAAGCGAGAGAAAGAGAAACCGACCTGATTGGATGCCGGCGTTGGGCCCCATTCCCCATCGTGCCCGCCAATCCGCTTCGTTCGTCAGACTTCCCTTCCGAGGAACCGTTGGATCCGCTCTCCCAACCTCGCTGCACCGTCCAATTCAAATCCCCTGCGCCACTTCCCCTTCAAATTTCAAATCCCCCAACCGTTGCAACCCTACTTTGCCTTTCTATCGATCAATAAAGAGCCTCCAACAGCACTCATCGCTCGCTATTTGGTCTCTCTTTCGGACACAAACTCTGTGTCTCCTCCGCCATGGCCGCCGAGAAGAAGTTGCCCCTCCAATCCAGCGCCACCTACAACTCCGCCATCGGCGGCCCTCCTGCGCCGGGCAAGAAGACGATCGAGGAGATCTACCAGAAGAAGACCCAGCTGGAGCACATCCTCCTCCGCCCCGACACCTACATCGGGTCCGTCGAGAAGCACGCCCAGACACTCTGGGTCTACGAGAACGGTGAAATGGTCCACCGTCCCGTCACCTACGTCCCTGGCCTCTACAAGATCTTCGACGAGATCCTCGTCAACGCCGCCGACAACAAGCAGCGCGACCCCTCTATGGACGCCGTCAAGGTCGAGATCGACGTCGATGCCAACCGCATCAGCATCTACAACAACGGCGATGGGGTCCCCGTTGAGATTCATCAGGAGGAGGGGGTCTACGTGCCGGAGTTGATCTTCGGCCACCTCCTCACTAGCAGCAACTACGACGACAATGTCAAGAAGACGACGGGTGGGAGGAATGGCTATGGAGCCAAGCTCACCAACATCTTCTCCACCGAGTTCATCATCGAGACCGCCGATGGCAAGAAGCAGAAGCGGTACAAGCAGGTAACTGATCTGGATCTCTGATTTCTTCCTTACTTCATTGTTCTCGCTCCAATGGGTGACTCTGGCAACGGATCACGGCACTTCCCCCCAATCTGCTCAGTCCTAATTTAGGATTAGGGCTCATTTCTGAGATTTTGCACATCTCTTAGGAACTAGGGTTTCCGATGGACATCTCAATAGGTTTTTCAAGGATGCTGTCTGATGCTTTGCTTGTGTTCTTTAGACGACATTGGTATAATTTCTCTTGGGATTTTGGGTTGTAGGTGTTCACCGACAACATGGGAAAGAAGACTGACCCCTCCATCACCAAGTGCAAGGCAGGGGAAAACTGGACTAAGGTCACATTTAGGCCAGATTTGGCCAAATTTAACATGACATATCTTGAGGAAGACGTGGTTGCACTCATGAAAAAGAGGGTCGTCGACTTGGCCGGAACGCTAGGCAAGTCTGTCAAGGTCGAGTTGAACGGCCAACGACTGCCTGTGAAGACGTTCGCCGATTACGTCAACCTGTACCTTCAGTCCGCATCGAAGTCCAGACCTGAACCCCTCCCGAGGTTGGTTCTGCGAGCATCCGAGTTCCTCATCTTCTTTCTCGAGCCTTTTGTTGATTTAAAGATTAACTCATGGCTGATTCATCCGACCAGGATTGCGGAGAAAGCTAATGACAGGTGGGAAATTTGCGTCAGTCTAAGCGAAGGGCAGTTCCAGCAGGTACCCGTGGAAGTTGCTCTTGATGGGTCCTGTGTTTGGCATTGGATTTGCCTTGTTTTAGGTTGCATAAAGCTTGGATTTACGTCGTGTCTCATTCCAACAGGTCAGCTTCGTCAATGGCATTGCCACGATCAAGGGTGGAACTCATGTTGAGTATGTAACCAATCAAATCACCAACCATATCATGACCATAGTGAACAAGAAAAACAAGAATGCCAACCTAAAGGCACATAACGTGAGGAGTCATCTGTGGGTCTTCGTCAATGTCCTTATCGACAATCCTGCCTTCGATTCGCAGACAAAGGAAACCTTGACCACTCGTCAGGGAAGCTTTGGATCAAAGTGTGAGCTCTCGCAAGAGTTCCTTAAAAAGGGTAAGTTCAAATCTTGACAGGCTTCTGCTTCTTTTATCTTCTATAAAGCAGGATAAAATTGAGTTTGTCTGTTTGCAGTTGCCAAGTCAGGAGTTGTGAACACTCTGCTCACATGGGCTGATTTCAAGCAGAGCAAAGAATTGAAGAAGACGGATGGTGCTAAAAGGCAGAGAATTACAGGCATTCCCAAGCTTGAGGATGCCAACGATGCTGGTGGGAAGAATTCTGACAAGTGTACCTTGATATTGACTGAAGGAGATTCAGCCAAGGCTCTTGCTGTGAGATGATGTTTCAGCATACTCGAGCATGTGTAGTTTCAACTTCTCATTCCAAAGTATTATCTGATTACCTGTTTTGAATACAGATGGCTGGTATATCTGTAGTAGGGAGGAACTACTATGGTGTGTTTCCCCTGAGGGGTAAATTGCTGAATGTCAGAGAAGCCAACCATAAGCAGATACTGGATAATGCAGAAATCCAAAACATAAAGCAAATTCTTGGTTTGCAGCATGGAAAGGAGTATGATAGCGCTAAAGGCTTGAGATATGGTCATCTCATGATAATGACAGATCAGGTTTGACATCAGAGCTAAATTCAACTCTATTTTTACCATACTACTGAAATTAATTGTTGACATATTTAAGAATGGATCTTTCTGTTCCTTGAAGGATCATGATGGCTCTCACATCAAGGGGCTTTTAATTAACTTTATTCATACATTTTGGCCCTCTTTGCTGAAAGTTCCCTCTTTTATGGTTGAGTTCATAACACCACTTCTGAAGGTTAGTCTTGATAATGATGTTCAATGTAAGAGAACTATTGCATATGATGATATCTCAAAAGAAATATGTATCTTTTACGCAGGCAACTAATAACAAGAACAAGACTGTCCTATCGTTCTATTCCATGCCTGAATATGAAGCATGGAAAGAAAGTTTGGGAGGAAATGCAAATGGTTGGTCAATTAAGTACTATAAGGTTTGTTGCATTAGATAATAATGGATAGATTTTTCTTTGCATGCACAGTATCTTTAGATTTTGACATTGTCTATCCTTTATTTAATTGCTTTATCAGGGGTTAGGCACAAGTAAATCGGAAGAAGGAAAAGACTATTTTAAGGCCATAGACAAGCACAAGAAAGATTTTGTATGGGTGGATGAACAAGATGGAGATGCTATAGAATTAGCATTCAGCAAGAAGAAGATTGAGGCCAGAAAGAATTGGCTTCGACAATTTGAGGCAAGATGCATGGTTAACCTTTTAGTTTTATCCTATTTATTCTTGGTTTGTATTCTGAGAAACCATCTCTTGAACTATTCCAGCCGGAAAATTATCTTGATCAAAGAGAGAAGCTCATCAAATACAGTGATTTTATCAACAAGGAGTTGATTCTATTCTCCAGGGCGGATCTGCAGAGATCAATACCGTCAATGGTTGATGGCCTGAAACCAGGTCAGAGAAAAATCTTGTTTTGCGCATTCAAGAGGAATTTTGTGAAGCAAGCTAAGGTATGTTGAGGGAGAGTTCAGGTGTACTTCATTCCACAGCAGAAATTTTGCATGTTGGATGGGAATTTGTAGTTTGATTTTATTTCATGCGTCTTTCTCTGTCGCACAGGTCGCCCAGTTCGTAGGTTACGTTTCTGAGAAATCAGCCTACCATCACGGTGAGCAAAGTCTTGCCACAACCATAATCGGTATGGCTCAAGATTTTGTGGGTAGCAACAATATAAACCTTCTGCAACCCGAAGGACAATTTGGCACCAGACACCAGGTGAGTTTGCTAAAGATTTCTATTGCATCCTAATTGCATGTTGTGTACTGGTTTCTAATTAGTTTCTCCCCTCTCCAATAATAGGGAGGCAAAGATCATGCCAGTGCAAGGTATATCTTCACTTGTTTGTCACCAATCACAAGGTTCTTGTTCCCCAAGGATGACGACATTCTCCTTGACTACTTAAATGAGGATGGACAATCAATCGAACCCACTTGGTATATGTCGAGGATGCTCTGGTTTTATCTTTCCATATGACTGTTTGGACTCTGTTGAGCTTCTTTCTCATTGACATGTTAATCAATCAGGTACATGCCAATCATTCCTATGGTTTTAGCCAATGGAAGCGAAGGTATTGGAACTGGATGGAGTTCTTACATTCCCAACTATAATCCGAAAGACATTGTTGCCAATGTGAGGCGATTGCTGAACAATGAACCAATGCAGCCCATGGACCCTTGGTACCGAGGATTCACGGTCAGTGATGCTCTCTTTTTCTTGCTATTATTGGTGCATAAACAACAAGGTTTTCTAATAATCTATCTAATCAGGGCCGCATAGAGAAATCAGCAACAAAAGAAGCTGGCGTGACCTATACCATCACTGGTGCCATCGAGGAAGTCAACGGCACTACACTGAGGATAACGGAGTTGCCGATCCGTAGATGGACCCAGGACTATAAAGAATTTCTTGAGTCCATGATGACCGGAAATGACAAGTCCAAAGAGCCATTCATTAAGGTAACTTGCTGATGAGAATAGTTTTGTGTGAGTTTTCCGCTAGAATACTAATTTGTTTGCACATTATTTACAGGATTATCGAGAGTACAATGATGACAAAACAGTGCACTTTGAGGTTACTCTGACAGAGGATAACTTGAGCATTGCCAGGCAAGAAGGGCTGGAGAAAAAGTTTAAGCTGACTACATCAATTGGCACCACAAATATGCACCTATTTGACCCTAAGGGTGTCATTAAGAAATATGATAACTCGGAGCAGAGTGAGTTTCTTATTCAGCAAACATCAAGATGTATTCCTTCTCTGCTTGAATCAGTTACTGACACCTAACATTTTTTGCAGTTCTTGAGGAGTTCTTTCATCTGAGATATGAATTCTATGAGAAGAGAAAGGTGAGCATTCTGTGATTATTTTGTTCAAATTTTGTAGGTCATATGTAAACATCGAGTATATGCTGATCTTTCACCACATTCGAGCAGAAAGCACTTTTGGACAATCTCGAGTTCCAGTTGCTGAAGCTGGATAACAAAGTGAGGTTCATCCTTGGGGTGGTTAGAGGTGAGATAATAGTCAACAACCGGAAGAGAGCAGATTTGTTCCTCGAGCTGCAGCAGAAAGGTTTCGCTCCCATGCCAAAGAAGACAAAAGGCATCGATGCTGCTGCCACGGAAGAGGAGGAAGAAGATGAACAGGAGGAAGAGAGCCCAGAGGCAGGAAAACGTGGAGTAAAAGCCAGTGACTACGAGTACTTGATGTCTATGCCAATAGGAACGTTGACTTTGGAGAAGGTTCAAGAGCTTTGTGCAGAGAAGGACAAACTAGAGGGCGAGGTTGATGAACTAAGAAGGACATCTCCAAGATCTCTATGGTTGAAGGAACTTGATGCGTTGGAAGAGGAGTTAGATGTCAGTATCACTGCTACTTCAGAACTTTTTTTTCTAGTCTCCTCGTTCATTTTACTTGTTCTAATTTGCTGCCTACACTTGAAAACAGAAGCTAGAACGGAAAGATGCTGAAGCCGAGGAGATAAGGATGAAAAATAACGCTGGTGCCGTACCATCTAGACAAGCACCTAAGAAGCCAAGAAAGAAGGCTTCAAACAAATCTGTCACTGGGCCAGAGAAGACGGTAACTGACGCAGGACAAAAGAAGACTAACGGGGGATCCAAGAGAGCTCCTGTGAAGAAGGTTGATTTATTTTCCTTTGCTGATGGTTCATAGTTTGCTTCTGGAAAGTCTACTCCATCTTACCCAAGGCTTTGATTTTGCACTCTTAGAACACGGTGATTGAAAGTGATGAAGATGATGACATAGATGATCTGAAAGACCGGCTTGCTGCTTACAATCTTGACTCTTCTCCTGATCAAACAGGTGCCGGTCAGCATGCCTCACATGTCATTTCTTTCCTTCACATGCAATTTATATGTATGCCTTTTGGTTTTCCAACTTGCAGTGATGGAAACTGATTCAGTAGTAGTAGAGCAGCAGGGAGGGCAGAAGAAACAAGCGAGTAGAACTGCTGCTGCAAGGAAGGCAACTCATACAGTCCTCTCCGATAACGAGGACGACGAAGCTCAAAATTACATGCCTACCATAGAGGAAGACAAAGACAAGGATTTCAATCTGGTGGAGCCTAAAGGACGGAAAGTTAGAGGGAGAAAGCCTGCGAATGAAAAGGCTAAACCGGCCACGACCACCAGGAAGAGGGGTCCGGCGCAGAGCAGCAAGCCTGTTTTGAGCCAGAAGTTGATCACTGAAGTTCTTAAGCCGGCAGAGAATGGAGGGAACTCCCCGGAGAAGAAGATGAGGAAGATGAGGGATTCTCCTTTCAACAAGAGAAGTGGGTCAGTGCTGGGTAGGCCGACAAGTTCTCCCTCCGGGAGTGAAGACTCTAATGGGCTTTCACCTAGCGGCCCAGCGGAGACGACGAATGTAGTGGCAGCAGCACGGACCCGACCGAAGAGGGAGAACATGACCAAAGCCGTGTATGTGCTGAGTGATTCAGAGATCGAAGAGGATCCGCCTACCGATGACTCGGATTTCGATGATGAGGATGATTAACCGAGCGATGATGATGATTTGTCAGAGTCGAAATTTAGTTGGATGTCGTCTAATGCCAATGTTGTCTCAAGTGGTATGAGCTCCACCTCCTTCTGCTTTACCAGAAAGATAAGGTTGATGAGACATGACCACTTCACCATGAAGACGGGCCATTATCCTTTCGGTGGAACGATAGACGTCCACGCCAGTGTTTGGTGAACCGAGCACGCCCATCACGCCACGGAATGTCCACACTGTGGTCTCTCACTGGCTCATAAATCATCAAGAGAGTTATCACTGGTTTGTATTGCCAATGCTCGTCGGTGAACAGCTCGAGGATTCATACAACTTGCATGCACCACACGACATGCCCGATCCAGTGGAAGAATCTCTTACAAATAGTTCCAATATATGTGCCCTCTCATAATCGACTGTAAAGGTTTTGTCCTCCGTAATGCTTTTGACGAGGACACCGTAGCGAATGCTTCCAACGTAAAGTGCTCTATTATTGCCTACAATATTCCCAAACTTACAATCTTTATGGTATGGACGTCACATCTCCCGTTACTTGATGCCAAAGGCATCGTCGTGATTACGGTCAATCTTGGATACCGTAAATTAAGTTACAGAAAATTACAACGTTACCCATGCGAAGGACATTGTTGTCATTTAAAAGATTCAACGCCGTTGATGGGGGCAGCATTCTGTCAGCTGAAGTGGTTCACGGCGAGTAGGTGGGCGATTACCGCGGGTCCTCTATATATTTGCCGAAGAAGGGGGAAGGCAGTGGAGAGCGCGACCTTCTTCTTTGATCCTCCGCCCCCTCTTCCCGACAAACACAGCGCTCTCTGCCTACTTTTAGATCTCATCTCTTCTTTGTATGGCAGCCAATTCGAAAGCGCCAGCGCTCGCTGCAGGGTTCGGAAAGCGATTCGTCAGCCAGATCTGGGCCGCTCCGGCTCCCGCCGCCGTCGCCTCTCTGGCACCTGTCTTTTCCAGGTATTAGGGCATCCTAACCAAGATGAATATTACTGCGTCGATTTAACTGACTCTTCTTCTCTATGGGTTTTGGGACACCTTTTGATCTGGTCTTGCTCGTAAAGAGAAATTTAAGTGGATCAACATCATGTTTCTGGATGAACTTAGGATCGTTTGCTTAGAACAGTGATTTGGTCGAGAACTTGGAGCTCTGATCTGATCTATCATCGGATACATTTGTGTCTTTCGATTCATCATACGTACCACGTTTCTTTGCACTCTCTGGCGTCACACCCGCTTTGTCGCTCATTGGCAGTTCAAAAAGAAGAATAGAAGAAAAACCATGAAAACCCAATGAAAGACCGGTGCTTCCGTTGGTGGCGTTAGTGCGCTCTTACCACCGACTTCGCATCGTACGATCTCATCCGTACGATGCGTTCCTCGAGATCATCGACGTCTCACTTTTTCTCTTCTTTCTGTTATTTTCCTCCCAACCGCGCATCTTTTTTTCCCAAAAAAAAAAATATTATTATTGTTTACCCGTTTATGACTTCCCGGTCTCACCAACCTCCCCAGGGTATCCTCTGCCCCGTTGGGTCCCCACGGGGCTCACCTGTGAGGACCTCACTACCTGCCTGCACAAGGGAGGTAGGTGAGACGGGTCGGTGTCCATGTTAGCATATATCCACATCCGGGACGGTATTGCATCACGTAGCCCATTGTGGCGGTGCCGTCGAGTTCGACGCGTTCATTCTGACATGAATAGGACAAAACCCACATCTTTAACTATGTCAAACTAGTGCTTTGTGCAGGAGGAGGGCCGTGCACGTCTCGTCGTACGATAAGAACGTTGACGAGCTGGTGCCGCCGAGCGTGGTGCCGGACCATGTGATCGACGCTAACTCCGACAAGTATTGGAGCCCCCACCCCACCACCGGCGTCTTCGGACCGGCCGACGAGGGCAGTGCCTCCGCTGCTGGCGGCGAGAAGGTGGCGGCCGCTCCAGGCAGCGGCGGCCCGTCTGCGCTGGACCAGACCGTGTGGTTCCGCCCCCTGGAGGACTTGGATAAGCCTCCTCAGCCCTGACCGCTGCATCTGTCGCCTCTGCGGGAATAAATAACAGCGAGCAATACGTACCTATATGCTTGTGTTGAATGCATGTTCAGAACTCTTTGCTTGGATTCAGTATGGCGTGCTATGGTAACTATGATGCTGATGATGATGATGGTGATAATGTAAATGGCGTGCGGTACTGCGTATCTTTGTTTGATCTTTTCTGTTATATGCATTTAAACTGCCAACTTAATCTGCAGATTTCCTTTGAAGGATGTATTGCTAATTGTATTACTTTGCGGTCTTTTCTGGATATCGTGGTGATGGAGGCGTGGATTGCTTTGGAAGTTGATCTCATCTGTTTTGGGAAACGAGAAGCTTTAAGAGATCAGTTTTTCCATTTCTTTGGATCTGTGCAAGAAGATGCCTTGGTTGCAATTAATGATCATAACAGATGTTCCCTTTTATTCATCTGAAACAGGAAAAAAAAACAATCCATTTAAGAAGCGTAAACAGCGTAGGTGTGTGACAGAAGATTCAATTGCTTCGCAGTGATGACAGGCAGGTGAAGCTTCAGAACATTAGGCAGTGTTCACTGGGATGCTGATGCGCACGTGAATCTCGTGGCTAGCAGCTCATGCATCACTCCCTGTGGAATCCCAAACGAGGTTGGAATTTGGGAAAGTTCATGAACAAGAAGAATCATTCAATCCACAGGCTATTATCACATTAAACATGTGGAAGTCTGTTCTGCAAAACTCAGTGTGAGGTTGCGACTCATTCAAGCCGCAAGGCTGCTCCTGTTGTCTCAATTGCAACAGGATTCGACGATCGATCTCTTCTCAAATTAAGGCTTTAATAAGTGGATTCCGACTTGAATCCGACTTAATTGCAATGCCCGTTCTGTTCTGACACGTAAGATTAGTCTTTATTACCTTCTTTTAATAAACCTTTCTGATCGCTAATGTTCGCTACCCACCTGGTGATTGGACAGAAAAAGGGCCCATTCTCTTCGTCGAATCACCACCAGACACGTAGTTGCCACAAAGAAGCCATCGGCAAATCCGACTACGACTGCGTCATCTGAGCCGTTCGATGCGGATTCAGACGGCGATGCTGCGCCTATAATTAGTCCTCGATCCCTCGTTCCTCGCCTCTCCCGGAGGTGGCTGCGGGAAAAGGAAGAAAGGAGAATCTAATGCCCTCAAATCCTTCTTCTCTCTAAATCCGGGTGAGACTCTCTCTCTCTACATCCTTCTTCTCCTACGCTCTTCGATCTGTTTTCGTTGTAATTACTGGAGATTTCCCTTTGTTTCGTGTTTGATTTCGACCGAATGTAACTTTTAATTCTCAGCTTTCTAGGGTTTCGTTTTTCGATCGCTACTTGCTTTGCCGCTTTAGAGGGAACCGTAACCCTACTTCATCTTCCGCAAGATAATTGCGCCGGTGAAGAACGAGATCTCATTCTAGTCGAAGGGAACAAAAATCCTTGCTTTTGGTGCTGGCTTTGGCTAGGGTTTCTGATTGGACTCTTTTTGGTGGCAGAAGGATGGATCTGAATCTCCACCTCGGTCTGCCTCGCTCCCCACCTCCACGCCGTCGTGATCTCGGTTCTGATCTCTCGCTCAGCTCATTGCCTCCCCGGCCGTCTCCTTCCACCACTGTCGAGGACGGCCGTGCTCCAATTCCCATGTCGGGGGCCGTGGAACCATCGGAGTCTCACCCTCCCCACGCTAATTCGCAAGCCGAATACGGCCCTGAGCTGCCGGTTGTTCTACCGTCCGATAGAGTCTACACTCCCGAGTACGCCTCGTGCTTCGCTCCTATTCAGCCGGTTGTTGGAGACCCTGAAGGAACTGACGCCCCATATTCTCCTATCCGTGTCGAACACCTGCCTGCTCTGCAGGAACCGGGTGAAGCTTACTTGCCACCTTTTGTTCGTGGATCAGCAAACCATCAAGATCACGGCGCAGCAACCTTTAGCTTTTACCCCTCAATTACCGTTCAAACAGGTGAATCCCTGCGTCCGGAAGATGGGCCCTCTTCGAGAACTGGGCCCTCTTGCTACCCTGATTTATGTTTCAGCAGGCTGATGCAGTCGAGCAATCGATGGCCAAACAGGCGATTTAGGTCTTCGCTTCCGCATTCTGGTGAGAGGCTCAGTTTTGGTTCATCATTGTTGCCTAATCCTGAGCAGAGGGTGCCTGACATAGTGAGCTCCCAAAGACCTTCGGAATGCAATGATAAACACAAACTGATTGCTGAAAACAAAGCAATGGAAGCTTCAGAAGACGAGAGGGAAGATAAAAGTAAAAGTGCTGCTAACTTTGAGTGCAATATTTGCTTCGATATGGCTGCAGAACCTGTTGTTACTTCATGTGGTCATTTATTTTGCTGGCCATGTTTGTACCAGTGGCTGCATATTCATTCCGATCACAAAGAATGCCCTGTATGCAAAGGCGAGGTAACCGAACCAAAGATCATACCTATTTATGGTAGAGGGAGTTCACAAACTGGTGTTGAAAAGAAAAATGGGGAAGATGCAGAATCAGCCGTTAAAATCCCACCAAGGCCACATGGAAATAGATTTGAGAGCTTTAGGCAGCAGGTTTGGTCTGTTTCGAGGAGACTGGATGAGGGAATTGCAGCATCTTGGAGGCGCATTCTGGATCAGCAAATACGTACTGGAAATAGATACGGAGCATTTGCAGATCCAAGCCAGCAAGATATATATGACAGTGTTCATGGTAGATCTCTAATTAGGCTGAGGATGAGAAGAATGTCGAGGGAGGTGAACCCTGAAAGTGGATCTATCACCGGGGAGCTTGGATTGCCTGTAAACAGTATGCCAACCCCTATTGCAAGTAACACAGATTCTATTTTTCAAGATGGAGCTAGGCACCAGTTTTCTATGTATGATGTTGGCAGAGACAGATCGGCTGCTATAACTGCTAACTTTGGTAGGGTGGTTGGACAATTTACAAGTAGTGGTAATGGATATGGTGCATCTACTTCATCTGTTGATCCTCCAAATTCCAGCCCATTTGTGAGTGGGCCTCGGGTTGAATCGGCATTGGCCGCCGATCAAGCTTCTGCTTCTAGCACCATGGCAGACATACAGGGAGATGTTGCTAGTTCTGATGCCCTTGCAGAACCTTATAATGCCGGGTCATCTTGGTTTAATATGAGGAGAGGTAGAAGCAGCACCTCTGGTTCCTTTGATGCTGATGGAGGTGTTCCTGACTCATCTAAGAGAAGAAGATTGAACTAATTCTCCTTGACTAGTAGTGATTTGAGGCATCTTCTGCTTATTCACCTCTTGGTACGTGTTTAGATAATAAATCAAGTGGAGTAATATAATTAGTTGCTTCTATGATATGTTCATCTTCATCGGATTATCTTCATTACATACAAATCATACCCAGCATAACATGTATACTGGAAAGTTCTGACAGCTCCATCTTTCAATATTAATGGCTAGTTTTCTCCATCTGAAGTCGCCATCTAGTGGAATAACAATATTTATGGTTCTGATTATTGAGTTGTACTGTTGGTTTTGCAATTGTGATGCCAAACCAAAATTCTGATAAGAGAACCATTTTTGGAACTACACAAATTGTTATATCTTTTTCTCTAAGAGTTGTACTGTTAATTTTTTTGCACAAACTGTTGATTTGCAATTGTGATGCTAATAATCTAAAATGGATTGTTGGATAAGAAGACCATTTTCGAAACTAAACGGATTGTTGGATATTTTGTCTACCAATTTGTTGATTTTGCATTTGTGATGAGAAAGACCATTTCATTTCATTGACACATGAGAAATCCAATTAAGGTCCATTTCATTCAGTAGTAGTCTCTCGTTTGGCTACTTGAGTTCATGCACATCCAAATAGGCTATATAATAGGTAAGTTAAATTGAGTTGGGTGTAAGCCATGGTTCCCTGTTGCCATCTTTGCAAATGCTATAGAAATTGAAGTTTACTTGTGGAAAGCACAAAAATACATGTTTATTCAATTCAGGACAAAAAGAAAAAAAGAGTGCCTGCTCTGCTGCAGAAACCATGGTTTCTTCTTAGCACAAACAACAGACTCATCTCATACTGAAATCGAAAAATAGAAGCAAATGACAGCTTCTATATATTTTAGTCTCTCTCCTTATTATGGCCAATCATCATCATCATCATCTCCGCTAGATAATGATGTTCTTGTTTATCTCAGCAAGAGCCAATCTCCTTCCTTCCACCTGGTCAACAAAAGAAAAGGTATCAAAATACATGATCCCAAGGCCGAATCCTGACAAGAACTCATAACCTTTGATGCCTTACCTTGCCGTTGAGGTCACAAATCTTCTCCTTGTACAGCATCTTCAGCTTTCTCAAGCTCATACAGTTCAAGTCTACATGCGAACCCTGTTTCTCAGCATCAGTTTCCACCCTGACTTCCCTGCACATGACTGCTGTCCTGGTTGACTCATCCAAGCTTGTCTTCTCATCGTCAGCATCACAGTGTTGGCACTTGTCCCCGTGTTGTTCGATCTTGTTCTCACTTTTCTCCACCTCGAAGATCACTCCAGCAGCCTTCAGTGTCAGCCCAGATGCAGCTCTAACCTCCACTTGGGTCAAGGTTTCAGCAGTCAAGTCGACACCATTTGATCTCCTCTCGGAGCTCCTTGAATACAGATGAATCTGCTGGGGAGGAGAGGAAGCAACAACTTCAGCAGTGTTGTCTACTGCGTCCTTTTCTGAAGCTGAAAGATCCAGGACGCTAGAATTCTTTGTTTCCTCCTCTCTCTTGCTTTGCTCCTCCACAGCATCTCCTTCGATCTCCAGATTCTCTAAACAAGATACGAGCCCCTTGACAGGTGATTCTTGTTCTCCTTCGCAGCCTCTCTCTGCATCTGGTACTGGTTCTTCATTGACCACTTCAGCTTCGTCTTCTTCAGCGTCGTCTACGGCCAGCTGATGCAGGGGAAGACTGGTGTTCTCGACGACCACATTGCTGTCATGCTCACAGTTCTCGCCATGGACATCTTTGTCTCCATCTCCATCAGTCTCTTCCTCGATCTTCTCTGGTGACTTCATGACGCAGAGATGAGAAGCATCCCCTGGTGTCGAATCTGACGGCTTTGTGTCGTCTTTTTCGAAAGAATCATTCGTTTTGATGCCTGGAGTTCACATGGATCATCATCACTGGTTAGGAACTGCAAGGGTAAGAAGCAAGAAGCTTCACAGAATAAATACTTGATAAGGCTTTACCTTCTTCCACTTCTTCTTCTGGTTGAGTCTCAATTTCCAACTCATTTACGTCATCGGATCCTTCAGATTCTGGGATCAATCCATCTTTTTCGAGCTGGTGCGGTGGAAGATCGGCTTCTACGACCTCCAAGTTGGAATCTCGTTCGCACTTTTCACCGTCAATTCCTTGAGTCTCTTCGAGATCAGGCATCTTGCCTGTTGCCAAATCTGAGGTCTTCTTCCGAGAACCATCGTGTCCCTCCATGTAATTCTTGGCCTCGACGACTATAGTTCACATAGACGATCTCTAATAAGAAACGAAGAAAGACATGGTGGAATTAAAAGGAAAGAAGAATCCACACTGCGGTTCATCATCTTCACCTTCTTCCGCTTGTTCTGCTGCTGTTGCTGCTTCTTCTTGGCCCAAGGTTTCCATCTGACGGATCGAAGCCCTCGCCCTGGTCCTCGTGCTCCTCCTCATGGTTGTCGTGGTGTCATCAACAGCAATCGACTTCGAGGACTGCCTCGTCCGGCGAGTTGTGATCCTCGACGAAACCACCGTGTCTTCTGTCCCTTCTTCCACCCTAACCGAGGACTCGGCTCCCCTCCTAGCCGTCGTTCTCCGGCCAGTTCTAGTGGCTGGAGTTTTGGTTGCCTTGACGAGACCATCTTCCGCGGCTTCGACATCCTCTTTCTTGCTCGTCCTTCTTCTGGTGTTCCTCGTGGTCGTCGCCCCTTGGGACTTATTCGTGGTGCTGCGCTTGACCAAAGCTATGGGTGTCGTCTCTGCAGGTCCATCCTTCTCCTCTTTATCTTCTTCTTCCGAGAACAGCTTCTCGATCTCGGAGGCCTTTGCGGTCACTCGACGAGCCCGAGGCAGGGGGCTCGCCTGCTGCTCTCTGGGCTCGACAAGTGCGGGAGCCACCGCCCGGCGAGCGGAGGTCCCGCGAGAGGAGCACGGGAGGTCGGTCGAGATGCCCTGAGCTTTCTTGGGGGACTGATTCCACAGCTTTTCCTCCATGCCCTCAATCCCTCCGCCCTGTTTGAGTTGGAACCAAACACACACGACTGAGATGAGGAAAGAGGGAACAAAAATGTAAAAGGAAAGGAAGGGGGAGGTGGGAGAAGATCATACGGCGTGGAGAGCCTGGAGGGCGTCGGCCATGGCGACGTTGGTAATGTTGGCAGGGATGCGGTTCTTCTTGCAGAGGGCTTGAAGCTCTCTCCTCGGCAGGCTGTGGAAGTCCATGGTTGGCTTTCTCTTCTCCTCTTCCTCCTCCTCCTAAGGGTTGGCTCGGTTGGGTTGCACGGTGGCGGCGTTTCTCCCTACTTCCTTTTATAACAGCGAGAGGTAAGAGGGATTTTTTGTGTGTACGAAATTTGAATTATTCGACCGTTGCCAACAGATTCTCGCGGACGCGTGGTGCTTGTATTTTGAAAATTTGACCGTTGGTACAGATTCGTAAGAGAAAAGAAGAGGGTGGGGGTGGTTTTGTTTCGCCACGTGTCCTTTTTAATATTTTGACCCTTATGTCACGATAGATCACAAGCGGCGCCAAAGGCACAAGAAAGGAGGGAGAGAGCACAGAAATGTGTTTCCTCTCTCTTTGAGCAACTTGTGAGCACCACTCGTTCGTGAAGAAACAGAAAAATAAAAATAAAAGGGAAATCAGTCACTCTTTGGAACAGAATTTAACTAAAAGTATTCACTTGAATGCTATCATCATTAACGTGAAATTTGGTTATCAACTATGCTTGAGACAGATCTCACTTCGAAAATATAAAAAATATTTTAATTTTTAGTTATTTTCAAACAGTATTTTTTTAAAATTTTAAAATAATACTCTTAAGTTTAAAAATCTTAAAGTTATCACTCCTTCCACCTCTACCCCCTCCTTTTTCTATTACCATTTTGCCTCCGCTATCGTTGCCTCGCCTATCCTCCCTCATTTCTTCGTATCTTTTCCATCTCTTTTTCCTCTCCTTCATTGCATATTGTCCATCCTTACCCCTCGTTCTCCCCCCTACCTTACCTTTCTTCTCCTTTCTCTTCTTCTCCTTATCCATTGACAATAAGACCTTTAGTGAGAGTAAAGGATCAAAGCGATGATATGCGACGATAGTAAAGAAGGAGAATGACGAGGAGAAAGGAGGGGATAGTTTTGAGATTTTTAGATTTAGGGATCCTTTTTGGGAAAAAACAAAAAGAGAGTATTGTTTTAAGAAAATCATCCCAATTTTTTTTTTAAATCCTGAAGTAGGATAATTATATTCCCTTCTTATTTAAATCTCCCTACTTACATATTTGATGTGACTCGTTCATACTCGTATCATAATATTAAAAAATATTTGGTGTATCATATTTTATTTAAAAAATATTTATATGAATTTGAAATGATTAGTGTACAACAATAGTAAATAAAAATATCATTTGTCATAGATTTGTAATTCTTGTTAAGGATTCTGATCAGACAACAATCCAGTGATAGTTGCAACGATTGTTCATGAAATTGATGAATTTGTAACATCGCAACATTACAAAATTCAGTCATAAACAAATATAGCTTTATGAGGTGCCAAGATGATTGAATCCAATAGTCCACATAACATGCATTTCGCCAGACCAACGAACAACGCAGAACAATATATATCTAAAAGAACTAAATTTCTATTCTTGAATCCAACGTTCCAAGTTTTCATAACTGCTCCAAGCAGACGGCATTCAGAATGATTCAGACTTCTAAAAGTAACGAGTTACATATGAGACTCGTCGTTCGCAAACAATTCCGCTTATGAAACCTACAAATGATGACTGTGTTGGCATCTCTCATTCCACTCTTGGTTTCTGCTGAATTCGCAAGCTCAGCAGATGTCTGCTGATTCTTTACTGCACTTCTTGCTGCAAGCAACCAAAAGAAAAAAGGAATAACCATTACTGAGAAAACAAATTTGCAGTTCCAAGAAATAACCGATGACAAACACCAGTGCTTGAAATTTGTTAAAAACACAAGGGTAATGAATCTCTATGTACAAGACTAGGGTCATAAAGTGACATCTGCTCTATAGAGATGGACAACAAACAGATACGCTTGCAATTTGGATAAACTATTTCTTTTAGGAAACTATGATTAAAATTCAACTACATCAAATGTTGTTTTTTTCTTTTCTTTTTGTAGCCTAAAGATTATTATTGTTTGGGAGACATGGAATCCACAGTCATGAAAATGTTGCTGAATTTTGCAAGATCTCATGTTGAGAACAAAAAAATTGATCTTTTCTTTAAATTTTACATCAGCGAGGTATTGGGACTTTTATACTTGTCTACAAAAAAACTGACCAATACAGGCTTAGATCCTGAAAATGAGAACTATGCAATGAACAAGAAAATGTAGGTAACTCGATTAAGTCAAAAGCTCTGTTAATGAAATAGCCAGCCACTGGTCATTTTAAACAAAACATACAGAAGCAAAAATGCATCTGGATAATTATACAGCAAAACAAGCCATGCACCACATAAAAGCAGATTATGTATGCTAAAATGGCAGTCGCTGTTAATATAGTATGTCAATGTTTCAAGAGAAAGAACAGATTAAAATGAAACTCATGATTGAAAGGAACACAAGCTCTATATAAATATACATTGCTGCTTTGGAGGTTGGACATGCAGTACCTAAGGCATGAAAGTTTGATAAGCCAACAATTTATATTTGCAAATCATGATATCACTGTACTATGACAAGCACATTAATAGCAACTGCTTCTCATAACATGCAGACAAGATATGAACTCCAAGTCTGGATAATACTTGAACACGCCTATTTGCAATGGCATCTTGTCCCTAACTACATGGTGATATTTAAAAACTTGTAGAGATATATACTTAGACACAATCACATGTACTTAAATCGTTCAACCACCTGCATTTTATTGCAGCAACTCTCGTGATTCAAAAAGAGAACAGTCTAATTTATAGGTAAGGTAACTTCAGCTAGTTTCCTACTCACCAGAAGCAGGGCAAAAAACACATTGAATTTTAATGAATAATAGCTTTCTTGGACATAAGGGATAATCATCATAGTATTGGATTGCCAATACACCACTAGGGCAAGTGATAGATCTCAATAACCGAGCCATATAGGGGTAAGGCTGTGTAAATTTGCATGGGAGTGGAAGCCTTGTCCATTAGAATCACCTTTTTTTCTATGGATCACGGGAGTCCTTCAATTATCAACATGACTATCCCAACTCCACAAATCATATGTAACAGTCATGTGAGTCGTTTTTGGCATATCATCATATTCAGTTGGTTTGAATCTTTATGCATCATTGTAAACAACTCAACTTTATGTATTCTTCTTTCCTAGAAAAAAAAAAAACTGAGTAATCATAGAAACAAGTCTTACATATTCATGTCATAGGAAATTTACTGCAATATGCAAGCAATAGATATTCCTAACATGGAAAAGTTGAAGTGGGATAAGTATGTAGTGTCATGGACTTAGCTGATTTTGTCTAAGTCAGTGTGGCACCTTTGCATATCCGTCCGTAAAGGGTCAACCTCCCTAAAACTTCTTATGGTCCCTTAAGGACTTACAAAAGAGAAGACAAGTTAGAGGAAGTGTTTAACTCAGGAAACCACAAGTAGACATTTCAACAAACACTTAATAGACAATGCAAATCACAAACATAAACTTCACAAGCTCTAAAGGGTCGTACGACAAAGGATCCAAAGTGGTCCGTAGTGGCCAAAAGGTCTTACAAGTGTTCACATGACACTGTTGCGAAACAAGGTAACGAACCAGCCTTAAACATTACCCCAAAGGCTCATCCAATCATGCGTCACCTGAGTAGCTCTTGGGTGCTATACTAGTTGACACTTTGCACCACTCTGTGGAGCTAGAAAGCCCCCAAAATGGCTACTTGGATTGTCTGTTTTTGGATAGTTTTGTCTCTGTGTAATGACTGCACATAACCTATATTTACATAATTAAGACGGCTACAAAAGACAACTAAAATGGGGTTTCCAAGCCTATCGCAAGATGTCTACATGCTGTACAAAGCATGAACGAAACCGAAAGATGCAGACATAAACAAACATTACATCGAACACCCTTTGTACAGATTTGTCCACGACGTCCTCCCCCACTTATTCCTTCGTCATCCTCGTTAAAGCCTTTGCGGACGGTGCATCTCCTCGCCTTTGTTGAGTCTTCAATCTTCTATTCTAGTTGCAATACACCTCTTGACTCCCAACTACTCTCTACCGCAGTAGTTGAGTAGTTGAATGTAAACCGCTAATGTTGCATCAACTTGCTAATGACTTTGATTTTGATACGGGGTCAGTCGAGTTACGTTGATCTTTGCTGGTTCATGCAAATCCCTTAGATGAAGGAAAAGACCTTATTGTATGTCGGTCTCTCAAACGTCTCATGCTACTTGAACTGGGTGGATGCTTGTTGGAGCTTTAGCAAGCATCGCCTCGTAAACTTTAAAGTTTTTGAAGTCTTTCCTTCGCAAAATTTGTCCATCAATTCCTCTTCTACTTAGTTGTCGCTTGCAAATAGGTTCGCATCACTTCCGCTTTTGATTGATGTTTTGTTGGGAAATGAAACGGATAGTCTACTCTCGGTAGAACTGATCACCATTGATGAGGATTTGACAATTATTGTCTTTCACCAAATTTCTTCGAAGGGTTTTTGAACATGTGCAGAGCTCCTCTGCTGGATAAATAAGAGAACTAGGGTACTCAGTTTCGCCCATTCTCTTAAGAGTTGAGAAGACAAAGGTTACTTGACTTCCCTCGCCTCCTCGAGGATTGTACTTCATTCATCAAGCTGGTTGCTAGCCTTCGCCTTCTCTTTGCTTACGCTTCTGAAACACCCGAAGTATTTGTACTCCTTGTGTTGAGTTAGCTATTGTAATTCGCTTCCTTATTATTATCGAACTTATGGAATGCAATAAGTTTTGCCTGAAAAGAGCAAAATTTTGCCCTAACTTGGAGCAAAACTCCAATAGTTTTAGTCACCTATTGGATTGTACTGTCTTCTCCATCATTTTCGTCGCCTACTCCTCTGAGCAAAAAAAGTACAACATCATGTACTGCCTACTTCACTCTTTGGTCAAGCACTTCTGCATCGACCCGAAGCTCCCCACATTTGGCTATTTTGATGAGAATCTCATTGACACCAGTCCTATGAATTTCCTTTGCCTCTAGCCTTCGACCTTGTTTCGGTACTTAGAGTTTGCCTCTACATTCTCCACCCTCTCGGCCCCCTTTCACGACCATGCGCTCTCCCTCTATAAGAGCAAGGGATCGATGACTCCCACGAATGTCTCACATTTACAGTACCATGATGTTGCCATACCCATGGCTCTACTATTTGTCATCTCGCATTTGCGTCATTTGCTTTGCAATTGGTAAATCTACCTCTTCGGCACCGTGACACTCCTCCAAGTCCACCTTCATCCTTACTAACGCTTCGTTTTAAGTAGCTAAGTTCCTTTGGACTCGTTATCGCTTCCTCTCTCCTTTCGACCACTTGTTTTAGTACCTTTGTATTCTTTGAGCAATTCCCCTTGGTTGATGGAAAGACAGACTGCAACTCTCATGTATGGCCTCCGTCATCAAGTTGCAGGGCTCGCGCTGATTATGTTCTCCTTTAAGCTCTTGGTAGAAACGTTCGTTCACTCGACCTTATGCTATGACTTGTCGGGCTCCTTCAAATGAATATGAGCTATACAGTAGTTTGTCTCCAGCCTGTCATGGACTTAGCTGGTTTTACCTAAGTCGTGCGGCACCCTTACGTGTCCGTCCATAAAGGTCAACTTTCCCGAAACCTCCTATAGTCCTTTAGGACCTACAAAAGAGAAAACGAGTTAGAGAAAGCGCCTCACTCGGAATTCATAAGCAATCATTTCAGAAAACACTTAATAACCAATGCAAATTACAAACAGACTTCATAAGCTCTGAACGGTTGCACAACAAAGGATCCAAAATGGTCCACTACAGACCGAGATCTCCCACAAGTGTCCACATGACACAACCTTTATTTACAAGCCTAAAATGACTACCAAACCTAACTAAATTGGGGTTGTTAAGCCTTTGACAACCCCTCTACATGCTGTGCAAAGAATGAACAAACTAAAAGACACGGACATATATGAGCATTACATTAAACAAACACCTTGTTTACAGTTTTGTCCGTGACATTCTCCCCCACTTATTCCTTTGATGTCCTCGTCGAAGCCTTTGCCGACACTACAACTCCTCGCCTTTGCTGAGTCTACAACTTCTGCTCCAGCTGCAATACACCTCTTGGCTTCCAACTGCTCTCCGCTGCTGTTGTTGAGTAGTCGAACTTTTGATCCGTCATGTTGTTTCAACTCGCCAATGACTCTGACTCTAGTATGGGGTTGGCATAGTTGTGTTGATCCCTGTTGGTTCCTGCGGATCCTTCAGATGAAGGAAAAGACTACCCTTACTATGCGTCAGTCTCTCAAATGCCTCATGCTGCTTAAACTGGGTGGATGCTTGTTGGAGCTTTAACGAGCACCGCCTCGCAAACTTTTGAAGTTTTAGGGTCCATCCTCCACAAAATTTGCCTATCGACTCTTCTCATTTAGTTGTCACTTCCAAGTAGTTTCGCATCGCTTCCGCTTTCAATTGGCATTCTATTGGGAAATGAAGCAGATAATCTAATCTCAGTAGCACTGATCACCATTAGTGAGGATTTGACAACTATTGTCTTCCATTTGGTTTCTTCGAAGGGTCTTTGAACATGTGCAGAGCTCCTTTGCTAGATAGATAAGAGAATTGGGGTACTTAGTTTCACCCATTCTCTTAAGAGTTGAGAAGGCAAAGGTTACTTGACTTCGCTTCCTCCTCGAGGGTTGTACTTC